AAAATTTCTGTATATAGGTAGTCTCGTAATTATCTTTTCACTTTTTAAAATGTTTTTACAAATTTAAAAAATTAAATGCTCGGTCCCTAAGGTCAAGAGGTTATGGAAATTTGAGTGGGTTGTAGTGGTACAAAGTCCTGACTTCTCCTAGTGTGTGTGTGAAAGTAAAAGATTATCGTTCTCTATAATAAGATATATTTTTTTGTTACACTCTCGTGATCACCCCTCTACTTTCTGTACTTCAAAAGACGATGATGTATAAATTGCTTACCATTCCTAACTTGAAATCCTAAATCGAAAATTCAGCTCGGATCCTAACTCGGCAAACAGGCATCATTGGTGACAAAATTTTCGCAGGATTTATAGAAATAACCACGTTTCCTGTTGAATTTCAACATTTTTCGACGGAACATGCCAACGGACCCCCCTAAATGTTCGCGTCTTCGGCCGTCGTTGAGCTCGTTCGTAGCCCCACTAAATCAAACGTTAGTTCACGTTGAACTAAGCTGTCGGCTTTTTATCACAGTTAGCTTGCTCTTACCGGTATTTGTTTTGGCAAATTTGTCCATTGGTATTCTGGATGAGGGGGAAAGCAAGTGGGCAACGCATGTAAAACATGTATTTCAATCAACAGTTTATTGTCTGTTTTCTAGGTCTCCTTTTTACTTGGTCGTGCACGAATATCTCCGGGTTAGAAGGATGTTATAGAACTGGTGGCAAAATAGAATCCAATGGATCTGAGCTAACACTAAACAGTGGCCTTTTGCTCGAAAACAGTTCGTATTTCGTAAATGTGAAGGTTATAAAGGATCAGAGGCAAGCCGAATACACACAGGAAGTGTTTATTGCTCCAGGCGACCCGCCAGAAATACAAATAAGGTGAGCAACGGTGAGATCCTTTTCCATTGCACTCTCATTTAGATTGTGGTCATTTTTAAGAAATTAGGGACTTCAAGATCCAACGACGCGACGACAATGAGAACGTCGCTTAAAAAGTGAATTTGCGTTCTTTCAGTCTATGTGGTAATTATTCCTACCCACTTACTTTGTCAAATGAAGGCGAGCCCTCCTGGAGATGAATTCCTAGGCACCATATCCAAGTACAGAAGGAGAAATAAAATTTCGTCGTTGCTTGTTTACTTCCTCCGTAAAACGCGAAATTAGGCATGTTCACGTCGTAGTCGTGCAAAAACGGGCAGAGAAATGTACAAAAAACCATGGTGCACGTGCAAAGTTGTTGTTTTGCTAATCAAACCTATTGTTTTTTTTTTTTACGTTCTCATTACCGTCCGCGTCGTTAGATCTTAAAGTCTCTATTATTTCTATGGAAAGAAATGTACGTGCAGTAAAACCCTGGTAACTTGAACTCTGAAGGAAAACGAAAAACAGACTGAGGTAACGGGGAATTCGAGTTATCCGAGTTCGAGTTAACGAGGTTCTACTGTATCTAGTTTAAAAAGTAAACTACATTCATTTCAAAAGCATTTCGTCAGAAATGAAAGGGACTGCTGAACTTCTAGACGCGAGTATTATTTTTAGTACGAAAAGGTGAAAACAATGTTGGGATAAAGGATAAGTAATAATACCTCGTGATAGCTTTTGTTTCGATAAATAAAATAATTTGCTTAATTGATTCACTTTTGGATTCAGAGTCAGGCCTGACTTTAACAACACAAAAAGGAATGTACTTAAGAGACATTTGCAATTCATTTTAGCCGATCACGGTTTTGCAACGGACTTACGAACTGATCGGAATTGATAGTTTTTATGTCAAATTAGTTTTTTATCTTAAATGTTACAGATGTGTGGATAATTGTAACGGAAAATTGAATCCATCGGGCAGAATAGCTCTACAAGGAATTTGCACCGGGTTTTTGTGTGAAGGATCTCTTACCTACAAATGGTTACTTTTGAAAGCTACTAACCTCAGCTACTCAAACGAGACCCAGTGGGTGGAGATTACAGAGATACAACAGCTCCTAAGTACACAACTGTATTCAAGAACGCTGGTCACTTACCCAAGAGTCTTGGAGGCAGATGAAACATATAAGTTTGTGTTGACCGCAAAGAGACCCGGGGGTTATCCAGGATATTCTGAGTACCAAGTAATCACCAACAGCCCTCCTACTGGAGGATACTGCCAAGTGACTCCTCAATCAGGCATCACTTTAGTCACAGAATTCTCCTTTTCTTGTGTTAACTGGCAGGATGACGATCTTCCTATGCAGTATGAATTTATTTACTTTACAAATAGTGATCTTCTGAATGTAGTTTACAAGGGCTCACAGCCCAGCCAACACACAAAGCTTCCTCTTGGGGAGAGAGAGAAAAACTTTACTATGGACTTTCGGGTGAGAGTGGCGGACATGTTTGGAGCATTCACTGAAGTTAAGACGCCTGTTCAAGTGAGTACATGAGCAATAGAACCTTTAAATGCCCAAGTTTTAAGGATTAAAAAATTGTCAGGAAAGTTAAGAGAGGTCGTCCAAATAAAACTACGTAGAGAAGGTGAAGAGAGAGTTTTTCTGGTATTAGCTACATTTCATGGAAGTTAAGTTCGAAAAGTAACTTAGTCATATCCGTTTTGACGTTTATTAACACCTCCTTTGGTTGTTGCAAAACTTGTCATCGTTATGTTAAAAAAGGACTTGATGTGAGGTGATATAATTTATTTCAGCTTCTGTGATTATGATGGTTACAAGGTTAAAATATGATTTATCCGTTCGTTTACTGTTGTGCATATTTTCTCTTATTTATTCCCAGTGAAGTCTTAGTGTTTTTTCCCTAATGTTTTTTCTAGTTGCTTTCACCTGAAGCAGGAAATGAAATTTAACATCAAGCCTAGCAGATAAATTACCTCCTTTTGCTGTTAGACTAATCTTCCAGGCCCCAGTTGTTCAAAGGGTGGATAACGCTATCAACTGGATGAATCACTATCCAATGAATAATGCAGCTGGTTTCTCTGACACTAGTCCACTGGAAAGTGCGTTATCCGGTGGATGGCGCTATCCAACGTTCCAATAAACGACAAGCTGAGCTTAATTCATTTTCATATACAGACTATTATCTGCAAAGACGACTAGCTGATGACCCAGAACATGACCATTCGTTTGAGTGTGTCGACTATACCATCGATTTGTGACTGTTGTCGGCTTTAATTTTATGATAGGTTGTGGAGCCCACTGACGGGAAAGAAAATCTCGTGGACATTGCTACAAATCTGACAACCGGAGAAAACAGTGAATTAACCAAATTAATCCAGTCAGGTGACCTGTCACGTGCCTTCCAATTGGCCACAGCCGCCATTGTAGCTGTCGATGATAACACGCAGACAGTGTCGCAAGACTTAACGGCAAAAAGGATTGTGGTAATTTTCATATAATGACTCCAACAGAATTCCGTTTTCCTTCTTCACCTTTTGGTGGTGGTATCTTTTCGAGAAATAGCCTTGTGGTTAAACACAGAATGCCATAAATATGTTTTTTCATTCTTCAACCAAATATCAGTAGACCTTTCCGCATTCACAGCATTCGGTTCAAGTGAGCCCGCACAATGAAACTAGACCGAGGTTTAGGGTGACAATTCCCGATCCATACACACGTTGACCGAATTTTTTTTATCCCGAGCCCGGAGTTGGTGTTGGAATGCGTGAACGGTCTATTTTATAAAAAATCTGGTATTTCTAATCTTTTCTACATGCTGTCTGAATAGATGAAGTCAAGTATTTTGCAACAGATGTCGGCTGTCAAAGCAGAAACTGTGCTAAGAGTCCAACAGATATCAAACTTAATTGCTGAGGCCAGTTCGGTTATCAGCGAAGTCACAGTTAAGGCACAAGTAAGTGATTAATTAAAATAACTTTATTATGGGACATGGTCATAATAATTCTCTCTTGTCATAATAGAATAACAACGTAAATCTCTCCGTCAAACCAGACTCCTCGTCTTACGGACATAGATTAATTAAACTCTGTCAATAAAAGGTTGCTAACAAACCTTTATTAGTCCTTGACACCTTTCTATCACCACGTCTTTTGAGGAAACCGCTACGGATGCCCTTGTGACAATGACGTCAGTACTAAAGGCGGAATCATTGGCCGGGGAGAACTACGAAACGATTTTGGAAGGAGCGCGTAGTCTAGTGACTGGTCTCGGAAGTATACTCAGAGTGACGTCTTTTGGAGCAAAAGCGCACGATTCACAATACCCTCACCAGGATTCTTCCAACTATCGACGGCGGAGGAGTACTAGAAACGGAACGTCACTTGTGTCAGATATCTTCGTGAAAAGGCAAAAGAGGAGCACGATAAACGAAACCTTTGATGAGAAACTGCAGGTACTAAAATGTTACGAGTTCAGGGTGTGGGGAAATGCATGGGTTGGATGTTACTGTCGAAGACGGCAGGACATGATAAGTGAAGCGAAAGGCAAGGTGCCCCTTTTTCCGTTATAATCGCATTTCTTCAAGAAGAAATGCAACTCCTTACTACGGGAAAACCCGGATGGTTTGCTGCCACGCTTGAATTACCCATCTCAGGCATTTCATCGGGTTAATTATTATCACGCTGTTAGCTGGGGAACAAGGGTGGCGCAGCGCTAAGAGCACTCGCCTCCCACCAATGTGATACGGACTGAAGTCCCGGTGTCAACGCGACAAGTGGGTTGAGGTCTCGGCCTGTTAGTTCTCTCCTTTGCTCCGAAAGGTTTTTCTCTGATTACGCCGGTTTTCCCGTCTCCTGAAAAACCAACATTTCCAAATTCCAATTCCACCAGTAATCAGGTAGACCAAGTGGATGTGCTACCTCTATATCGTTATTTATTTGATTTAGGTAGTAGTTATTCAATTGTTGGTCCCTGCTTCTAGACAGACTCATGGGCAAACATAATCTTAAAGGCCTTCCAGGCGGAGTTAAAGTTTGTCAACTGAATTTACTTGTAAATTTTGCTATATAGACAGTCACACGACACACTGATAGGGTATGGCCATTTTTAAAATCATACTTACATGATCCATTAGGTGTGCGTCCAGCATACTCTTTCAGTCAGGAAATTGAACATGCTGTTTACTCGCCCAGTAATGTTTCTTCCCCACCAATGAAAACGGTATTTCCCTCTTAAAAGAGTATCTTGATAAGAAATTATGCCTTTTTAAGTCAAAAAGACGTACAGAAGGTATCCTTGATTCTTTGGATGATGTCGGAAGTACGATTTTATCCCGAACGCTGGTCGGAGAGGAGCCAAAAGAACTTTCAGCCAAGTCCGTGACTATGCTTGTTGCCCGTATGGAGCCAGATTCATTGGCTGATTCTGTACTTGCAAGCAAAGGAAACAGTTTTACTCTTCCACCATCTACTGAACTGTTTCGGAACAGTACACAATTTGTGGATAGTCAGGTATGATAATGGAGAACAGCTGAAATACCTGCAATATATGGTGTAGGCGCGATTGATGGTTTGAATGCATCCATTTTGTTACTTTTAGCCATGATTAACACACCTGAACATGTAAAGTAGTTATATGAAGTGAATAATTGACTGGTTTATGATACTACAGGCCCCGACTGGGAAACGAACATGAGCTAAGTAAGAATATCAGATTTTGCGTGTTTGAGCTTAAATTTTCCAAGAGTTATTAAGAATCTTCATCAGACGCCAATTCGGTCAATGATAATTAGATTATAAGGATAAGATTGACCTTTATTGGGTCCATACAGCCATTTTTTATCTTATTGATGTTCTAATAGAATTCCCTTTCTCAGATCAGTTGTATTTTTCTTGAAAGCCTCTGCTCTTTTATGCTTTAAACAGGTGATAACAACGGATTATGTGCCTTTCTCTTGGGACGCCTCTGCTTCGCGAGTCACCACTAAAGTTTCAAGCCTTGAGCTGAAGAATAGTATCGGGCATACCTTCAATATAACAGACCTTAAGATTCCGATACTGATCAGCCTCGCTAATGATCAGAATTTTACTAATACCTCTCAGTCTCATTTCGTTGGATCCAACAAGACTGTTTACCACAGGATTAATGTAACGACAGAAGAGGTAGCTCTCTTACTCAAGATACAACCAGAAAGTAGCGCTAGCGAGTTCTTAGTGTATGGGAAATACAATCTAAGATCGTCCTCAGTCAACAGTGATTTCAACAAGACAATACCCGACTTTTCGTCGTGCGTTTACGACCATGTATTAGATAGTTATGTCAATTGCTCTCGTGATCCGTACATGGTTGTAGTGGACAGTGCATATGTCAACCAGACAGGATACTACTTCATTGGAATAACATTCAAGTCCAGAACGTCTGGTACCAAGAGAGTCAGACGATGTGTAGGTGGTCAAGGGCGGTTCAAGCGATCGTGCGTTCAATATAAGGAGCCTCCTACCACAAGTGCTGCTTTTCACATACCTCAGTACCTGCCAGGGGACGAAAACTATACTATGCTGGTCATACCGGCTGCTTGTCTGTACTGGAGCACGGCGCTGTCTAAGTGGACAACAGAAGGATGTAACGTAAGAAAACCTATAACTACCTCTTCTACTAAGAAAATCCTATAAAGTGGATCAACAGTTTGAGTAGACATTTAACGCAGATAAACTGTGTCTTATTTGACAGAGAAAGAAAATTTAAAGAACGTTAACAGAACATCGAATTTAAGCATTTTGAGGACTTTTTTTCAAATTGTTGGATAATTCTATTTTATTAGAAACGAACACGGCCATTCAATGATCACAATTCAATTTACAACTGTTCTACAAATTCTCAAATTCAAATCATTCATTGAAAAATATTTCATTTGCAAAAACACAAAGTTTTCTGGTGAGGTTAACGCATTTGCTTTTACTCAATCTACAGGTAGCTGAAACTTCAGGCGAAGACTCTATCCACTGTTCTTGTAATCACTTGAGCGCTTTCGGAGGTCAGTTGTTTGTGGCACCAAATCCCATTGATTTTGACAAGGTCGTGACGGAATTCTCTCGTCTTCACGAGACTGGGAATGTAGCTGTGATTGCTGCCATCGGCTGTGTTTTTGGAGTGTATTTGCTCCTTCTGACGTGGGCTCGGAAGTATGATAAGCTTGACCACCTCAAGGTAAACGAAAATTAGACTGCAAGCACGGACGGACTACAGAAAAAAGAGAGACTGCTCGTAGTCTAAACGAAAATTTCATTCTTGCAGCAACAGAAAAGTGAAGGCACTCGCACTCGCTTGTGAAAGTTTTAATACTATAAAACACTCTAGCCTTCTAGTAGAAAGTTTACCCCGTTTCTCTTACCATTTTTAGCGAGTAGAAAAGAAAGGAACATTCTTTTAGTCGTACTTTTATCTCTGCTCTTCCTGTAGCTTGGCAAAAGGTCGCTCCTAGGAGTTCGTTCACCTTGGGCCCACTTCTACGAGGTTGAAATATCCACCGGTTTTTGGCGAAACTCGGGAACCACTGCTAAAGTTTTTGTGATGTTGGAGGGTGAACAGGGAACAAGCCGTCCATATCAGTTGAAACTAGACTCTTGCATACCATTCGCACGAGGTAGTGTTTTATCCTTCACTCTTTCAGTACCTGTGGACATTGGCCCCATACGGCGGGTGCGCGTATGGCATGACAATTCTGGCTCCAGTCCTTCATGGTTTCTCAACTACATAAAGGTCAGGTCTTCAAATAATCTGTTTTTTTTTTTTAACCTAAATCAAGCTTTAAGTGAAACGTGACGTCAATCTTAATACGTCCTTCAGGGCTGTCACTGAGGGCCTGGGCCGGGAATTTGCCTTGGCTGCTTTCATGGAAAATGAAAGGAAAATAGATCAAAGGAACCTGTTAGCTGTTCAATTCCCCTCCTACTAATTGCATATACCCTACAACTAGGAATAGTTTCTCTTGCTTATAAACTAACGTAAGCAAACCGAATGACTCTCTTTGTAATACTACATGTCATTATAGGCAAAAAAAACCCAAAAGTTGCTTTTTGCAAGCTGGCATAAATAATGGTCGTTACATACAGATGCACAACCCAAAAACAGCATTTTCTAAAGGGGTTCGTCTGTTTTCAAAGGGCGGTGTTTATCGTTGTTTTCCTCTTACCAGCGTCCATTCATTGAGATTGTCCTTCGGATTAAGTTCTCTTTGTATAATATGTCATTCTTTTTTTTAGGTTTTTGATGTAACTGCTCAGACACTAATGATTTTCACGTGTTACTTGTGGCTCGCTGTGGACAAAGGTGATGGACTTGTCGATCGCACCCTCTCATCGTCGACAAATGAGAGAGGAGTTGACTTTACGGTTTACGTCCAGAATAGGATTGCTGAAGAATTCAGCGATGAGCATTTGTGGTTTTCTGTTGCCACCAGATCTCCGAGCCACAGATTTACACGTGTTGAACGCTTGTCGTGCTGTTTATCTCTTCTACTATGTGAGATGCTGGTGAGTGCTATGTTTTACCAGCTTGATACGAATATGAGCAACACACAAGGCACGATTCGTTTGGGTCGTTTCGTGCTTGACCTTCGTGAGTTTATTATTGCAGTACAGAGCCTTTTTATTGTACTGCCAGTTAATCTATTGATCGTGATGATCTTTACTCACGCAAAATCAACGAAAGAAGAAGGATTTGCCAAAAACCTTGACAATCAGAAACTTAAATTTTCTCTACCACACTGGTGTGTCTACGTCGCAAGGCTGATGTGCTTTCTAGCAGCCGTTGGTCCTGCCACCTTTCTCGTCTTCTACAGTATGCAGTGGGGCAAGGATACGAGCGAACAGTGGTTAATTTCAATTGTGATTTCACTTTTCATAGAAATCTTTGTATCCGAACCACTTAGAATCATTGTCGTCGCATTTATGCTGTCACACATTTTTGAAACCCGTGTTGAGAGCTCCTATCAGACGCCCTACTATGTTGATCCTGTTCTTGATGTTGATGATATTCTTTTAACTGAAGAAGGTCAAGGGGAGGAGGATCTTGAAATACCGAAGCCACCAAACAAGAAAAAGCTACAACGTTCTCGGAAAAACCGACTAAGGGAGCTTCACATGTTCAAGGCTTTGAGAAAAATAGTGTCTTACATCGTCTATTTGACTATCCTTCTCGTGGTGTGTTACGGCGGACGAAGTGAACATGGCTTCTGGATGACAGCCTCTGTTAGTGAAGCGTTTGGAAACCTAAACAAGGTAAGAGTGAAGGAAATTGCTGAGGGTAGTTCTGAACAAAACTACACTCAACAACATGTGCGGAAGTTATCATCATTTGTATTACTAACAGTTAAATAATGGTGTACTATGACATTATGTCTATTTCAGTGAATAAAGAGAATTCGTCATTGTTGTGACGTTTTTAACCCATATGCTTATTGTGCGCCACTGTTTTAGATTTCATCTCACGTGAGCACGTGGCACTGGGTACAAGAAGTCTTGGTACCTGGTCTGTTTCAGGATGGAAAACAACAACAACAAAACGCCTCTGGCCCTTATGTTGGTGATGGAGAAGCAGTTCTTGTCGGGATGCCACGTCTTAGGCAGCTCAGAGTGAAAAAAGGTTTTCGTCTTAGTTTGTTACTGAATCTTAACGATGAGAGTTAAGTTGCAATCGATGGTATCCCGGTAGTTGGACGGAAGACAATCATACCAGACGTAGTTAATCGATAGAAATCGATATCGATCGATTTAATCCGCTGATTGATATCGCAAATCGATAGAAATCAAAGTAACAGAAAAGATAATTTAACGATTATAATTGATTAACAAAAATCGATAACAACAGGTAGTAGTCGATAGTAATCGATAACAACCAATAATCTTGAAGTGAATATTCTGAAGATGACGATGCTATTTGGCAAGCAACACCAATGAAACCGGCTTAAGCGTAACACATTTTATTTTTGACTTCAGCAACTACCCCAGGCGCAGTCTTCGTCACGTTCCATTTTTTGTTTCTTTCGTTTGCTGGTTTGTTTTAATAGATCTTTACGTGTCCATTCAATCATGCGCCATCGACTGCATCTTGCAGTTCTTTGTTTTGCATTCCTTGCAATCTCGCGGACACTGGAATCCAATGGAATGGCATGCTCCATGCTTATGGAGTTGCTACAGCGAAATAGAGTTATTTCCTGCTACTTTCGCAGCAATTTGTTTCCTCGTTATAAACTGCGCTTAAGCTAAAAAATCAAAACAAAGAGCAATTTGTTCCTGTTAGTGCATATCACAACTGAATGACTCAATAATACCGTACGGACAACGTCGTGTTAATGTTGAACTTCTACCGAATGACTTAAGTCTTTTTTCATAATAATCGATAGTAATCAGTAATAATCGATAAATCAATCATTAAGTCACAACTTTTTTCTTTATTGATTTCTATCGATTGATATCGGAAATCGACATTCATCGATTATTGATATCGATCACTATCGATTATTATATTATTATCGATTATCGGTTTATCGATTAACTACGTCTGGAATCATAACACACAACTATTCAGTTGAAATTTAAACTTGAATTTGTTGTGAAACCATTTTCAGATTAGGGTAGATATCACCAGTCTCATACCTCGTCAAAATATGCTTTCGTATCGTTAAATCTATTTATCCGTCGAAACCACCTTGTGACAGCAGACAATTTTAAAATCCCTTTCTCTGTGGAGAGTAGTTTTTGTGAGTTTTCTTTGGTATTCTTGAATGCTTCTTGTTGGGAATCAAAATCACGTCCTCTCTTTTTCTTTTCAGATTCGTGCGAAGTTCCTTTTCAAACACGGAATTTGTTCAACTCGTGCGTGAGCTCCTATTCGTCCAAAAACGAGGACGAAACCCAATATTACTTACCAAGATGGCGACTTTTATCATCAACTGAAAACGTGTTATTACGCGATCTCGATCAGCTCTGCCCTACTGCATGGCAGTATGCCTCAGCACAGCAAACCTGTAGTCTTCATTTTTGGGGGCACCTTTATCCTTTCTGCATTTATGGTCGTGGAGGCTACCTGGCAGAACTCGGTTACGACAATAATACTGCATCGAAAGTCATCTCTGAACTTAGCGAGTTAAACTGGATTAACAGATTTACAAGTGTGTTGTTTGTGGAGTTCACAGTGTTTAACCCAGGGGTTAGCCTCTTTAGCACGTTAACGATCGCTATTGAGTTCTCACCGAGTGGGTACGTGCTTTCCAATCAAGTCATTCGCACTATGCATGTTTATGACCTTGGTGGGGGGTACAGCACTGTTACTATCCTCTGTCAAGTGTTACTAGTGTTTTTCATCATTTACTTTATCGTCACTGAAGTAAGGCAGATGATACTAGGTGTTCGCCAATACTTCAAACAATTCCTTAACTTAGTGGAGTTAGCGCAGACAGTTACAGTCATCGCTTTTGTTGTAACTCACGTCTTGAAAGAAACAGAACTCTTTGAGAACACAGCTAAGCTCCAGGAGAACGTTTTCCAGTTCATCAGCTTTGATAAAAGCGTTCTGTTAGATACTTTAGAGTCGATTTTCGTCTCGTTGCTGATGTTTTTCAACACACTAAAGCTGCTGTATTTGCTCAAGTTTAATAGTCACGTGAATCACTTGTTTAGTGTCATGAAAAGATCTGCTTTTGAACTTCTACACTGCTCGTTGGGACTTCTAGTGTTCATGTTGACATTTATTCACACAGGATATCTTTCATTTGGGAAAGATCTTGAAGCTTATTCGTCTCCTTTAACGGTTTTACAAACTCTACTTGTAGAGGGCGTTATCGGTGAAGGGACCAACTATTTTCAAGACTGCTGTATCCTTGGGCGTGTTTATATGTTGGCCTTCAAGCTAGGCCTTAACTTTATTTGCATCAATTTTTTCATTGCCGTTCTTGATGATAACTACCAAATTGTTAAAGATCTTTCCAAGAGGAAATTCAATCTTGGGTTGTTTATGATAAAAAAGATGAAGGAAATGCTGGGCTGCGTTGGAGCCGAGACGGAGGCAACTATACAGCCAGACACTCCCGTGGAAAGAAAGAACAGAGAGCACAAAACAAAGGAAATTGAAGTTCTTAACTTCAACGAGTCGATATTAACGCCTGATGTGCATTTCGAAGAAAGAATGAAGCAGATCAATCAAAGCTTGAATGAGATTTATGCCGACGAGTTTGGTGAGGACAGCGACATACTTCGCTTGTGGCTCGACATTCGCCCACAACAGTTTAAAGACTCAGAAGCTACAGACGAACTTGAACAAGAGCAGAATTATCAGTGTGTTCTCGCGTGATAGTTGTGAGAAACTATGAGATGGTCGGGTGGTTTTTAACATCCCTTGTTACAAAGTTTTAATTTTATACTTGTTGTAATGTAGCCACACTTACGACTCTATGAACTTTTCGTTTTCAGTAAACTGTCTTTAAAACGTACCTATGACTTTTTTAGTGCTTTCATGGTTTTTGTCGTATCCAGTTTTCGACCTTTTATGGAAAGGCAGTGTCAGCGTAAGGACGGTGACTTTAATAGGGTCACTCTTCGTGGCTGGTGTAAGAATATGCCATATGCTCTTAAGTTGTAGTTTCAGGATATTGCTCGTAGCATTTTCGTCCAACTTACGAACATTGTATCCAGTAATTACTGATAGATTCTTTTTTTTCTTACTTGCCCCTTGTATACCTCACCAATTCAGTTCAATTTCCCTCCTCAATTGCAATTGTCTTTCTAACGCCACCACCGCTAAACTATTAATAGTTAACCTTTAAAGACACAGACTATCCAGCCAAATGTGATGCCAAAACCTTCTCGTTTAGCTTAATAATTTATTTAATTTCACACTGATAAATACTGAATTTTAAACAGTCAATTTAAACAACCTATCTATTATTAAATACCGATTAATCAATCTCTTTTGACAAAGCAAGTAATTCAAAAAGTATAAAATGGAAAGCAAATATGGCCTGCGGAATTTAAACTTCGTTGTACTTTTTCAGAACGTCTTGTTTTTACTTGAACATTCGTTTTCGGTGAGTTGAAGCCGAGCAGCAATTGTCTCAATTTTGTCTTACTTGAATAGTTTTTATGATTAATTAATACCCTTGCATGAGTCTGACCAATTATTGTCATAACTATTAATGCTTCTACACATCCTTTCCTCGAGTCTCCCCTGCTGAACCTTTTTTCTGCAGAAAGCTAACAACAACAAATCCGCGGAAATAAAAAGTATAAAAATAGCGATTTAAAACAAAACATAGCTCTATAAAACAAGCTCATTCAAAACTCTACTGTTTGTTATTTTTCTATCCCGTCTCGAGAATTCTTGTGAACGCATGAGAAGTAATTTGCCATGTTTCAGCGCACAATAATCTTTCCCTGAAAATCTTATTTCGTGTGAAAAATCCTTGCGATCAACACAAATTGTGACGCCTTTAAATTAAAGGGTTTTCATTTCAAAGGATTAACAAAGTAAATTAGACAGTTTTTGAAAATTAAGTTACATTCTGTACTCCCATTCGCACAAACTCCCTCACAAGTTCTTTTAAAAATAAAAATTATTTGCCGGAAAACAGTGCGACATAATGTATCCTCTCAAGTTTACTTTTTCACGAGCTAGATTGATCGCCACGTTCTTATTTTGTCGTTCTCCTGCGCAGTTTAAAAAGTGTCCGGCTTATGGAATGCCCTCTATTTCTCTTGATCTAACATTTTCTTTGAACTGTCCAACAATGTTGCCGGGCGGGAAGTACTTTCCAACGACTATATTTCTTCCGTCAGGGGCTACAACCATTCCCATCCCGAACTCCTCCGTTCCCACCCAGACTAACTGTGTAAAATGCCCTGTGTCAGAACTGAAGCCAGGGCTGTCAAAGTCATAGTCTTGCACTTCATCGTACCACATGTCAATTGCCGCCCGTGCGGAGAGAGGACTATCCCACGTGTAAGCCAGGTTCTCCCCACGGTCCTTTTGTCCGCTGTGGGTCAAGGAATCCGTTTTAGCCAGGCGTTCGGCATAATTCTGTGCCTCTGCAGCCAGGAGAGGTGACCAGCGAAGAGCCGGTGCGCTGTGAAATGTACGGTAGTAATTGTGCGAAATGACGCACTCTGTTTTGAATTTTTCTGTGTATCAAAGAGATTAAAAGATCAACTGAAAATTCATCGAATGACTAGAGATGCACAAGCAAGCAAAATAAGTTTTGCATCAAATATAATCCGTTCTCGAAACACGTACAGAATTCGTCATAGTCTTATAATACAGTAAAAGCGATGAAGTGGTACCTCACATAACACTTCCTTAAGACGTGGGAAATAGTATCAGTTCCGAAATGTATCGGGATTAATTGTCAAATCCCAGAGGGCTAAACTAAGCAGAGCCTCATTACAGGAATTTTTGGTGCTTTTCAAATTTGGGGCTTGTATTCGGAGAGGCCGGTTTCGGAATTTTACGGTACTCTTTCAGCCGTTCATTTTAAAGGAGAACGAAGTATTCAACACGCCTGAAAAGGAGAAATATTGCAAATAGTAACGGAATGGGCAATTTCCTGTCACAAATTTCCCCCTAATTATAAGCCTAGTCGAGTTTGAAAGGCTAATTTCCCTTATGTTTTTCTAAGCCCCTACAGACCTTGAAAACGTATAGCCCCTGGAATTCCTGTAGGGATTTGACGGTATCGGCTTGCGCAATATCGACTTGACGTTATCAATCGTCAATGTTTTGACCTTCTCTTACTCGACGTTAGACGTACCTTTTTCAGCTGGTGTGGAAGGCATTCCTGACCTTGACCGTCTCCTGGCACTCGATCTTCGTCTTTTCAGGCGACTTGAGGGATCTCTTGGTGGTTTAACGTTTTCCTTAAACTCTCCCAGGATATTTCCTGCAGGTTTATAACGCGCGACAATATACTGCGTTCCATCACTGGCAAGACACCTTGCCGCACCAAACTCTCGAGAAGACGCCCAAACGACCTGCGTAAAGCGTCCACATTTGGCATTAAAAGCAGGGTCTTCAAAATTATAGTCTTCTACTTCTTTATACCACATATCTACAGCTTCTAAAGCACTGAGCTCCTTGCCCTCAGCGCTCATCAGATTTTCTCCTACGTCTTTCCCCTCGAAGCTCTCCAAGGCATTTAGGGAAGCTAAATGCTCTGACCACCTTTTGGCCCCCTCGGCCAACTCTTCTGACCACTTGAACGGTTTCACTCGGTGTTGTCGACGGTACAGGTTGTGTTGTAAGAGGCAGTCTTGTTCGAAGTTGTCTAAACCTGAAGAAATAGAGAATGGGGGGCAAAACATTTAGACAACACGACTGTCGTAGGTTCACAAGAAACTTATTTAAGCAAGCTCACCTTCCAGGTCAACTGAAGTTGTAGCGGATAAGGATCCCTCACTCGACACACTTTGCTCACCAGACGAGTCACTACTTAGTTGTTGTTCCGTTTTCTCCTCTTTTGCCCTACTCAATTCGGAATGTCCTTTTTGGTCTTGTTGGTCTTCAGATAAACTTTCGCCCCTTGCTTCCTCGTTTGTGCGAGATTTACTGTGGGCAACCTCGACCGATGAGTCATCCGCAGCTTTAAATTGTTCACCTGTCCTAGGATCTTCTTGTCTTGAAGGAGAACGTTCTACGGATTGCTCTTCCTTTTCTGTACTAATCTGTTTTTGCGTTTCCGTAAAGCCGTCATCATGTGATGTTTCTTGTTGTTTATCATGATACTCAGGTTCGGTGAAAGCAGATGCCTGTTGAATTGAAGAAGCTATCATTGTCTGAGCTAGTTCGTCTTCATGTAACGTTTCTTCGCTGCTAGAATGCACATCTGAATGAAACACATTTTCGTCTCCTACTTCTTCTTCCAAATCAGCAATTTCGTCATCATCAGATTCTACCTGGCTCAACTTCTCTTCTAAAATGACAAATGACTCCAGCCTCTCGTACTCTTCCAACTGTCGCTGTTCTTCTTCGTCCAACTCATCTGAATCGTCCATCTCAAATTCTGGGGATTCCCGAATTTCCTCCAAGCCAGTGTTCTCAGACCCTTCCTGGAAAAAACTCTCTGGCTTGGGATCTTCGATGTCCACCTTGTCATCTCTAGCAGATTCTACATCACGATTTTCAACGTCGTTTTCTTCTTCGGGAATTACGTAAATCTCTCGATGGTCAGAGATGTCTTCTTCGCCAGAAGATTCAAATTCGTCACCGTACTTCACTAGTATAAACTCTTCCAGATTTTCTTCCAAGGGATCTCCCTGACGCACGTACTTTTCAGTGTAACATGTTTGGTCTTCCATCTCTTCATAATGTGGTTCCAAGCTTTCACTTGATGACAGTTCTACGTAGTAGCGTGTTTCAAGGCCACTCTCGTCTTCTTCGTACAAATCCACTTGGCTCAAGTCTAACGGTTTCCTTTGTGTAGACGGATCAGATATTTCTGAGTGGTTATCACTTTTCTTGTCCGTTTGATCTTCTGTTCTCATGCTGCCGGCACCCACATGTTCTGCATTTTCAACTATCTCTCCATCGCGTTCTTCTATACCTATGGGGTGATCTCCTTCTAGTATCACTGTGCGTTCTATTGTTTTATCTTCATCACTGTCCTGTGTTTTAATTTGTTCTTCCTCATTTGGAACAGTAGATATCTCTAATTCTTCTTCAAATAATGCAACTTCCTTGCTTCGTACGTCTTCCTCAGTTTTCTGTTTTTCGACATGTTCTACCTCAAGTTCTACTTCTAAGACGGGTGACTCTTCCTGACTTGTGATCGCCGATACTTCTACCTCTTCTTCAAGCAATTCTCTCTGCTCGACATCTTTATCTCTCTCTTGTTGATCTTCTTGAAATGACCTATCCTCCGCAGGAAGCGTCGATATTTCCAACTCCTCCTCGAACACAGGTGACTGTACTCTGAGTTTCATCTCCCCAGGTGACTCCGAAGCTTCTGTAGTCAGAGCCTTTTCTTTCCTTAAGGCTGTAACTTCAACTTCTTCACAAGCGTGAATTCCTACCACTCCATCGTCAGATTTACCCAACGCTTCGTCTACTCTTCTTACTTCACATTCTTCTTCGTATAAAGGATCTTCGTCCCAAATCCCAGTTTCCCCTTCGTAAGGAACATTTTTTTGATCACTTCTGTGGATTAGACTCTCGCGTTCTTCCCATTTTCCCGTTGCATCCACTGAGACCCCCTTTGAGGATCGTGATTTGAGACGATCTCCTTTATCTGCTCCCTCTCCTCGAAATTCTTGTTCTGATAATGCTTCATCCACTCGCATTATATCAATTTCCTCCTCAAACTTTTCACCTTCTGACTCCTTTTCAAGGGAGACTTCGTCATCTTTTAAGATTGCTGTTATGCTATCCTCTCGCATTAACGTCTGCTCATGTCCTTCACTAGCAGGTGTCGGAACGACAAAGGCCCTTACTAAAGTAGTCTCTCGTTCCACAGTTATTCGGGGATTATCTAACTGAGCTTTAAGTTCTACTGCCTTGTATTCCAAGACCTCACTTTTCATAAGGCGGACTTCTGTCTCCTCCTGCGAGAGCTCTCGTTCAAATCTTTCTGATTCCTGATCTTTTGTCTCCCTTTCTAAAATACTTTCGCTTAGTTCATCGTTGGTTTCCAAGGGATTTTCCATCTCTTCCTTTATCCACAGTCTTTGCTGTCTTGTTCCTTGTATCTCTGTAAAAGATACTTCCTCGATATTCTTAACTTCTTCACGGGAGATACACGCTCCGTTGGTCGTTAAGTGATGTTTAGTTTCTTTCGTCGTGACTTCTCCCCCAGAGGCTAAAGTGGTCGAGGACGAATACTGTACAGTTCTTGTTGACATAACTTCGACTTTCGTTTCCATCTTATGCGAAACTTCCATTTGCTCTCCTTTTTCACCGACGAGCACAATTTCACCTCGTTGAGTTTGGCTGACACTGTGGCTCTCTTTACTTTCTAACTCCAAGTAACTAGATTTGTCTACTGACCTTTGCATTTGCCCCTTCTTGTGTTTCTCCCGAAATGTTTCGACATGTTGGCTACCTTTCGTAACCTCTACCTCCCAGACCTCTTGTCGTATTTCCTCTCTATGAACAACTTGTTCCTGTTCGGCAGGTAGTGAGACGACTTCTTGTCCACCGAGTTTCTGAGCATTATCAGTTTCATCCTCTGCAGTTTCTGTACCAGTCGCATCAACACGTTCACGTAGAGTACTTAAATCAGATTGACTGTTTGTCATTTTCTCATTAATTCCTCCTGTGTCTATAAATTTGTCGGCAAACTCTCTTCCGTCAGGTTCGTCTTCTTCTTTCTTGACACCTTCGGTACATTTTGAGTCTAATACGTCTGTAGTTGTTTGCAGCGGCGACTGAGAGGTGCCAACGCTGGTTTGTGTCGGTAAAGCGTCCTCGACTTCACCGTACTCTGCGTACTCTCGAGCTGTTTCTATGACTGTTGATTCTTCCTTTAAAATATTTTCCTTATACGCATCTTGTGAAAGTTCTTCGGTTATGAAAAGTGGCGGTAAACCTTTAGTTATTGTGATCTCCGAAACATAATCACCTTCCTCATAACTTATAGCGTGGTATCTTTCGCTGCCATATTCTTCGTTGATTGTTTCAAAATCTTGAAAATCCTTTAGTTCACTGGATACATGAAGTGGCGAAGACGAACTCTCTGACAACAGTTCTGAAACAGAGCCTTCCTCGCTTTCTTCAAAGGGCTCCACAAATTCTTCTTTCTTTATTATTACGCTATCCTCCAAAACAACCTCAGATACGCAAAACTCAGCAGCCGCATGTGACTCAACGCACTGCTCCTCCGTAGGATGTGCAGTGCTTGTTTCCGTTTCGTATCCCTTCGTGTTTTTTGCATCCGTTTCTTGACGCTCTTCGACGAGATAAACATCATCGTCCTCCTCGTCAGAAATTTTGCCAGCAAGATCTATGAGAATTACGGGCACTTTAGTGTTGTCACTGACCATATCATCCGTAGCTTCATTCTCTACGTAAAGAACTGGCGAGTGCTCTGAAGTCACCGTCGTTATAACCGTTTTCTCTCGCTGCAGTGAACTTTTTATTTCATGCGCCACAGAAGCATTTGAAGAAACGTCTTCCGACGCCACAATTTTAATTTCATTAAGTTCCTCTTCGCTGTACTGTTGCGTTACCTCTGTTTTCGTTGTGAATTCTTCTGGTGCCTCCTGATGAGATGCCTCAATATTTTGCTCTAATACTGCAGCGGCAATGCTTAATAACGATTGCGGTGACTTTAAAAGTACAGTTGTGGTTTGAAACTGCGTCTCCTCAATCTCTTCCGCAGACACTTCTTCCTCCGTTTTCCCTTCTTCCAATAACTCCTCTTGTGGCATTATATTTGTAAGCTCTTCAGCTATGTGAACCGGTGGCTGTGGCTTTTGTGCGAGGATGGACGTGGTCAGTGTGTGTTGGAAATCTTCATATTTCACACTTTCGTCAAGTTGTAGAATATCTTCAGCATCCTCACCATGGGTGTATCTGTTTTGTACCGCTCCAGCGACGTATATAGCTTTCGGGGTCTCCACATATGTTCCAGTACCGCAAGTTCTCTCAAACTCCTCAAAATGTTCGCCATAGTCAGACCCCGGTAAGTCCTCGTCAGCTCCTACCTCCAGGAGTTCAGAGTTTAAAATTTCTGCTGCAACGTGCTTTCTACTTGTGTCCTTAAGGGAAACATAACCGTGACTGATATTTTCCTCAACAAATATAGAAGCTCCTTTGTTTTCATACTCTTGTGCTTCTTCGGTTTCTTCAAAGGTTTCCCTGTTGGTGATTTCCCCTGCGATGTGCTTTGGGGAAGATGGTGTGCCGGCTGCCAGATCGTCGAAGGCGACAGTTTCCTCCACAACCAGTGATGCGCGTTGTCTTTCCTCAATGCTTCCTTCGTAAACGTCTTCGAAGGAATCGACCGTTTGAATTCCCCGTAAGATATGCTTTGGAGAGGAGGGTGTGTCTTGTATTACTTCGTTGATAACTGAATCTTCCTCCATTAACCTTGAGGACTTTTTCTCCAACTCGTAAGGCTCTCCTTCGATGATTTCTTCCCTACTCTCTTTAATAACGCTTTCATGAGCTACATGCATAGCTGCAGCAGCTCCTGTCGTTACCCGACTGACGGTCGTTTCCTCTTCCATAAACAAACAAGCCCGCTTTCCATCTTCGGCCAGTTCTCTAACTTCCTCGATGAATTTTGTGTTTAAACTTTCGCCAGCAACATGCTTTGGAGATGCAGGGATGTCATATCCTATTTTCTCTGCTGGCACTTCATCTTCCCAGTATAGCGACGCCCTGTTTTCTTGAGCTATCGGTTCTTTGCTTTCCACATTTTCAACGAAATCGGCGTGTGTACATTCGCAGGCAATGTGCTTGGGGGAAAGTGGAGTATCATATTTGATCTCAGCAAAAGACATCACTTCCTCGGAGTACATCAGTGGAGACGTCTCATCTTTGGGTTGTTCTCGTTCTTCTATTTGTGTCTTAGGATCAAAGTTTTGACTTTCGCAAGCGATAAACAGAGGATACAAAGACGCTTCTTTAATTACCATTGAATCCGCAGTTGTGTTCTCTGCAATATAAAGGGATTCTGTCTCTTCGTCTCTTTGTTCCAGCACCTCAGTTTCGGCAAACATGACGTTTTCGCATTCACTAGAAATATGCCTTGGGGATGAGAACACGTCAGCTGCCAACTGTTGAACATCCGGGACTTCTTCCCTGAACAAGGAAGCCTTGTTAAAATGACCCATCTCCGTTTCATTGGGGGCTTGCTCAAAAGGCGCGACGTTTTCCACTTCCCCAGTAACACTCTGCAAGGAGAGGGATTCAGAGGGTACCTTAATCACGAGTTCACGATCATCTACGATCAAGGAAGCTCTTTCTTCTTCTTTTCTTTCTTTTACTTCGCCAACCGACTCCATCCTTTCAAGATTAACACCCTCTTCAGCAATATGCTTTGGGGAGGAAGGAACTTCAGCCGTTACATCTATTACGAATGACTCTTCTTCCTTGTATAGCGAAGCTTGCCGTTCAGGCTCAGCTAATTGATTTACCTCAAAGATTTCTTTAGTAGGTACATCGCTTTCGGTTTCGTGAGAAATATGCGCCGACGTTGATGGGGAACAATGCTCCACATCATCGACTACTGTGTCCTCCACGACGTATAAGGAGGCACGCGATGGACTCTCTGCCACAGTTGGTACGGTTTTTTCCGCAATTTCGTCATCGTATTCAGCGGTTTGCTCTTTAAGGTGAGAAAATGTCTCCTCAACGTTTATCTCACTTCGTAGATGTCTTCGAACCTCGGCAGTTAAAACCTCAGTCACCTCAGACGACTGATCGTCTGTTGATGTTACGGGTTCTTGATCATAAGGTAAAGGCTCTACAGGTTTATGAAACGTTTCATTGTCCTCAGGAGGAACAGGAATCATTTGAATTTCTGACCCTTGTTCATGTAAATCTTTTGCATGTTCCTGATCATAATCACGGAACACAGCCTCACACAACTCCTCTTGTAGTGCCGTATCACTATTGTCCTGCACTGAGACAAAACATTGATCTTCCATTTCTTCATAGAACCGATCGTCTTTATTCTCATCAATAGAAAGAAAAATTTCTTCAAAGTTTATTTCACTTCGAGCATCTTGTCGAACTTCAGCATCAATGATCTCTGTGACCTCATGTAGCTTCCTGACGGTTGATTTAGGTGGCGGGTGGTAACGAAGAGGCTCTGCTGGTTCATCAACAGAATAAGTATCATCAGGTAAGACAGAAATCAGCCCAATTTCCTCAAAACCTCGAGCCCGTTCCGCATTATGATCACGAACAACACCTTCACAAGATTCTTCCTCCATTGCGCTTTCACTCGTGTCTTTTCTTAATAGACTATCAATGTTAGCTTGGAGCTCCTCCACGCCCACTGTCCTTTCAGGTTTATGGTTCTTTTCGACTGCTTCAATATTTTCAGCAACAAGTTCTATGTCACCTTGAGCCAGTAATGTTGGATACTCATAGTGAAGGGTTATGCCTGGTTCTAACTCTTTTTCTTTTTCCTCTTCGCTGACTGAAGACTGGTCCGAAGTCTGAACTTCCAAATCACCGCTAATTCGTTCCATAGCCATGGAACGCTCTCCAACATGGTCTCGTGTTATCACTTCACAAAAATTATCAGGTGACTGGCTTGTTTCTATTTCCATAACCGTTTGGGGTGCTGCACGATCTCTCCCGTTCTCTGTCTCATCTCTTTCCAGCCTTGCAAACAATTCATCAAAATCTATTTCCGATTCTACGCTGTCTTTGACGAGAGCTTCGCAAGTCTCGTCAATTAGTGTTTGTTTATCGGGAACCTCATACTCGTTTCTACGGCTTACAATACCTGTTAAAAGTTTTCCTTCTATTGTGTCCTTAAAGTCGAGTAAGTTGTTACTGTCCTCTATGTTTTCCTCGACTGATAAGAGCCCTATTCTCGAAATGACTTCTTCCATTCGATCGCCGGCATCATCTTGTTTTGTTACCTGAAGGAAAAGGTCGGGATCTAACGGTTTTGTACAAAAGGTTTCAGGAGCTTGAACTGACGCTTCGCTAGTCTGAAACGATTCTCTACTGTAGTTCTCTGGAGTGTCTTCCAACGAATGTGGTGTTTCTTCTTTTCTTAATTTCCAAGATTCTTGTTTTTGAAATTCAGTACCGGTTTTCGTTGTTGCCACAACAGATTTTGTTGATGAAAGTGGTTGTTCTGTCAGATCAGCATACTGATGTGAGGCTTCCTCATCGGAAAAGTCGAAAATTTCTAAAGTCGATGGTTCTTCCTCTATAAATTCATGAGTCAAGTAAAGCTTGTTTTCAAGTTCATAATCCTGTGCGCCTACGTTTCTAATGCCATAATCAGTAGAATCTAACACGTCTTCTGTATCCGATACACTAACTAGACTTTCATCATCTCCTTCGCCAACCTCCTCGTGCTTATGCTCGTCCACATGTACTTCAATCTCGTCTTCTTCGCGGTGAGCGGGAAAGATGTCATCAAATTCTAACTGGCATTCTGGCTCCTCCTCGTGCTCCATCTGTGCTTGTTCTTGTTCTTCGTGAGATGCCTGCAATCTCGGACGAGATGTCAACTCCTCCAGCTCGTCTTGAATGAGGCTTCTTCTAAATGACGACTCTGAAGTTGATAGCGACTGCGTTTCAAAACTTCGCTGGAAAGTTTCAAAGAAAGCTACCTTGGACAGCACGTTTCCTTTCTGCGCTTCTGGCTCTGTTCCCTCTGAGTCTAGAGAGAGAGAGCGTCGTATTTCGCAAACATGTTGGAAGAGATCATCTTCTGGATCAGAAAATAGATCAGCCTCCTCCAATTCAGCTTCTTCCTGATACACTGACGGTTCCTCTGAAAAGAATGCAGGAATTATAATATCAGGTTATTGAAACAATGACATCAATTACACGAAAAAATGGACTTTACTTGTGTGTCAATGTATTTAGCACGAAAGTACTAACTGGGGACACTATTTTTACTTTTCCAAAAGGAGACGGGATTGCCATTTTACGTGGTCATCCGAGCCACGCGAAGGTCGAGCACATGCCGTGCAAAGGGAGTACCTTCATTTCTTTGTTATTTGAAGACCCTGTGTATTGGTCCGGCTCCGGCAATCGAACCTGAGATCTCTCGCTCTGCAGTCAAGCGCTCTAGTGACTGAGCTAATCCTGCCGCAGTTAAACGAAGGACACCTTAACATGTCGAAGAGTTCACAAAGAGTGCAATGAAATATCAAGGGCCACATAAAGCAACAGAAACTGCAAGAAGGGTTTTTTTCATATAAAAAAATTCGCATATCACCAAGCAGGAAGATTAATATGTGAAAGAAAAAATAAATTCCTCGAGATTATTTTATTGTTTACTAACTTTGGCATATACGATAATAAATTGAATTCTAAATGGCTAATTATACAGGTGCAAACCAACAAATAAGAAAGAGGACTTTTTCAACGAGTTTGTGGTTTGGTGCCGTTTACTTAGTGCAGAATCACTTGGGGAAAATTATATATCATCCCCAGTTGAATTAATCGGCGTCATGCGGAAACAACCTAAGCCACAAACCCGTCAAAATTTGCAACAAAGTAAGTCACAAAGACAAACCTACTTTTAGGGAGTGAAGTTTACCTTCCACGTTTACCCCCACAATGGTCTTTTTATTGCAACCTGAATAATTCATCCAATAACACCAACCTTCAGTTTGAACTCTATTTTCTTCTTCAAACGCTGTCCTCGCGTCTTCCTGGTCTTGTTCGTCCTCCATTTCGTGCTCATCATCCTGTTCCTCTACCATTTCATTTTCATCTTCGACGTCTTCATCCGCTTTTATTTTGTCCTTATCTTCTTCTTCTTCCTCCCCCTCCTCCTCCTCCTCCTCCTCCTCCTCCTCCTCATTAACACCACGAATCGCTCCATCTGCAACTCCTTTCCTTTGAAGAGTAGGACTGTTGGGGTCTATCCAGACCAACCGAGTGAAGGTGTCTGTTACAGTCAGGGTATTGGTAGGCTCCCGTTTGTCGGCCGTTTGTACCATATTCTTGTTTACATCTAAGTGGTCGAAGTCACTGCGTAAGAAAGTGAAAATAAGTTACTGGTTGTTTGACGCTTTTTAGTCCATTTAAAACGTTTCAGAGTCAGGAAAAACACTCGCCATCAATCCGTGCAGCTCGATCAGATTTATGCAAAAGACTCGACCACAGCCTACGAAGCACTTTTTTAAATTTAACTTAATGGAAGAAATATATCTCTTTCCGAGACGACTGCTACGGCCTTATCAACGAAGAAGAAGAGAAATTATTTCCCAAAACGGATTAAATGTAGAGACGTGTTTTTGAGGGAAAGTAAAATGGATGATAAAGCAGTGAAAAACCAAAATGGGCGTTCATCTATTTAATAATTTGGAAATACGAATCCGCGGCGAGGAAGATCTTTTAGAAAAAAGGACATCCCCATGCCAGGAGAGCTTTCTCGAAACTCATAAATCTTTAAAACTATGAAAAGTGACTCGTTGACCTGCTAATAACTAAGAAGCAAAAAACTGGTACATTTATCAATATGTACGTACCAGAATATGATTGAAAATTTTTCTTTAAGGTTTTAAGTTTAAAGCCGGTTGTTAGCTAAATGTATTGTCAAGAAATGTTATTAACGTTTAAAAAGTCAACAGGTAGGTGGTCCTACAACGTGCAGCAGCATAAATTACGTTTAGGAAATGATGAGTAACGTACAAAAGTTAAATCATGCAAGTTTGTCAAACAGTGGTTCAAAAGTATTTAATTCTGGGCAATATGAACAATATTTATCGTTAGAAGTTAATTTTTTTTATGGGCGATGAGTTGGGAAACGAATGGATCTACTTGAACGAGAGTAAGTTCACAGTGACTGAGGAAAAACGTAAGTGCCAAAAGTATTTACACTCCTACGTCACATGACGTGGAATTTAGCGCTAATGTTAGACAGTCATGACAAAGCCGTTACAGAACCAGTGACCAAACGGCCGTCTGAAAACGTAACGAAAGCTGTCCTGTGGTGAAAAACATTGAATTATTATCAATGACAGAAAACGTCAGGTAAACTGGTTATGAACCATCAGTAACATACCCTTTCGATCTAAGTCAAAATCAAAACGAAAAATGTCAGCTGTTATTTGAGTTCCCAAAAAAAGCAAAGAGACGGTATCTCATGTGAAAAGCTTGAAAAAGTTAAGAAACGTGAGTTTTCTTCAGTGAGTGTTACAATCTGAACCAAACCGATCCCTTCCCATCGCCTCATTCGCCACCAATTTGCCAAAACGTTTCTGGGAAACTACCCACCTACCTCTCCCCTAAGCCAACATTAACACTTACTTCTCACTTAGGGCAAAATGTTGGCTTAGGGGAGGGATAGGTGGGCAGTTTCCCAAGATTACATCGAGGTTTTTGAAAAGAGGATTAGAGTGATTTAAGAAGTTAATTCAGTGATTTTCAGAAAGGAAAGAATGGAAAAGAGTTAGAATTCCAAATGCGGCGTAGCTGTTTTATAAAAATTCATAAAATTTAAAGTACGCTTTGTCAGAGTACGTTTACAAGAGAGCAAGAGTGTTTGTCTAAAATAGACTAAAACCCATAAGGAAAATATCGGTGATAGAATGGTTCAACATGAAAAAATTAGTTTGGTTGTATTTAAGAAATTCATTTCTGCTCACGATATACAGCTATTTCGAGAAAGGTTGTCGGAAAAAAAATGTGCACGCGACAATCCCGAAAGGTAATATGGGATATGATCAGTACAAGGTTCCTGACGACTGTAGCTGTCGAACCTACTTTTGTTGCTTTCCTTTAACACTTGCAAACACATTTGCATGCGGCCTTTCGTACCAATACTTTCAAATTTCTTTGAAAAAAAAAAAAGAGAACTCAAAACCACCCACAATGCCTTTCAGGATTGTCGCGTGCACTTTTCCCGACAACCTTTCTCGAAATAGCTGTATATATATATATTTTCCCAAACCGTAACTTCAATTTGTTACCACATTTTTATTCTTGCGAATAAGTGGTCCCCTAAATTTGGCAGTTACTAATTTTGAGTACAGTCCGAAAGACGAATGTTCTTCACATAGCAGTCAGAACTACCGATACAAGTTGATGGTTAAACTTTTACACTTTGATAGGTTACTATCATATATAAGAACTTTTAACAGCAAAACTAGCAATTCAATTAGATACCTATATGCCCCAACATTTTAAGGACAATTCCCAAAGAAACAACGACTCTTAATTTCATTTCCTTTCAACAGCTTAAAAAGGAGCTCGGGGTCCCCATTTTTCATCTTGAAATTATTATTGCGTTTCCTGCAAAGTCAAAGTTAGAACAATTCTCGGGAAGGAAATTGATAATTTTATCAGAGAATGGAATGATAAAGATAGGTAGTACTAATCTTCATAGTCTATGAAAGAATAAAGTTAGAAAGCCCTGGACACTGATCATGATACCACCTGCCCTCGAGAAACAGTCGGCACCATTTTTGAACATAAAAGAAATGAAAAAAAGTAGAAAAAATCAAGTCGAATGTTTTACGCATAGTTATGTTAATCAAAACAGTCTTACTCCTCCTCTCCCGCCTTGAACCCGGGCGCCTAACGGAGTATGGGAAGGCTATACGCAGGCTTTGCGCGCTGCCTGTTTGAGTACGAAAAAGATTAGACTCTTCAACACCTCCCAACATGCCCCGCTCCCTGACTCAAAACTTCACTCTTTTTAAGAGTGATCCCAGATTAAAGATAACAACCAGTGTACACGAATCAGTCGTCGGTGACGATTCTAAGGGGGTGTCTGCCTACGCCTCCCCTAACCCATCATTTTGCCCTAAGTGAGAAGTTGATGTTAAAGTTGGGTTAAGGGAGGGGTGGGAGGACAACCGAATTCTGCATCTACTTTTGCTCTCAAGTCAACGAACTCAGAAGCGCCGAAAATTTGATAGCGAGTCGATCATACCTCCAACTTAAACTGGCGGCCGTACTGAGGGGAGGGGAAAGGGAACAGCTGTTACGACACCGGTCCAAGTCTTCTAATAAACGGTTTAACAGAAACTTTGCCCGGCTAAGTCCATTCCTGTGAGGTACTTGGCAACTAAAGTGGCGATACAAATCAATATGTTAACCATTTTGGTGCTCTTAAGATTGAAATGCTACTTTTTGTTTAATTTCTGAAGGATTACAGCTGCTTATCAAATCGGTGCTGGGAATTTGGCAGCAATTTTTTGTAGTTTATGATTCTCTAAATTTTTTTTGCGGTACGCAAATTGTAAAGGGGAACATATATACACAACAATTCATTGTCTTGCCCAGCATATGTTCAAAGAGACTTAATGGTTCAGGCTATAAGGGAACGCTGGAAAGGTCCAGAGATTCACAAAAAATCATCAGAACAATTCTTTTATCAGTTTAAAAAGTCATGGGATTTTTGGTGCCGGAATAAAGATACACTTCGAAATAAGGTTTACGGAGAGATTGCTGGACTGCAAAATGACAAACAAGAGAAGTCATACAAAAGAAACAAAACACTAGCTTTAAACAGTATTCTAGATACCAGCACATATTTACTACGTCTCTAAACAGTGAATGTTTCACAGCAGTTGTATACACCCTAAATAAAGAACTGACATTTTCTGGTGATAGTATTCATAAAAACTGAAATCAATCGTAAATGTGATATAAACTAGGGGAATTGCGTAATGCCTCTAAGTAAGTACTCTGAGTGATGTGTTAATTACTCACGCCACGTGTTTCTTACCTGGACTTTGTGAAGTCACTGCCTCTTTCCCACGTCGGTGCGTCTGAGGAAAATAAGGGAGGCAGAGACTCGTAGGTTGTTTGTTGTATGTCACACAAAGGTATATGCTCGGGGCCAGTTCAGGTAAAACTTTCAAAATTGTAAATTACAAGTGTAGCAATTGTTTTGGGGTCCAAATCCAATAGCCACACTTGTAAATTACGCTTGTAAAGGTTTCATTGAATTGACCACTGGTAAGATCTCTTGGAGCCGTTTGTCTATTGTGTGGATTGTGATAGTTGATGGGCCAGCCCGAGTGCTCTACCAATAGGAGCAAAATATAACGAAGTACCAGAGTGATGTCCTCATCGACTATAAAGGGGCTCAATAGTTGAACAAGAGCAGAATACAAGTAAACTAATGGAACTGGATTCTATAGACTAAATATGAAAGGACTAGAAACCCAAAGAGTTTTTCTGATGAGTTCTTGCTACAATCCTGGACAAAAGTCCTTGGGACAGTACTGCAATATTCATTTTTTTCTGTCATTTCTAGCTTCCCTCTTAAAGCAGTGCATCCTTTTCGAAATTTTCTTGCAGTTCTCCCTCCCCGCACCCTATACAAAGTTGAAACTCGGAAAAAATTCTGGATACACGCGTCCAACATTGTTTGTGGGGTGAGGGGAGGGGTTGGTCCTGTGTGAATTGGAAAACGCCCCAGAAACCCAAAAGTGTCCCAAGACTTTTGTCCATGATTGTAGTTGCAAAACAATATCAAACAACACCCACTGGACAAGGCCGTCTTAGCTCGCTGATCGCGATACACCTCTTTTCTAAGAGAATATGCATTTGGGACTAGTACTTGGAGAACTTGGTCCTTCTGCATTTCATCCTCTCCAAGTACTAGAGAAAACAAACAGCAGGCAAAAAAGATAACTTACCTTCATGTTCCCAGCTCAAAAAGCTGTTGGAAGACTTGCTGTCAGTTCGTATGCGATATTTGTAATCTACATGGAATATCATAGGCTCACTGCTGCCTCTCTCGTGCCCTCTTCGTTTGACATTCTGCACGAACAGACCATCTATGTTGCCAACGGGTTCATACCTCGCTACCACTACAGTCACGCCCTCTGCTCCAGTAGCTTTACCCACACCCAGCTTGCGAGTGCTAAGCCAGACCAGCTGGCTGAAGTCAAGAGTTTCTGTACTGAAGCCTGGGCTGTTGAAGTCGTAACTTAAGATTTGCTTGTACCACAGCTCGGACACCTAGTGATGAATGAAAAGAACTTGTTTTGATACTATCAAACTAAATGCTTAAAATTGTGGATTGAATTTAAGAAATATCACTTTCAATAAGTCCTTTTTATTTTTAAATTTTACATAAACGCATCAGCAACAAATTGTTTCCATCATTTTGTACTGAAGCTAAGAATGGCTGAGAAGGGCCAGGAATAAAAAAGATGTTAGTATCAGATGTTCTTATTTCAGGATTATGACTAGGCGTACAATTGCAAATTATCATAAAGAACGTGAGATACGCTACTCACATATAAGACTTCAGTTTTACCTTAATTCCACTAATATGCTTATTTTCGAGGACTGCCACACTTATGCCAATCCGAGAGTTATCCAAGCCCTCCGAGGCACCCGTCACGAGGAGGCGCTCGGCCCAGTATTGGGCCTCATCCGTTAGGGTACTGTTGAGGACAAGCGGCGGAGAGCCGTGACGAGCCCTGAAATAGTTGTGTGTCACAAGGCATTCTAAACGGAACCCTTCTAGATCTATTTAGCAAAAAAGGAGGAAACAAGTTAGTTATATTTTTAGGCGTGGCATCGACGAAAACGGAAGACGAACAACCAAGAGAGAAAAACAAGTAACTCCACGGCGCGACTTACTTTATTTCAACCTTGTTTCCTTACAAAAAACCTCAACAGAAACAGGGAAGAACTCTTTCTACCTTTTGTTGTCTACTGTTAAGCGGACTGAACAAGTCATTAACTTTTACAACAGTAATTAAGCGCCATTTAGAAACACGCTGCGCATTCTCTCTTGATTTAAACTGATTCCGGCTTTACTTACCAGGGGGAGGTGGTATAAAGCCTTTTGGTTCTTTACTCTTTCTCTCTCTCACGTTTGATCCCAAACGAAGGACATTATCACCGAAATATCTTTCCATGTTTCCTGGAGGTTCATAAAACGCTACCACAACACAGAGCTCTCCATCAATGGCCCTTCCAACTCCGAGGTTCTCGGAAGCGACCCAAACAACCTAGCAAAAAGAAAATGACTTAAAATTTCCAGTCAATTTCGCTTTAAAGTTCGAGTTGGATTGAGGTGATGCGTTCTTGGGTTATAAGAACAAACTACACAACTTTTGGTAAAGCTAGCATTGAGTACTGGTTTTCTTTCAATAGCCCACTGAATTCGTAAAAAGTGCATTCAATTTCCCCAGGGGTAGGCTTTTGTACATTATGCTTTTGCTTCCCCACTAAAATGCTCCACCTTAATGCTCCATTTTTCCCACTAAAATGCTCGGTCTCCCCTAAAACGTCACTAAAATGCTCGGATAATGCTCACTATACAAACGGTTTTTTTAAAAATTAATTTCAAAGTTTACACTCAACGTGTACAAGTTCATAAATACAGCCAAAAAAACAGCTGTATTAGGTTTTTTGTGAATTTTGAGTTTTAGTCTTCATTTTCTTTAAAAACGCAGGAGCTCGTGGGGCATGGGCTCCTGAAAAAAGTTAATTTCTATTTTATTTTCTCGGAAAAAATAATTTTCCAGGGAAAATGCCACTAAAATGCTCGAATAATGCTCAATGCTTTTGCCTCACTAAAATGCTCGAAAAAATGCTGGCATAATGTACAAAAGCCTACCCAGGGGTGTGCCAAACTGCATATAGTCATGGCTGCGACTGCATAACTGTTCGCATGCGCAAGGCACTGGCGACATTGCGTAGTTCATTCGCAGACGGTCGATCAGGTCTGACATGGGGCATCAATGGTGCGTTTCCCTGACCCCAAACAATACTAAAACAATTGGAAGAATGACATTTCATTGTTTCATGCGACCAATTAGGAGAGACCTTACGAGCAGCTCCTACGCTACCCCTCACATGTGAGTGTTGCTGAATATTGGGTATCGAAGATAAATTAAACTCATGAATGTCATGAATGCGTCATGAATAATCCCCACCTGTGTGAAATTTGAAGTGTCTTCACTGTATCCAGGACTCTCAAAGTCGTAACTTTCTATTTCCTCATACCACATATCAACGGCTTCCCGCCCGGACAACTCACCGCCTACCATTCCCGCCAAATTCTCGCCAACCGTGTCGTCTTCATTGTGTCGGAGTTCGCCCGTTTGCGCCAAATTTTCAGCCCATTGCTGCGCTTCCCAGGCCAACTCCGCTGACCAGTGCAGAGGAGCCGCACCATGTCGGATTCTGTACTCATTGTGAGCAGACAAGCATTCTTCATGGAATTCTTTAAGTCCTGCAAAATAAAAATATCGAGATATGCTTCACACGGACACTGGGCAAAGAAAAAAATATGTTACTAGCGCAGAGTTTATGTTGATGCTGTCGTTTGCTTGTCGAGATGGTTTTCATTGTCCTTTTATTCCCACAAAGGAAAAAAAAAAATAAAACCAAACCAACAATTAACCACAACGTACCTTCTATTAATTCCAGAACTGATTGACAAAAGCGGAGTGGATCTGGGGGAGAAACCCGCAGGGGCCCCTAGACCCCACGGCTAAACTGAGCCCCTCAAGGCCGAAAAAACTATTTTCGAGGCCGGGCCTCCATCGTATTTTAAAGAATGGATGAGCAGGCCCCTCACATACTTGAAAATCTGAATCCGCCTCTGCAAAAGGCAAGTCGATTCGGAAGAAAGAGCCTTAACACAACTAGACTTTGCTTCATAGTCCACAACAAAAGAACAAGGAATTTAATAATTTATTACTTCAGATGAAATTTACGCATGATTTTAACTCAGATTCCAGTAATACGTATTAAGTCATGCATCGCTTGGTACTTTGATTTTTATGATTAAGGCACCTTATGTTGTTACTATGCCATACACCCGACAAAAAAGACGGAAATTAACCTGTGCTTACCCTTATTTATAATGCAACACTCGCATAAAAGTTAAGACTGAACTACAAACAGGAATTGTTAAAATCTAATGAATTAATAATGGATAAACCCTTTGTTGGCGTTGCGTTCCGGGAGGGTACACTCAAGTGAAGCGTTCCGATTTGACTCAACTTAATTTCTCGTAACTTAGAGGAAAACCGTTACGTTCTGATTTGAACTAGTGGAACCAAAAACTTAAACTTAAATTCAGAGTGTTTTTTTGTGAAAAGACTTCGGGTGGCTTACTTTCTAAAGAATCTTGTATTCTGTTTTAAGCTTACCCTAGATTATTAGTATTTAGTATATTACTGATATTGTATTCTGGACCTTGATTTAAGTTAAAGGCAAAGCATCATAAATTCAGGCATTCAATTAGACAAAGCCGGGTCTACTTTCACGAAATCAATCAGACTTGAGTTAACACACTAAGTTAACAGCGACTTCTTTTAATCAAGCGAAAAAAGTTTTACTGCTGAATGAAAAAAAAGCGACGACGACTACAACGACAAAAAACAATATCAGTTAATAAATAGTGGCGTCGGCGTTTAATATGCATTCGCATGCATATGCATTAGATAACTTGGCTTGGGTTTCATTTACATGGGTAAAATTGTACCGAAATAACAATTATCTCAGATTTTATTGTAAGATAATCCGCAAAGAACAACAATTCTGTTGTGTCTTATCCTTTCGATCCACCTTTACTTAATAGTTCTATTCGAACCGGAAGTAAAAAGAAGAAGAGAAAAAAGAAAGAAACAAAGAAGAAAACTCTCTTTGTCAAAATGCTCAACAGGTGTTTGACCAAAACCAGATAACAGGTTTACCGTGGTCCACAATCAGTGAACCATAATAGAGAACCCGAGCTGAACACAATACTTGACTACAAGTCTTTCTTTGTCGATAACAAAAAATGAACTAATCTGATTCTTCGGGTTCTTGAAACACAAGTTAAAAAAAATGTAAATTCCACTATTTCGTGAACCTGTTAAAAACAACAAACATTAAAAACAAATGGAAATAAAAAAGAAAGCTTCCTTGACTTCCTAGTATCCATTAACCTGTAAAAAACGAACGACTTGAAGGACCAACACGGAAGAGATGTTTTTAAAAAATTCGAGTCAAACATTGCATAAATATTACAATGGATTTATTCAGATTTTGAAAATTCAAGTAAATTATCGAACATCTCCCGAAAATAGGGGTAATGAAAATGAAACGTCTTTCGCTCGAGAAAGGCCGCTTTTTTGAAAAGGTCTTCTTCTAGTCTTCTATTTATCGCATGCGGAATATTTACTCACTGATGCATACTGTGGCCAAGAAAGTTGATAAATTGTTCGTCATAATAAACCAATTTTAAAGGGAATCGACCAAATCGCGTCCATAACTGTCAAAATTAACACAATGTTTGGTAGCCTACATTAGTTTTGCGTTGATTTAAATAAAAATATGATCCTCCCATTGATTTAGCGGTTTTGATTAAGTTCACGGCCTAAAATTTCGCTTAGACGTTGCATGTGAAAAGCGATTTAATATTTACGCGTGACCTTTCAGTTCATAGAGAAAAATTGCATTTCTTATGAATTCTGTCGACAATAATTCACCGTCGAGCATATCATAACATGCACACGTATTACACATCAAATTTCTACATCGAATGGACTTAAAGATCTTAATAAAAATAATGAATTTAAAGACAATTGTAGATGAAGTACTCTTGATTTTTCAACTCCTAAGCAAACAAAAACGTATCTTTCAAATACTTATATTTATTTCATACAGAAAAACCCGTGAACAAAAAATGCAAATGAAGTGAAAACGCGGCGGTCGATATTGTAGAGAATAGTAATGTTCTTACCGACATAAAGGCTGCTCCAGCGCGTGTCAAACGTCAGCGGCTGCTCGTTCTCTCGTGTGCTCTTCGCTTTTTTTACGTTCCTCGCGACATTTTTCTTGTTCATTGGTGGAAAGTAACGCGCTACGACGATCTGTTTTCCATGTTTGGTGATAGCCGCACCCGCGCCCAACTCGCGTGTTCCCTCCCATACCACCTGACAAAATGAGCGCGTTCGTGAATTCACGCGCGGTTTTTTATAGTCAAAGTGCTTTCCTTCTTCATACCAAATCCGTGTTATTTTCTGGCCGTTAAGCTCCGAGCCCCATAGTAGAGTGAGATTCTCTCCAACATCCTTGGCGGAGCTGTATCGCAGCGATCCGGTGGTACTGGCGAGCTGCTCGGCCCATGCTTGCGCGCTCTCAGCGAGTCTTGTAGACCAGCATAAAGGCGGTGTTCCGTGAGCCGCGCGGTAAAAATTATGGGCAGCTACGCATTCATTGCGAAAGCGCTGCAAATCTGGCAACGAAAGGGACATTATTTTTGTTAGATCATGCAAGTTTACTCACCAGCCATAGGTAGATATTTAAAAAAAAAGTAAGAGGATAACAAACAAAATATTTAATAACCGTGAACTCCCATCGCGGAGAATTTCCTTATTCACTCACTCATCCAGATCTGCTGTAGTAACCATGATCCGGTTGAGAACTAAAAGCATCAGTTTAAGTCGACGATTCTTCGACTGTCGCTTTCGAATGTTGAGACAATATCGTAAATAGTGGGTATGATTTCGAATCGGTGTCAAATGCCAACGTAGTTCTCTATGAGAGAATTATTGCTGTTTGACAGTCTTCATCATTTGTACCAGTCTCGTGCTCCCCTTGAAAAAATCTTTCAGCCAGTCAGCCATCGATCACATTACGGCGGGGAAAGACATTGTAAATTAACATATGGACTAACCCTCGACTCACCGCTTTTGTCCATTTCGGAGCAGCATTAGGCCGGCGAAAATCATTCGATCTGAATGGCAAATTTTTCAGACCCGTCTCACTCAAATTTCAACATTTTCAATTCATGAAATTCAGCCGCGATCGGCTGGCAGGTGGCGGCGAGTCACGTGTTCATTGTTTCGCGTCCTATCCGCTTCGTTTCGTTCGAAAACAAAGACTTAAAATATAATTTTATGGAGTAGGAAAAAATTATGTTGTGAAGATACTTAAGGCGGTAAAAGTATGGATGCAAATCAGACGATCATTAAAATATAAACAGAAGAATTTCGCGGCACGTTTTATAGAAACTAATGGTAACAATCGTTTGAGAAAGCCAGATCTCAGAAATCCAAACGACATTTTTGAAATTCGCGTTTTCTTCTATTTGGAAAAATTAAAGAGAAAAAAAAATCCAAGGCAACGTTGGCTTAAATATACGAGCCACCGATAAAAAGAAAATTTGATTTTAGCAAAATATTCATAATGGATTCTGGATCGAAGCCAGTGTCATAACACGATAATTCATTGGTATGAAAATCGCAGATAGCTTCCGCCATTATTAAAAGTTTCGCGTGATACACCAAAACTCGTCACTCATTCCACAAAGCAGGAGTAAGAAAGGCATATCAACGAAAAAAGCCTGTTGCGAAATAGATCTAAAAGATCACTTATTCAGCACGAATAAAAACTTTATTTGGTCAAAACAAAGCATTTTCAACCAGTAGGGTAAAGCTTTTTCCCATGAAAATTGAGTATGCTCGTTCATTAAAATATTTTACGGTGGCTTTGTGGATCAGCACACGGACCACAGTAATCACAATCTAAGCACTGAAAAATTCATCTTTGGCAATCCCATGACTCCTGGTATATCTAAAGCTGTGGTTTTCCTGGGAAATATGGCAAACAAAAGGTCGTGGAAATGATAATGAATTAGTTCGTAGAGTGGGAAGTTACCTTTTGGTGGCGAAGGATGTTACAAATATGCAAAATTGATAGACTTTTCATTTATATCATGTATTTTGTGATATTTTGGCTGAATTTCATCCCACGAAGCGGATCATTTTTGCGGATTTTAACATCTGAGATTTTTTACGATCTAAGACTCGGCGAGAAATAACGACCTCTGGAATAATGGATTTGTAATAATGGGTCTGCCACGTTATTAAAAAAAATAAAACGCTAAAATAAGAATTTATTTCCATTTATATGGCCCTGCAGCAGAACGTTCGCAAGCAGCCAACATTGCTTCGCAAATGATTAATTAAAACGGCACACAAAAAGAAACAAACAACATACCGGTAGGGTTTATCGTAAATAATTAAACAAATAATATGACTGAGACCTTTTACGAAGATGCATTGAAAGTATAGCTTATTGTCATTCACGCATCAATTACGTATTGATTGTTGAGAAATTGGCACAGCTAAATCACACTCCCATAAACAATAAAACTTGCAAATATTCAGTTGTACCTTACCAGTCCATGGTTGGGTTTGATTGATCGTATTCGGGAATAAGTTACAAATCTCTTCCGCGATTTTTGTACCACTGGACTGCTACATACGTCTTACATTTTATTTCAACCAGGTTTCTAGATGTTGATGCATAATGTCAAATAAGTAAATTGTAGAGTAAATTTCATTTTAATATTCATTTCTTTTCGGAATTCGGTCAATTGAACGCACCCTAAGTGAGGTTCAAATTCAGACGCGAAATATGTTAATTTTTTCACAAAGGCATGCTTTGCAAGGAGGACGGAGATCTATCAATGCACGATCTATAGGCGCTAGGATCGCTGAAAAAAAAGTTAGAGAGGGCAAAGATTACCCGGAAAGCCCGGGGGGGGGGACTCCGCATTTGAAAGTGGTGGGGATGCTCGTCGTCTCGCTTAGGGGTGTAAATTTCGGATTTTGGTCTCACTTAGGGTGTTCTGGGCAAAACGCCATCATATTTAGCCGTGAAGGTCTCGTTTAGGGTTGCACGCGAAAAAATAGGAAAATATATACCGTAAAATTCCGAAAATAAGCCCCCGGGCTTAAACTTTTCAAAGGCCCTTCTTGAGGGGCTTATGTACGGAGGGAAATTTGCGTTTCAAAATCGATTCGGCTAGCTTGTAGTGGAAAGGAAATTTACCATTTTTACTTTGTTTTACTTTGTATTCAAGGGAAAATTCCAAGTACAAGCCCTCCGGGGGGCTTATATTCGGAGGGGCGATTTAACGGAGGGTTTTTTTGCGTTACGATTTTGGGGGGCTTATATTTGGAGGGGCTTATTTTCGGAATTTTGCGGTATTTGATATGTATACTTTTAATGCATTATATTTACTTCATTCATATAATCCAAGTTGTCTCATTTGTATGTGTTTTAACATGGACTCTCTTAGGGGTCAAAAGAAGCTTGGGCCCCGCCCAGATCGGTCTCCTTTAGGGCTTTAATTCAAAATTTCCGACGAGCATCCCCACCCCTTGCGGAGTTCCCCCCCGGGCCAGAAAGCCCTTGACGGAAACAACTCCTCAACGATCGTAGCGATGGCGGCGGTAGACTGGAGTTCTATCTTCAGGCCAGCTAATGGCTACGAAAGCAGCGATCAGCCTGTTTAACAGTCAGTGAACAGTGAACGTGCGCCACACTTTTTAGTACCGTCACAGCACGCACGACTACGAGGTGAATTTGACAATGTGGCGTTTTATGGAGGGCGAAAAGTAACACCTTCAGAACTTACCGTCCTTCATAATTCATTCGCCTACATTTGACAGGTTTAGCGCCATGGAGAAAACGCGATAAAGTTAAGAACAGTGACGATTTTACTGCCTGTACAGTCTCCGTTGCTTGAGGTCCCTAGCGAGTAAGCGACATCTGCCTTGTACACAGACGTCTCTCTAACTATTTACACATGCCGCAAAGGACGGTGGGATGGAGAAAGGAAGCTTCGCCTTCCCATGACGCCTCGTACTTAGATTCTTCGCAGCCCTCACCCCGTTTTTCCGGATGCTACCATGCTAGAAAATATCTTGACTCGCGCGAGTCTCTTAGTGTGGAGATAAAACCCACTGTGTGGTCCACCCACGTGACCTTTTCCTATCCGGGAACATTTTAAACTTGTAGTAAAAACAGATCGCACGAACAGTCATTTAAACGATGATAAAGCCATTTGGGACTGTCTGCACAAAATAAGACTAGTTTGAACTGGCTTTATGCGATCCGCTAAAACCACATTTGGCTACCTCGCAGTAAATCAATGCAATGCATCGCTCCGTGTGAGTGTGGAAATTAATCTTGACGGTCAAGATTTTTTATAATAGATTAGCTACAGGTTCTGTAACTTGCCCAACAAGCCTTTCTCCTTTTCTGTTTTAGTCGAAATCCCGCAAAAAAGGTCAGAAATGGGAGTAGCACCCCCTTGGAAACGCTGAACCCCATGGGTTTAAAAATTGGGTGCTCACTTTAACCGTGTAGGTCTCAAATAGGGTTAATCTTTGATTTTCTCTGGGCCTGGGTTCCTGGATTGTGTATTTTCGTACCACATCTCCCATGGCAATGCAGTGAAATCCTACCTACCATGGGTCTAGAATAGGAATCAAACTTTGGGAAGACTAGGATAGAGTATGGATTCTTGGCATCTAATCTAGAAAAAGGTTTTAAAAAGGAAATTGTACTTGTCAAGTACATAAAGCGTTTCGAAGTCCAAAAGGATACCACTCCTAATAGTGGAGAGTTAAACCCTGGAATTTCAACCCTTGCTTTTTCGATTCATAGGTCACCGCGACATAACCCCCTGTTGACAAAGTCTTAAAAGACTTGGCTTTCCACACAGGCTATAATCGAGGTCTTACATGATATAGAAACCAACTTTACAAACGCCTGTCTTTAAAAAAGTAACTTTTATTTAATAAAATCCTATAACACAACACATTAAGGGCATATATACAGTTAGATAAGGTTTTCACAACTGTGAAGAGTGAAAGGAAAGTAATTGCTGGTATAATTCTGTGCGGGTTATTTATTATTCAGTGCTATTGTTAACGAACTCTTGCAGAACTCTTTGAATTTCTTCAATTTGCTTTGTTACTTTCGGGGAAGGTATAAACTGCTTTCTGAGATCGAGGATTGTTGAAAGTGGGATCTTCATTTTAGTAAGAGCTTCTTCGTAAAGCCTCTCTCCCTAAAGCGAACAAAAAATACGTTAAATCTGAGTTGAGATTAGTGAGGGAACAACACAACTTTTGTTAAAATTGTAGTTGTAAACAGTTATAAAGACTGGGGAAATGCTGTAACATCTTTTAACTCTCAAGCAGTTGGAAGCTAGTTTATCGTGTCAGAAAAGTCACAAAATATGAGTTTTCCACACAACAAATTCCTGGGCAAACTGTTCAATACTCTGGTAGGATTCAAAGTAGTATATTTGAGAAGCCTAATAAAAACATCGGAGCAGAATTGTTTGCCTGCGTAGCTTGCGGGATCGTCACGTTATCGCGTTTTAGATGAGGCAGAGTTGCATATTCGCGCGGAGAATAGGGATTGATACATGTGGGTTTTGCATTACACCCTTACTCTGATTGGTTGCTACAATTGGTTTTAACAAAGTGTGAAAAGTGGGCGGCATTAAAAATAGCCAAGTTATCCGGCAGGCGGAAGTTTCTCGGGCTTTCGGCTGTTCGGCGCTCGCTTCTCGCGGCTCCGCCGCCAAAACCTCACTCACGAGAGGCTGAATTCCATCAGCTACGCAGGCTACAAAATTGTTCGAAGAAAGATTAGCAGGATTGATACCATGATAACTGACATTCTCCGTTTACATTTAACGCTTAATGCTAATCAGGTTTCTCACAATTCGGCCCTGGTGAATAAACATTCAATTGTTTCTTTACATTCACGTTCTCACCTGGTTTTTAAATGAGGATGGACCTTCATGTATTTTGAAGCGTTTCGCCTCAGGCTGCAACAGATGAAACTGTCATCAGATGGCTGACTGTTATTTTCTCACCGGATCCAAAAAAAAAAAAGCGAATTTAGATTTGTCGAACCGGAAATGTAGAAAACACCAAAGAGTCCACGTTGTCAGCTGTAACAACTTAAAGAGCTTGATTTACCAGATACTGAGGATGTGCGATAATGACCACGATCAAACTACTACCAAGGATGCACTAAGCAAAGGCTACTAAGGGGAAACAAGGTGTAGGCAGCAACAACGAGTATTATACTGCGTGATGACCACGTTTTAAGTTGTTCTGCTTCTTCAATCAAACTGCAATACATTTACATGTGTATGAAAAACAAGGGTTATTTAGACTCGAAGCGAAAACCTCTAAATTGGTAGCCTGTGCACAGACGCCCACCTCCCCTCAAAAATGAAAATAAAAAATCGTGGAGAGCGCCCCCCCCCCCTCCCCGATTTTTTTTTTAGGAAAGGGGGCGTCTGTACACAGGCTACTGAATGTTTGCAGAAATACAGGCTACTGGCTAGTTAATCTAAGACAATGCAGAAATGTAGGTCATTATACTTGACAGCGCCTTAACAACAGCATTCCGAGTATCTTGGGGGTATTTTGGGGTTATATGCCTCTGACCCTTCAGATACATGGCCAAATCTCCCTCTATGTGTACATTACAATATAGTCTAGCCACGCCCCTGAGGCAGTTACTACTCGGTAATTATTTAAAGGCTTTTTTAAGCATATTTGTAGTTACTTTTAAATGTATACAGACAGTGTTCTCTTAAAGTTTAAGAATTCGGCAGTTTCATGCTAAATACAGTGACTTTAAGTGAGCAAGCTTTCAGCAAGCTTCTCAAGCGTAAACGAATGGGTGAGAGAGTCCAGGTGAAAAACGCGAAGATGAAAAAGGTTCCACTCTCCCCATCCTTTCTACCCTTGCTACGAGAGCCGGCAATTTTTAAATGTTATTTACCCCACTGCGGGCCTCAGTTGTTTAAAAGGTAAATAGCGCTATCCACTGGATAAATCTCTATCCAGTGAATAGCGCAATTGGTTTTACTAATACTTATCCACTGGATACAGATTTATCCCAGATTTATCCGATGAATAGCGCTATCTAGCTTTTGAACAACTGGGGCCTGGTGGATAATTCCATACCTCTCCCGTGCTTTCTTTAGTTCTTGCGTCACGTGACCGACCACTGTTGTCAAGGATGGGAATCTCCTTCTCATCCAGTGCGCCGGAATCAGGGGACTGACTCTCTCCCGCGCCTGCTTCGTCCAGCTGATGTTTTAAAAATTCTTTATCGGATTCCTAATAATCTGTGTCAAGAAAAATTAACTCACCAACTCACCTCACCTCACCTGGCTTGTGCTACAAGGTAGATAAATCAGTTTTCTTACGTAGAGTCAACCTGGGATGTGAATAATTCAACAAACAAAAACTATCTTAAGGTGATGTTATACGTGACGATTCACAACGACGATTTTTAGTGCGACACAGCGTTGCAAAATTGTCTGGAATAGTTACAACATTGTTCCGACATTGCACCGCCATGTTGACCTAAAAATCGTCGTTGCAAATCTTCCCTTTGAGGAATATCTTAAGTGACTGGTCGACAAACGCAGACAAGTAAAACGCGGCAAACTAAGGTCCAAAAGGGCGAGCTGGTTAGGTCTGAACAATAGACTAAGTCCAGCGTTCGCACGGTTGGCAAAACTCAGTAAATTCAGTCGTAAAGGATACAGCGTCTGCAGGAAAGTAATTGTGTCTGAAAGGAAGCTGCAAAATTTAAACACACAATCGTGAGCTAATACACTTCTTGAAAATAACCATGCCTCAAGACTCGCTTACACAGGCCATACTTAGTGCGATTTTTGCTCAGCTGCATGAGTAAGTTAAGGCGTTTACGGTTTCATCGCTGCGAAAACGTTGCTATTAATGGTAGCCTGCAAAAGAGGCGCTTCATGAGCCGAGGAAGGCAAACGCGGCATTTTGTGCGAAGCGCGAGCCTCGCCTCCCTTGGTCCATAAAGTGCCTGATATGCAAGCTAATTAATGGCAAAATTTATTCACAAGAGTTACAAGAAGCTCTTCTTTAGGTCTCTCAGCTGGTAAGTGTTTACATCTGATCAAATGCACCCTACGGTCACCATGACGTAAGGATTGACAAATCGCAAAGAAATTGCCAGAGAATCGCCTCAGAATGAGATTTGCACATCAGAAGCATTGTCAGGTCCACAATGTCTACTGCCTACCACACTACTTAGTCATGTGCTACACTTCTAGAAGGGGTAACTGTCTTAAGATTTGACTACTGCTTAACCAGTAAAACTAACAACTTGTAACAACGAAACAACGAGAAGAACAAACCTCATTTAAGAAATCGGACAGAGCCGGAAGTAAGCTCTCTGGAACACAGTCTCCCATCACATGGGTGTATCGAGTGACCTGGTGACAAATCAATGTACGATTTTAAAAACTCGGAGAAATGGAGAGAAGCTGGCTCAAGCATTTCATACAAGTTAGACTAGGACATTAAATGTAACATTAAGCAATTTCACGTGGTAGTCATTCATGCAAAAACGGCAAAGAAATTTACAAAAAAATATGATGCACGTGTAAAGGTGTTGTTTTGCCCTCTAAACCCTTTTTTTTTTTTTGCCCGACACCGTCTTTTAGTTGCTCGTTTGTTTATATAGTGAAGGGCTTGCTTAAACTTTGGGCTTACCTCCGCAAAAGCTTTGACGCTCTGAAATGCCTTTTGATGCACCAGCCAATGATCGTCACTAACCAGACAGGAGAACATGCCTGTAATGTCGCCCAGAACTGCGGCCTAAGAAAATTCCACATAAGTTCAAAGAGAATCTTGTGCAAAGAGGATCTTTTAAGATCATCAGATTGTTTTTAATGAGATCCCTAAGAACCATTAAAATGGTTCTTAGGGATCTCATTTTCAAGAAAACGAGTTCACCTTCTTTTCCTTGACCTTTAAACGACTTTCACCGACTTACATAATTTGCTTTTCATCTTCTTCAGCCTCATTTGCATGACATAAAATACTTAATAGGCGTATTTTTTACTGACTTTGAAAGAACTAAATTACCAAATTTTTTTGACCTGAAAAATACGTTTTCCATCAATTTCCCCGATCGTGGCACCTCTTTTTAAAAATGAATAAATGTTCACACAGTAAATATTTGATAAAAATATAATCCATAACGATACTATAAAATGACACTAAAACCGAAAATATTTAAACATGCCCATCCTTACCTCATACAGCTCTGGAATTTCTTTACTGCCGCATTTTCCAAGAAACTGTGCGGCTGCTTCACGTAGTTCCAAACTCGGACACTGGCTAAGAAGAGTTTTTAAACCACTTAAAATCTGCATAAAGAAGCCACATGCAATGGGAACATCAGAAAAAAACAATTATTGGAATGTCAACTTGATTTTCTCATCCTCCTTTCTCCCCTTCACAAATTGCTCGCGTTTTGAGAAACTGCCTTTGAACAGTGCTAAACGCAGAGGATCTATCCTGTGAAAATTTTAAGTCCCCTAAGATTATTCGCCTGAGCTTCTAGCTAGGTATTTTTGTTTTAGCAAAACTTGTTAAAAGCTTTTTGAGAAATCGAAAAGCAAAGACAAAAGAAATCGAGTACCGTGACGTAATTACATATCTAGTAAAACACTTCTCGTTTTGGCATCTTTAACTCTTCTCAGAAATCACTTCGTATGAGAAGGTATGTTTCACACTCATCGCCGTGTTTCCCACAACATTAAACACTTCGATGTTCGTCAATACCCTATTACGCTTCATATAGTCTGTGAATACAGCCGTCTCTCATCGAAAAGAAAAGACTCTGACTGGTGTTGGACAGATAACATCCACAGCCAGAAACAGAGCCAGAAGTACACCTTGTTATTAGTAATGAAAAAAGGATATTGTACCTTAGCATAGTCTTCTGGTTGAATAATATGTAGCAGAATAGAAGACAAATCCAGTAACTTACAACGGGTCTTGATATCGAGATGCTGAAAAACACAAGTTAACAGGTATCACTGGACCATCTTATAGAAAGAATTAGTACGAAGAGTTCGATTCAACAATCCAGGCTTACTGACAACAGATTGTTTCAAACTCAACCTTTTGAGATTGTTTCTTCATCAACCAAATTGTTGAAAATTATGATGTTGGCCTAAAAACAGACCGGGAAGGACAGCTTGGTATGAAATCAAAGGAAAGTGACTTGTGCGTGTAGCATGTAAAGGAACTTACGAGAATGGTCAACCACAGGTAAATTACACTTAATAGTCCAGTTTCGAATTAAAAATTACCGCTGAATACAAACATTAACAGCACATTTATACTGGGTTAGCCTCGACGTAAAGTAAAATATTCAGAAATTCCGGCAAGTAAGTGTTTGAAATTTGAATATACACAATAGACAGAGTAATAAACTGGTCTTTCTCTCGTTGGAATTTGTGAATATACTACTTCAGATGGAGACTAACCCTGTAAAAAATCCGTCTTCACTTCTTTAATTCAGCGGTCATAGCGAACTCGAAACTGGACTATTGACCCCCGGGTTTCAAGTAAGTTGAAGAAAACTAATCAAAAAGCACGCAATGTAAGACAATAGTGCTAATGGGCTGTACGTACCCCTGAATTCTCCTTGCCTTGATTGCTCAGAGACCACAGGCTGTTAACAAGTTCAATAACAGCAGATTGATGAACTGGAGGGACGTACTGTTCCACTTCAGCTAAACCGTACACTCTCTCAAGACAACACAGACAATCACACTTTGGAAAAAACAATGTGAACAACGCATAAGAAAGACGTCATGTTCGGAATTTCTAGCCTGTGGTATCTATCTAGGAAGAAAACGCTGAGTCTTCGACGCGATTTATACCGGTCGGAGGCACTTGGTTCATGCCTGCAGTTCTGGGACTCAAGCGGGACTTATAACCAAACATTTTTTGTCCTTAACATTTGAGAACAGCACCGCAATCGTCTGGGATCAGCAGTGTCAGTATAAATAAAGAAGAATGGTGCATTTTATTTCCTAAAAAAAGTTTAACGTCAGTAGTATGGGGTGAACCGAATTGATCCCCTTTTTTAAAGTGGAATCTCGTTAATTTGAAGTGAAAGACATTAACGCCGATGACATCATAGCCTTTTGTCTTTAACTAGTGAATAAAATGCGCAGGAATCTCATTTAGCTACGGTTATACTTTTTAGATGGATGATGTCTTGGTTTTTGATTGGTTGATTAGAAAAGAAGAAACGTTTTCATTGGTTGATTCATGGTGTCTGAGAAATAAACTCAAACTCGCCTGAGCCGTAACGTAAATAGTCACGTTCTGTTTTCTACCGTTGTCATTGTCCCAGTTCCGGTTCACTGATTCTTGCCGGGCAAATCGTGCATATTAATGAAGGCGAAGGCAAACTAGCTCTTTTTAGCAATGTTTTACTTACCCCACTCTCCTCCTACACCTCCACAATTAGATAGATAGATAGATAGATAGATAGATAGATAGATAGATAATCTTTATTTATCCAAGGTACAAAATTCGTCAGCTTTAAAAATGCCTAATACTAATATAATAAAAATATTTAAATAAAAAAGCTGCTTTCCACGAATGCCGTGCCTTACAGTTCTTTGAGTAGTCGTTTAAATTGCCCAAGGGACTCTGCTTCCCTTAAGTTACAAGGAAGACTGTTCCAGAGAATGGCGCCACTATAGCTGAAGCTGTTTTTGTAATAGTTTGTGCGCGGTAATAGAACATTGAGTTTATTTTCAGAGTCCCTTAGGTTATATGCGACTTCTCGCCTTTCAAATTTAGAACTAAGATAGTTTGGAGCCAACCCGTGCAGAGACCTGTAAACCATCGTAGCTCTTTGAAATTGTTGCTGGCAAGCTAGGTTTTTCCACCCTAGAAGTTTGAAAAGGTGACCAGCATCTACGTCATAGCTTGAGTAGGTCAAAACACGGGCTGCTCTGTTTTGTAGCTTTTGAACCTTATTCCGTAAGGTTATCCCACAGTTTCCCCAAACAATGTTGCAATAATCAAAGTGTGGCTGTATTAAAGCTTGATATATTAGTTGTAAGGTCGCCTGAGGGACAAGGTGCCTTATTCGTTTTATAGCCCCAATACCAGAAGCGACTTTCTTTGTTACTTTCTCGATATGGCCACTCCAATCAAGTCTGTCATCGATGGTCACTCCAAGTGATTTTGCAGTAGTGATCTGGCTAACTTCAAAATCATTAATTGCAAATGTCGGGGACTCTGTGAGAGTACTTAGCCTCTGCCTAGATCCGATGAGCATAAATTCGGTTTTAGTCATATTTAGAGTAAGTCTGTTTGCTCTCAGCCAATTGTGAACATTTTCTAAATCTTGATTTAGATGCAACTGAATATTGTCTGCATTATCACCTGCGTATGTAAGGTGGGTGTCATCAGCGTACATCCTCGGCTCACAATTTGAAAGACAGTTTGGAAGATCGTTGATGTATAACAGAAATAATAATGGACCTAAAATCGTCCCCTGGGGAACACCACAACTTAATAAACAGCTTTGAGAGAGTGAACCGTTGATGGAGCACATTTGAGTACGACTCTCTAAATACGACTTAAACCATTGGTGCGCGTTACCATATATGCCGTAATTGCTTAATTTTGATAAAAGGATCTCATGGTCAACTGTGTCGAAGGCCTTTTTGAGATCTAAGAAAACAACGGCGTTGATTTTACCGCGGTCAATATTAATTTAGTGTCCCTTTTTTCTATTATTTTCCCCACATCGACCTCACACCAACCCTACCGACACGGCGTTAATGTATTCGGTGTTAATTCGGTGCGCCCTACACTACTAACGTCCAGCATGTGTCACGTTCATTGCCTTCAACGAATTCTTTTTTTTATATTCACGTATATATTATTTTGCCTCCGCACTGGCTATTTTAAAGTGGCGCGTGAGACTGGGTTGTTCCTGCACAAAAGCCCACATTCAGTATATCAAAATTCTAACATGACTCCGAGGTTTTAGCGTCAAAAGAGCAAATTTTTCAGGACCCCATTGTCTCTCAATTCCCAGAAGAGACTTGAGCACAAAGAAAACAAAACCAAATATAGAGAAAATGACCGGAAAGCCTCGGAGTCATGTTAGAATTTTAATTTACCCAACGTGAGCTATTTTGTAACAGTCAACAAAGGAAGCGATAGTGTCTCCAAAACAGTCCCATGATGCAATTCGACACAACATAAACCTAGTCTCATCTGCTCATGCTCAACCTCTAAATGGCTAATAAGACACTTTAGACATTCCTTTTCCTAGCAGCATGCAGCACGCATGTCACTTCAGCTTGACTAGAAAAAATAAGCCGTAAATTAGCTGCTCAATTGGATGGAATTCCCAACCTTCGACGTTACTCTTTTTTTCTTTCATGAAAACACCTCTACATACAAGATAAACAAGAATGGAAAAAATAGAACTTCTCCTCTTGCAAAAGACATGGGAAAACGAAATTTTGCTTTAATTTGTACATCATTCGCGAACGTACTAACCAAGACGTCATCTTTCACAGGCTGATGTGTTGTAGTCCTCGAGTGTCCAACTTTTATGCACAGAGGAACAAGGGTACGGCAAATCTAGAAAATAGAGCAGTGGAGGAGAGCTTGTCGAGTTTAATAGTCATGTTTAAGGCTCAGAAAATTTGTTTAGACTATATCAACAACAGGGTCACGGGCGAAGACAGTTTAAAAGAGGGCCCAAGATTAAGACGACGTTGATAGTACCCTCCTTTACCTTCTTAAATTCTTTTCTCAAGGAGAGCCTTGTGATAGCTACAGAAAGGACAAATTGGCACTGAATGATTTTTCTTCATGATGAAGAAGTCTTGAATGAGTGAATGGTCACAGCACAAGGTTTGGTCCACAGACTCGAAAGATAAAGGAATCCCCATACATCCGGCGGGAGAATCCAAACAGCTCAAACATGCTGAGCTTGCTCTTTTGTTTGTACTTCTTTATTATGATTACTATTTCTATCAAGAAACTGAGGAAAATACAAAACGAAGGCTAACGGTGCTGAATGTTCTAGATCTTTGCAGGAAAGGATCGAATAGACTCTTCAGGCTATCACAAAGGTCAAAAATAAACATGTTGCCACTTTTAAAATTTGGATTTAAAAAGTAACGTTCTTTCCGAAGTGAGCTTGTCCTTTGATTATAAAGATATTCATTTTGCACGCGCGTCTGTGTGTGTATTTGTTTGCTGTAATTACCTAGTAAGTAACCCACTCTTTGATCAATCAAACTATCATTGTTACAGGTTACCTTTTTCTTAACAACCTCAGGCATATCTTGTATGGGAAACGCACACCAGGCCCGTATATTTTCCTCTTTTGACGGCGGGAAGGAACTTACAAGAGCCTCCTGATGACAAAGTATACAAAGCGTGATAAGGCCAAATTGAGATATATAAATTGGCCCATATATGCTCATGTTGCCTTTCAAGTGGAATCACGTTTTGATTATTTAAAAGTTGATGCAACAATATGAAATACTCCCGTGAAAAGTGTAAGTCCTAGGACTCACCATAACTATTTGCAACAATATCACTGATAATCACTGTTCACGGGACCGCCCTTTCTTCTTGGTCATCCGTGACACTGAAGTTCTATATAGCCATTAAATTTGTTCGCTACAATGGAAAAAGTCGGCTCGAATATTAGTTGCCACAGTCAGGCGTGTGTTTGTTTTTATTAACAACTCATAATTTTACGTACTTGGTGTTCAACCGCCATAAGTCGAACAAGACGCTGAATAAGCAATGAAAGGTGAAAATGCGCGGTTTCTGTTTGGGGTAACTTCAGTAACTGAAAAAGAAAAGTATTATTGCCATAAATACAAGTTACAAAACATTGAGCGCCGTTCTTGAAGAGTACTACCAGGGTATATACTGGGTTTAGTATTCAAGAAGAATTCAAGCACCAACAATTGAGTTTTCTAAAAGTGTTCAGTGCAGGCCGAGTTGCATATTTTCCCAAAATCTATCCTCGATTTTCTAATTTGCGCTCAATCTTCAAATTACTTTGAAATGATACGATATCTGAAGGAAAATTCAAGACGTTTTCAAGCACTTTGAGCAGGACTTCTTCTTAACAAGGCATTTTTAAAGCACCCTTGAATTCTAACATCAAGTTACAGGGCATTTTCAGGACTTTCAGGAAAAGGAAGAACGCTTGACAAAAGTATTTGTCGAAGTGGTATATCAACTAAAGAATGATACAAGATTTAGCAACTTACCAGTTGAGTAAGAACTGTCACGTGTCCAGCACAAAGCTCAGCAGACCCCCATCTAGTGATTAACAACAACAAAACCATGATATGTTAAAACATGTTATAAGCGCTCATACTCACATTATTAGGAAAGTAAGAGATATTAAGCAGAAACAATGTAATTGTAATCCACTTACCTATGAAAAAAGTGAAAAACCGAAAGTAAATGTTTACCAAGAGTTTGTGCGGCTTGGAAGAATTTGCACTAATTGCACTATGGGGCTCTTTTAGGGACGCTACTGCTCATTTTATTGGTTGTTAAAAAGAGGAGTAGGAGACTGGGTCAAAATTGGTCCCTCAAAGGTGTAGTCTCCTTCGCAGCCGCTAGGGCTGGAGTCACGCAATGCTCCTTGCCCCCACGCGAGCATTGCGTGACTCCGGCCCAAGCGGCTGCGAAGGAGACTATCAAAGTTGTACCATAGTGCAATTCGATACAGCACTGACCCAGTCTCGTACGCAATCTCAAATTATCCATTCTTTACCTGGCCATGAAACACCACACGTCACTAGCAAGTAAAGCACACAACAAATCATCTTCAAGGACTTTCTCTAGAAGACATCGTTCCTACAGGATATTAAAGAGAGCCTGACTAAAACACAAAACAATGGTTATAAAAGGAGATCAAATCACACAACGTAGCGTAGTAAAACCAGTAAAACCCTAGCAACTCAAAAGACTCAGTCAGGAAGGAATTACATACTATGTTGGTCAAGGTTTTGGTCTAGGTATATCTCTTGACTGAGTTGTTTGGAGGACGATCACAGGAATCAAGAGTTACTTCATCAGATCACCACTAAAGGAAACGTGTTATTTCTTAACTTCAAAAATATTCCACTAAAAACTTTGAAGACTATGTGAAGTGCATCAATTTGCCCCGATTTTTAATTTCGTTGTCTGTTTGTTATTGAACTAAAAAGCAATGACGTGAAAAGTGTTTAAGAAAGGTGCAAACACGAGAAGTCACAACAAAGCAGGCGATTAATTCCGCCGTTGAGGTGGATTTCCATTGTCACGTAATTTTTATGTGCGTAGGCATGCAGTCGAAATAAATGAGACTTTCGAAAGGTATGAAACTTCCATTGGATCCCAAAACTCCAACAAAGCACAACTCACCAGAGTTGGAAAGCAGGCAACAGGAGCAGAAGCCACAAGTGCACACAGCCTGGCACAAACATGCTCATAAAATTTCACCTGACTGGAAAAAAGTAAATGAACATTCCAAATTTAAATCTATATTCTGTCAGTTATCCAAGAGATGAAAAATTTTGAATATGTATTTTCTGGTGCCAGTACATCTTGAAGACTCTTGAGTAAAGTTTAACCAAAGTATCTTGTCTTCTTATCCGAGTACAATGGGATTTTGAAAAACACAACCGGAGACTGGTAAGCTCAATAGGCGATTTGCGCGATGACATCGTTAGACTACTACTACCAGAATCCTTCAGGGTTTTACTTTCTTGTGCAAATTAGGGCTCGCCGGGATTAAAAATTAAATTGACTGAGTACCAGATTTTGGAGCAAGAAGGCCCAGGATCGACTTCCCACCGGACCAACGATAGTAGAGAGATTTAGAGTCACGCTTACAGCACTGAACAGCAAACAGCAAACGTCAACTTGTGCAACGTGACCAAGTTTTCCCTTTACTTGTGTTAAACTGTTCTTCCATGCAAAAAGGTGTTTCACGTTACTTTCGTCATGAGAATTGTTTTAGACTGTTCTTATCGGCTCATTTCCATTTTGAGAAATTCTAAACCTGAGTCTGCCGTTTGCGGTTAACGTGACTCACTGGTGACTCAAACTCTCTACTGATGCCCACGAATGGTTACTCAGTCATTCTATTCCTCTCAAGGAAATGAAAAAACCGTAAGCCCCATCTAACAACACTTTCACTGATCTCCCCCCATCTTCTGTAGGTTGTGGGATGAGGGATCGGCAACCAATAACGGGGGGGAGGGGGGGAGTCACCTCGCATGGGATATAGTCTCCCGTTTGTGTCTGTTCCCACTGGGCAGTGTTTTACTGTAAACCAGTAAAACAAAAAGAAAAATAAAGGAAAAGAGATCAGGAAATTTCTTGGCGGGTGCACCAGTATAGCTGATGAAGGAACTAAAATGTAATGTACCTCAAAGCTTTTCCATTGCTCATGATACCATCAACAAATACTGGTAGACAAACTTCAAGAACACCTGGAACATGCAGACATACAACAACACCACTTATCATCAAGGAGTAGCCGGATAGGTAGCATGGTAATATATTTAAAAAATAGATGGAAACTTCTATCTCAAATGATAAAAGACTCCAAAGCCTGTAAACTTACAAAGTTTGAAGGATTTAAAAACAACTTCCATTACAGAAAGGCGATTTTCCTCCTATAAAAAAGCGAATAGAACCAGTTATACCGGTAATAATTTTCTAATATGCTAACTACAGTAGCGTTTGATTGGTCATTCTCTAACAAATTACACAGCAAATCCCGTTAGTCAGGAACTTTCCTGACAATAGAGTGTACAACATACATAAAAAATTTTAGGTTGTCGGTTAGAGAGTTTATGTACATATAATTATAACAGAGGAGCAGTTTTCAATTAAGCTAAGCTGCAAAACACATTATTTATCTCTTTAATGCTTTGATTTTGCCTGCTCTAACTTTATGACTTTAATACACTAACTTTCAAACAATTTTTTTAGTTTTGGGATTTTGTTTTTGTTTGCCTTTTTTCTTCACAATGAGTTTGCCTCTGATTTGAAAAAACAAAACAAAACAAAACAAAAAATAAAGATGAGTAAATGATGTTTTCTTTGCCTTTTCAACTCTAGTTTTGTTAGGGATTAATTTTTAATAAAGCCCAACAGGGTTTCTTAGCTACTGTTGTGTAAAAGACTGCTTGACATCAGAATTCAGGAAGAAAAGTACCATTGGGAAAGAGCTGCAAAAAAGGTTTCATTTCAATGCACGTATCTCTTATTCACTACGGGAATTAGCGTTAAATTAATTACTACCTTGACATACTATGATAATGTCTGAGTCAAAAAATAATACTGTACTTTCCCAGTAATTACCTCAGGATAATTAGTAGGCATAACCCAATATTGAAATACATCCTCTGTAATAAAATTTGTAAAAAAAGTGATGTTGGCACACAGGTAATTTGATTAGTTTGCTTTCCACAGGCTCAGCCTAGAAAAACTGTGATTTTACATAAACCACGTAGATAAGCTAGTCTATTAGATGAACAATATGACTGGGTCTAAACAGCTAAATAAGCATATCATAAAGTTCAATTAACCTAGACTATGACTGTGTACAATAGGAGACAATAAGGAAACTTCAAAATGTTTCTGGTGAGAAAAATTGTATCTTGGGAGAAACTGATCACAACTAACGTACCTGTTGTCTTTGGTAAAATGGAAAGTATAGAAGCTAGTAGACAACACTGTGAGAACTGGAGAGTCTCGTCAATTTCTGAAATAATGGCACATTAGGGTCTTAGTGAGGTATGCAAATTATTGGTGTATAATCAATTATTTACTCACTAAAGTTGCATAGACAAGAAATACTATTCATCAACATCAGCATTGCAGACTTATAGAACCTTGCTTGGAAATATTATTGTCCCGTTGTATTCCTCACCCTTTTGAAGGCATCAATCCAAGAAATCCGTACTCTTTCATTTAATTCAAGACTCAAAAAGTTGCCATTTTAAATACTGGTAATAAAGGGACACATTACATGGACAATGATAAGCTGGTTTGATATTGTGAAGAAACAAAAAAAATTAATACTTAGAGAGACTGAAGCCTCATATACATTAGGCATGTAAACTTTCTGTAATACTCAAGGAAAAACACATTTTCGGACACTGAATATTTATTCAGGGAGGTTTATACAATGTAGTTTTGAATTGTTACCAAGCAATGCTACTCAGCCAAAGGCTGCTCCACAGGCAAACCATTTTAAATTTTTGCAATAATTATCAGGAGTTGGAATTGTAAAGAAACTTTTGTAAGCCTGGTTTGATGAACTGACATAAAATTGCAAGCAACAGTATATAATTGAAAATCATGCTTGACTTTGACATGAAAGTAGTGTCCAACTAACTTGCCTGTAGACTCTTTCGTTACCAAAATGGCAAACTTCTTGTTTGTGACCAGCACAGCTAAGAGCGGTTCAATCTGTTAAAGGTGATGTTCTTTTAAACCAAATGGCTCAACTTAAATAAATCATAGAAGGTTATGTCCTATAATAGGTACTGTGCTCACATTGCGGGTTGCAACTCCTAAAACATTATTTTAACTTTTGCAATTGGTTTCGTGGAGCTAAAAACAATATTGCAAAATTGCAAGAACCCTACTAAAATATGGTTATGTCAGTTAGAAATTAGCTAGAGCAGCAACTGGTTTTAGTCTGTCTCCAATAGGTTAAGATAAGGACAGTTGCTCTGTTGATGAGAAAGCTATTGTAGCTAGCCCTATGGACTTGCCCTGTTTGATTTACAGTAGTGATGCACATTTAATGCTACAATTAAGTATGATGTAAAGATGTTGTAGGTAAAATCCACTCTCAGATTACACAAGTATTCATCTTCTTATTGTTACCTTTTCACTAGGGTTCTGAGTTAACCTAAAAACCTAGGTTGAACAGTGCTTTGACCTGAGGAAAGGATTTTACCTACTTATAGTACTACAAATACAATTATAATTTATGTTTCAGGCAAAAAAAACTTTTAAGAACTTTTGATGTGAAATTTTGGAAAGAAATCTGGGAAAATGACTCCCTTCTAAAATAAATATCTATTTCACTGTTTACCATAGAGCTTTACATGTACTTAGCCTACATCTGTAATTCAAAAAGGAAATTAAAGAACCTTGTTGATATCATTACCACAAGTTACAATTCATTTTCATACTTACCACAACTAACAATGCAGATTTAACTCCTTCAGCTGCAGAAGCAGCAATCTTTGGAGCACTCAGACTTGGGGGTAATTTGCTAAATTAAATGAAAAGAAGGTAGGGCAGCTTATTAGCAGAATGTAATTAATCAACAAAACAGTCAAGACTTATATAGTTATATGTCTAAGCTTCCAAAGACTAGCCTAAAGTTGCTAAGTGTCTTAAAACTGATAGTCAGAGACAATAATAGAGGGATGGCATTAGCAAAGTTACTGGTAATTGTGAAGAACAACTCCCCTAAACTGACAGATGACCAACAGTCGACCCACGGTCAGCCAACTGTCTTGTTTTTGGATGATTAAATCTCAGGAAATGTTTCTGATGAATTACAGAGGCCTATTCTTGTGCATTTCCGTTTGAGTGTATAAAGCATTTGTGACACTGATGAAAAAGGTCGCAGATCTTCAAAAAATGTTCTTGGCATAATAGCAAGTCTGGGATTGCAAAAAACCGTCTCTTCTGAAGGTACCGTAAACTTCCGAAAATAAGCCCCAGCCGGGCTTATATTTTTCAAAGGCCCTTTTTGAGGGGCTTATTTTTGGAGGGGCTCATATTCGGAGGGGCTTATCTACGGAGGGAAATTTGCGTTTCAAACTCGATTGGGCTAGCCTTATAGTTGGAAGTAAATTTACCATTTTTGCTCATTGTTTTACTTTGTATTTGAGGGCAATTTTCCAAGTACAAGCCTTCGGGGGCTCATATTTGGAGGGGCGATTTAACGGAGGGTTTTTTGTGTTACCAGTTTGGGGGGCTTATATTTGGAGGGGCTTATACATGGAGGGGTTTATTTTCGGAATTTTACGGTAGTTGATCCCATGATAACCATCCAACTTCTGATAACAGTTAACCCAGAAATCATTTCCTGAAAAAGCCTTAAGAATATTTTGTGTAAATCACTTTTAGAATGTAATACTGTGTCCGTTTGCTATATCATCCGATTGTTTGTTGTATGCAGTTAACCTCTTTCCTTGTATCTTGTCATTCTTAACATTTCACACCCTTTTTTTTACCCGGGCCTGCTGTAATCGGCCTCAGCTGTTGCGGCATCCCTGTCCCTTCTTTAGTTTAATTACATTGTATGTTTTTTTTTGGTTCTTTGGCAAAGCTAATAAAATAAAATAATCAGGAAAATTTTCTCCTTTTGGATGTAGTCCACAGATTCAAAATTTATTATAAGAATAAAAACAAGTATTAGTAGACTGTACATAACAAGGGATATACCTGTGAATGGTAAGAGATATACAATGTAGCTTTTACTTGTTTTAGCTGTTTACCTTTGTATAATCAGTAAAAACTGAAAAACATTTTCAATACACTTGTCATAATAACCATCAAATTCCTGAAAAGAGAGAAAACAGATCACTTAATCATGGTACAGAAATATATTTTATCTACTGAAATTATTCTATACTTGTTAAATTTGTACCTGCCACATAGCAGCACACAATTAAACACTTTTTCAGGGTGCAAAGAAAGTCAGTTTTAAAGCTGAAGCTAGCACGTACTAGCCTGAAAGTAATTTTAACTAGCCTGAAAAATAATCAAATAGTTATTACAATAAAATTTGATTGCACATGGGCGAGTAGAGAACAAAATTCATGAGCCTGATAACAAAATCCACTAGACCTAAGCTATCAAACATGACTTTCCTTGCATGCTGTTTAATTTGTGTAAACAACATGTAGCTTAGGTTCCAATAACTGAGGCCACGAAAAACAAATCAGCTTGAACTAACAGCTGCATAAGTGCTTAAAGTAGACAACAGGTGTGAGGGATGCAGGGGCGTAGCTAGGGGGGGTCCTGGGGTGCCCGTGACCTCCCCTTGGTAGGCCTTTTCAGGTGGTGAAAACGCCATGACAATGTCTTGGCTGTAAAAGCCATTGTTGAAAAGCCCACTTTTTTAAAATTTGTTTTTTTGTAAAGTATTTTTGTCAACGGCTCTTGTCTTTAGTTAATATGGGCCTTCATGCCGCGATAATTAATACAACTGAGCCCGCTGATACACGAGGGAGAGCAGTGGTATAAACCTTATACAGTCGGCGATCCCCGGATGGTGTCCCTGCTGTGACCCCCCCTTTGAAAAATCCTGGCTACACCCCTGGAGGGATGTACAGTATTCTGAGTGCTCTTCACGGTAATCAGAAACAACAAACCGTTCCCATGGAAGACATTCCCCATTATATAGTCCAGCCATGAGCCCCTATGCAGAGACATTTGGGTAATCATCCTGCTACACTAACCTTTCATTTCTAGATATGGGTGAAGTCAAAATTCAGAATGCAGAAAAACAAAAAATAATTATTTGTAACACAAACACGTACTTTGTAAAAGTACTTCTTGAGAGGTTTCGTTTGAAGGGTCCCACTACAGGATGTCATGCACAGACTCCAAATAAGTTAGAACCACCTTAGAAGGTTTCATCATTCACTCTGGGACAACAAGGGTTAACAGTGGAGAAAAAGGATTGAAGCCCAGGCCATCATGAATAGACCAAAAGTGAAAAGGTAAATATTCTCCTCTACAATGTACTTAAATTTGTCAAATGCTACTACTATATACATAGGACTAGAAATACGTATCTCGCAATAAGCCTCGCGAAACTCAGTTTGGTAACAGCACTCAAGTTAAGCCCTGCCAGTTGCGGTTAAGAACTGGATGGGCAACCAACCGCGAATATCGTCTTAAAGGTCCATACGTTGTTCTTTCTTTTCTTCTTCTTCTTTTTTGCGTATTATGTGGTGTTATTGTTAACAGTGTATTGAAAAGCAGATTTAGCATTATTTCGGCGCCCAGATTTAGAAAAAGACATATACATAGGATGAAAGCTCTGACCATTTACTGTAAGGATTACATGTTTGTACAATGTACCTTAACCAGGTGAACAAGGTGACCAACAAGGAAGCGCATAACCTTTAGCATCTTCCCAAAGGCTGCTTCATCAGCAACTACATGTATACTAGCACCCTAGAATGACCAAAATAGCCATATTAATTTTTATGGATCAATCAATCAATCAATCAATTATTGTTCCATTAAATTTACCAGTCAGATTATATTTAATGAACCATTGTAAATTAATGTCAAAACAAAATACTCCGAACTCCTTGTAGATTTAACAATATTGTAGATAGATTAACCATATGTCAGGGCTTTCACTGAATGCCGGGAGCCAGGGATTTCCCCAAACTTCTATAAGCATGACCTCCGGCTACGTTCATAGGAAACAAACAGAAAATAGAGCTAAAACTAAAACTTCATAGATGTGCAATTCCATATCTACTTATTGCACATACCCAGCAACTTGAAATCTTAATGACACACCTACATGTTTGGAAGCTCAAATTTCAGAAAAAAAAATCACAGCAGCCTACATACAGTCAGTCAGTTATTGGTTAAAATAGTTAATCAATCAATCAAGAATCAATTACTCAATTAATCAATCAACCAATCAAACTTGAACTGTCTGAATTATTATATATGCAGTACTCTCAATAACCAAATTTTCATCGACACCTGACCATTTCATTTTATCATGACAAGAGAATAAATCTAATTAAATTTACAGCTGATTTCATTGCTATGTATACACCCGGATTTTCACGCATGATTCAATGGTCATGATCCGACCTGTTACGATTCGACTCTAATCACGTGACATATCGCTTCGCAGTACGTAAACGGTTGCAAAAATAATTGAGAGTTCTGCTGTGGGATCCGAAACAGTGAGAAAAAAATCTGGCTGGCAAGGAAAGCTTAGCACTAAAGGACATAAGTGTAACGAAGCTAGAATCCCGACGTTTTACCTGAAGAGGAAAGCTTAGTTGCCTGGAAAGCGGCGACATCATACAGAAATTATGATAACATGTGAAGATGTGATCAGGTGATAAACCTGGAATTTGATTGCCGAGTTCGAATGTATTTCTGTAGGCGATTTCATAATGGACGAAAATTTCGAAAATCTGGCTGGCAAGGTCAGTCAGTCTGCCGTTGTGAAAGAATTTGCTGGAGAGTTCGAAAGTTTTGTTTTGTCGACCATTGTTCGTTCCTTGACCTATGACCCTAATGAGCGCAAATAAAGACAACCATACGTAAAAGAAAGCAACATTTGTTTTTATTGAAAAAGGGTAAAATATCATATTGGGCGATTCCAGAAAATATCCATACCATACCACGGACGGCTTTAAGGATTTCCGAAGGGGAGGGGGGATTCACGATTATGGAATTCTGAAGGCATGGGGGGGTATTTACGATTTGAAATCCGAAGGTATGGGGGAATTCCACAGGTGGGATTTCTGGAGTAGAAAGTGTAGAGTAAGTTCCTGGAAAACGCTATTGTTGTGGACTTTTGTAGTTCGTAAATAAACCACGAACGTATGACCGCGGAAGCAGAAGACAAGCATCGATAGATCAGACACGTGTTTACGCTCATAACTTATAGAAGTGAACAGTAAAACGTTGGTTTCACATTTACCTTGATGAATTTCTTGTCACGTGAATAAAAACTGAAAATGTATCTTTTAATACCGCTTGCAAATTTCTTGTTACTCCCGTCCGATAAACAGTAAAAAACTCGCACCAGTCCCTCACTTCCAAGGAACGCCTGTCAGATTAGAACGCTTTTCGTGCGCACTACATGACGTATAAAAGGACGCAACACGACTCGACGGTATATTTGACCGCCAAAAGATTTTAACAGTCTGTTTGAGCTATTTTCCTTTGTAAACGTCAAAACAGCACAAGAAAACAAAGAGGAGTAAAATTACCTTAAGTGGTGTTTATTTTTATAGCCAAATTCGGACTTAAAAAGGAGTTTGCACGGCCTGGCAACTAGCGTAGGTTTTTCTTGTCACTGAAGAGTAAAGCTTGTCACCTGGCGCCGCTAGATCACAGCCTTGAGGAGGCATAAAGTCATGTTCGTTTGTTCTTATAGGCGTTGCTAAGTCGAAAATGTACTTCCAAAAAAAGACCGGAAATTCTGAAGGGGAGGGGGGGGTTCACGACTATGGAATTCTGAGGGCATGGGGGGGTAGCGCATTTTGGAATTTCCGAAGGCAAGGGGGGGTTAAAACATGGAAGCCGTCCGTGGTTGGGTATGGATATTTTCTGGAATTGCCCATTTCTTTAAAGATCAAGGTAGAAGCCCAAAAAAAGTTGAGAAAACAACTGAAAAACTTATTGATCGAGACGTCCACATGCCCGATAACATGTATTGCGATTAGATTGCGTGACTTGTATGAGAGGCTCTTGTCTGAAAAGGAAAACAAATTATGGATCACAGTCCTCTTTTTCTGAATTACGTACAAGAGAAACATTCAAGCTATCATTAAAGTATCTTTCGGATTGTGTGCTTTGATTCCTGTAGGATATTCAAGGTAAAATACTGTACTGCTTGGTAACCTCTCGGTCAAATCATGACGGTCAAATCATGTCTAAAAATCAGGGTGTATACACAGCACTGAAATCAGCTGAAATTGAAGAGTTAGAGATTTACCTTATGAGAGTTGTCTCTTTCAACCTTTTCACTAACAACTGGGGCAATATGAATACATCGTTCAAGCTTGGCTTCAATTGATATACACAGATGACAAATCAACCTATCAACCTGCACCAAGCAAAATGCACTGTAAGCCAATAATAAAATTTCCACTATGAAATGTGATGAATGCAACAAATGGCAGAAGATGTGAAAACAAACCTTTACCATGCAAAAAAGACTGTATAGGTAATATATGTACCCCAGGGCTGCAAATAATTTCCCGGCTAGCGCCGGTCAAATTGTCCGGTCAAACCTATTTTTGCTCGGACATATCCCATTTTTGGCCGGACAAACATCGATTACGTCTTATCGCTATAAAAGTACCCCCTCACCCCTTCACATGATGTTTAAATATGAAACAAGTAATTCACACCCGTGACTGGTACACATTTGTAAGACCCGCTAATTTGCGGTGACGACTTGGTGAATGACAAAGCCACGACAGCCGGAAATTTTGGTCTGGTAGTTAAGTATCCATCTTTTCCCCTCCTTTTTCACAAACGCCAATAATATTGAACCTTTAAATATTTAAAACTTGAAACTCTAAATTTTTTCCTTACCAGCCTAGACGACCGGACAAATTGTCCGGCCATCTAAGGATTTGACCGGACAAAACCTATTTTTGACCGGACATTGTCCGTTGACCGGCCGTTATTTGCAGCCCTGTACCCACAGTAACCGACTTATATTGTGACTGACTTCAAGTACATACCTCTAGATGGTTTTTTATATGTTCTTTATGCTTCACCAGAAGTCTGAAAACAGTGTTAAACTTTGTCAGGCCTGTTATATTAATAATTTATTTTTCGTTCAGTTCTTAGTCCAGGACCCATTATATTTATATTGTCTCTGGTTTATCAAATAGTTTCTATAGTGAGGCTATTACTCACCTCTTTAATGCCTTCCAAGTGTTTACCAGTATGCTTGTGTCCAAATCACCAATGAGAGTACAGATTTCCAAGAGCTGGTGACAAACTTGAATGTGGAAAAAAACAGAGACCTTTAGATTCTAAGACAAGTACGACTAAGAGTACGAGATTTTCTCAATATTACGTAGTGCTCGCATGTGAACCAGTGTCATTTTGGCAGGAAAATGTGGTAGCCGTCGTCACTCTACTACAAGTTTTAGTGAGAATGTTGAAGTGGCAGAAACAAGTTATCAAAGGTTAGAAGTTTTATTATTTTGCGATTGGGAGAGGGTGTAACCTCCTTCAATAAGGTAACAGTGCTAACTTTTCTAGTGAAAAATGGTAAAATGAAGCTTTCCAGAGAGTCTATATTTTGAGAATACGCGAAAAAACTTTAAGTCAAATCTTCTACTCGTAGTCGTCTTTGTCCTGGAATCTAAAGATCTCTAAAATCAGCAAGGCATTTAAGCATTGGCCATTCCACTTCCATTTAAAAGAAACAGACTCACAAATGAAATGAAATGTAGTGGATGAGAGGACAACAGATAATTCGCCCTCTTTACATTATATATTAACATGTGTTAACAGTAAGCAGCCGCAGGCAGCCGCTATCTGTCCATTTATGACCCTACTGAAACCCACCCGGAATGAATAATGTGTGAAAGGTACACCACTCCACCAGAGAAACTAATGTTTCATGGCATATCTGTCTGGGAACCTGCCATTTAATAATTTGCTTTTACATGCATGCACAAACATCTCATGTTCTTCAACTATATCACACTGACTTGTCTATGGTGTTAACAGTACCTTCTGTGATATCTTTGACATCTTGGTCACACACATTGTAACTAAACTGAATTCTGTCTAGCAACTCCATCAGAGCCTTGGAAAAAAATTAAAATAGAAGAAAAAAAACTTTATAAAAAAGCTAAGTAAACTTGCTCATTCATCAATAATAATAATAAATAATAATAATAATAATAATAATAAAAGTAATAAAAAAATAACATATACATCACAAAATAGTTACAAAATAAATCAAACAATGTCTTTATACATTGTACAATATCCAGGTCAGAATAAACTAGTTATGATCATATTCAAATCAAGGCTGTGCTCTAAGGAAAATTGTAGGGAGCCCAGTGCTCTGATCCTATAAAATCTAGGGTGCCCAGCATATGATTTGTATGAAAAAGCTACAATTTTCTAGTCGCCCGAGAGCAAAAGTTAGGCGCCAGGGGCCACTGGGCTCTGCTAGAGAACAGCCCTGCAAATCAATCAATGAATTATTCATCCAAAAAAAGAATACCTCTTACAAAAAAAATATCTTACAAAATAATAAACAAAATGTTTATACACATACGGGCAGTTGGTCTTAGTATGTTAGTATGCGTAGTACGGCCATGTTCTATGTTCTGGTATTTTATTCCGCCATCGAGTGATGTTAGTACTGTCAATACGGCTGTATTCTGCTTTTTTTGGCATTCTATCGGTCTTAATACGTTAATACCCTTAGTGCAGCCATGGTCTATTTTCATCAGCATGCATGCATGGCTTTTTGTGGCTTTAACACAGAGCACAGCATAATAGCAAAGACAGTTGAGAAATAAAAATATGCAGTGACTTAAGAGGAAAAAAGCAGGCCCAGAATCCAGTATACCCAAAATAAACTAACAAAGAACTCGCTAAATTCTAGGTCACTTGACAGGCGTAATTAGCAAAGAAATAAATAGAAAGAGGTGCCTAGAATGTGCAGCATATGTGACTAGAAAACAAGCTACACGTACACAGAATTCCATATAGCACCCAAGGTTTTGGAGAGGGATGTCACAGTAACTTCAGTGCTGACCTTTTGCAGTTGATAAGTCTTCTTAAACAATGTTGCCAAATCTTGTGATACAAGTTGAAACAATTCACCATAGATATTCTCACTATCCTGCAAGGAATGATGAACATAATCAGGATGTCAGTAAAAAGCAATCACATCATTATTACAAAGTATTGTCAGTATAATCTTTCTTTGCACATGGTGTTTAAGAATAGAGTAAAACTGTACATAAGGAAAGGTATGATGCATCTTGAATAAAAAGGGCAAATGGCATAAAAGTCCTCATGTAGTATATAGCACATGTTTAAAGCTAAGAAGCACCTTATGTGCTGGTATAAATGGGTACAGCTCGCCCCTAACATCTTGGTGCCATCTCATTTTTCCCTGTATAAACGGGCCTGCAGTTTTAGATAATTATTATAAGAAAAGGAGATGTCAAAAACCATTTTAGATTTTCCTTCCTTTAATGAAATCTTTAACACTGAATTTAGGAATATTCTTCCCCGCTTTGTTGCCCCAGCAGGTATTTCAGCTAGAAGGCGAAATCCCAAGGGGGCATCCTACAGTCATGTAATAGCTCACACATATATATATAGGAAAGTACCTACAGTTAAAATATGCCGACGTTATAGTACACCAGAAAACTTGATTTTCTTAAACAGGGGCCGTGAGGAATTGTTAGGTAATGATAACGTTTCAGCCCTAAATGCCCGTAAATTATGAAATGGTTAGGATGACTTAAAACAGAAAATGGAATGTCTCTCTCTTAAACAAACATCAAAATCTCTCCGACCACGGAAGAGAAAATCTTGTGTTAGACCAAAATTATAGAACGAAAGATGGTAGTGCAGATGCAAGTTATAAAGGGTGTATAACTGTGTATAAGCACTTGGAGGATTTGCCAGACACCAGTTGATCATTTAAAATTTGTTGGTTGGAAATGATTTGTCAGACACAAATCAATTTGAGGGGATCAACGAATCAGTCCACGAACAAGTAAGTTTTTCCAAGAAAGTAAAAAGAATCAAGTTAGCTTTAATATAAGCAGAATAATGGACAGTTACTACCCTGCAGGCAGAGGTTACATTTTCGTAGTGTGAACTAAGGTGCCTACACTGTTGCAGTACTTTTCAAATGCCAGCTCACACCTAGAAAATGTAGCCTCTGTTTCCAGGGTAGACAATTACAGAAATTTGCCTACAATTAAATTCTGTGCTGATGTATTCCCTTTTTAAAGATATCCCTCGATAAAGTATTTTTAGAAGCAAAGTATTGTTTAAATGCCATTTTAATAGTTTTAAAACAATTACTAAAATGCAAGTGTGAAAAAATTCTTGAAACTCAGAGTGTTTTAATTAAAGCTCTTAAATATTGCCTTTCCTGCTTTTATATATCTCACCTATTAAATGGAATAAGTGTGAAAATCTTCAATATGAATCAATATCTTTCAAAGAGCTACACAAAGACCAAGGATAAAATTGACCAACAACATAAAGAGCGGGGGCAGCTGCAGTGTCAAGTATTAAAAGTGTTAGAGTACAGAGATAACACATCCAGTCCCGTGGTTTCAGGTATAGCCATTGTGCTAAATTTTCTTGCCACTAAAGATCTACAAAGCAAAAGTAGTGGACCATACACGGTACCTTGCAATGTTTAAATGCTGTCTTGACAGTCTGAATGACAGCAGATGGTAAGGAATGTAAGTGACTCATACACAGTTCATCAGTAAGTGACAGCTGACTCATGTGTCCTATACAGCTCTCCAGACAGGCCATAAATGATAAGACCAACTGAAAGCAAATAACATGCAACAACACCATACATTTTTTTTCTTTATGTGTTGAGAACATCAGGCTTGCTATAAAAATTTTGCATGTTGCAAGTACTTGAATAAACAAAAAGAATTATTGGCCTATAGAAATACTTGTTTTCCTCCCCTATACATTGTATGAGCATTTGGTTAGAGACTAAGATGTCTAGGATTTACTGGCAGAAGTGTTAGAAACCCATCATCCAAAACATGAATACTGTACTGCAAAATTAATGTTCCTTGCTATATTCTGCCACTACACTGAATGTCCATTGAATGTCCATTCACCCGGCCAATAGCAATAATTATTACGAAATATTCCCGGAGTTTTCTAGTGGTATTTAGAAACAAGACAATAATATTTTTCAAGGGGTTTTCAAAAATTTCTGGGAGTAATAGTTTTAACTTCAAACCTGCAGAAGTGAGCGAGATGAATGAAAACTGCTATCTCTCTCTGCATCCCCAAGATGTGACCGAACAACAGCCTCAATTTGTGAAACTGCATCTGAGACAGCATCATACACCTTTCAACAATAATAGTGAAGTACTGTTCAAAAGTAAGTTGACAATTTGATACTCAATCCTTGCACGAGTTGAGTATTGAGAATCGACTCAGGTATCCAATCGGGATTCTCAATTTCCTATTCTCGATTTTCACCTGATAATGGCCAAGTTTGCTTTTTCTTTCAATGAGGAAAAAAAAAATTTTTAGACTGCTATAATAAGTTACATGTTTTTTGAGTTTCATCACACTCTTTTCATAGCTTAGTACTTGTGAGGAACATCTACAGTCTTATTATTCCATCCGAAAAAGCCCAAAAGCCTACCCTATAAAAATATGGTAACCCAGCATGTAAATTTGCCAGCAAAAAAACATTTCCTTGCTGCCTGAAGGAATAATTTGGTTGCCAGAGCCTGCAGGTAAATTCTTGTTACCTTGTACCTTAGGAAGCAACCAACCATGTATAAGCTAAGTGGTAAAAATTGGTAACAAATTTTCTCCATTATAAAAATTTTTAATAGAACCTTTGGAAGGATTCTTGAAAACAGCTTTGCTTCCACTTCTACTAACGTCAAACATGGTAGAACTTGACTTGTCAAACTGGTGAAATGCTCTATAAGAGTCACATTAAAAATTATATTAAAATTGAAGATAAACTCTAAATGGTTGGTCCAAATCCCCTTTGGTGTTAGAGCATAACACAATCAGAACAAAAAAGTAATGATTAGGGTCAAGTTGTTTGAAGCCCAGTTAACAGATTGTCCTTGGTTAACTGCAATACATGTAAGAGAATATGAGCTGCCATGGTAAATGGTTGAACACTGGGATCAGTATAGTCGTTTCTAGGAAACTCTCCACCTACCCCTCCCTTAAGCTAACATTAACACTTAATTTTCACTTAGGGCAAAATGGTGAGTTAGGGGAGGGGTAGGTGGGCAGTTTCCCAGAAACGTATAGTGAACTGAACACGGCACTATCTTTTAAACAACTCTTTCCACGTCCCAACTGTTCAAAAGCTGGGTCAATAAACACTGTCCACTGTGTGATAAATCTCTATCCAGTGGATAACGCTGGATAAAGATTTATCCGCGTCATGATGACGCCATCTAACGTTTGAACAACTGGGACCTAGGCTGTTGTGAGAATTTCAGGACAGGCAAACTGCCAGTCCATCACAAGGGAAAGGCATAAATCTAGACCATAAAAGAAACTAGCCAGTGAAAACATCTGTCTCTTCTCACTCCTTGCCGCCAGCTAGGGACGTTTCGCCAGGAGGGACATCTGTGCCTTGTCAAGAGAAATTCCATACTGATGATGTAAATCATTATGTTCACATAATACAACGTTGACCAATCAGAGCTCCTGACCAGATTAGGACAGACTTTACGTCATCAGTATGGAATTTCTGTCACTGAGGCACAGACGTCCCTCCTGGCAAAACATTCCTAACAGCGAGGCAAACATGAAGTAACTTGCCCTAGCTAATGCTAGCATAGCAACAATTGGCATTTTATAAATAAATATTGGTCTCCAAAGGTTTTTATCTGCTGAAAAGTGATTTTTCTGGTGGATAGCACTATCCAACATTTGAATAACCAGGGCCTGATAATTATTGAAATCCTACCGAGCTTTTCTTGTATATCCCCAGCCTCGGTAAATAATTTCTGAGTGTGCTATGTTAAGACTCATAATATAAACTCAATCCATGATGACAGCTTCAGTGCTGTCAACTCTCCCGAATGATCTGGAAGACTCCAGATTTTGGACCATATCTCCCAATTAGAGTATGAAATCTCTCAGATAATTGCTGAAATTTGTCGTTTCTCTTGAAGACTTGACTTTCCGACAATATTTTGCGTTGTTTGAGCTATTTATTCATTTTTCACAAACTCCAGTATGCGTTTGTACTACTGTCAACTCTCAATAACTCGAACCTTCTAGGGAAATTGAAAAAATTTCGAGTTTTTGGGAGTTTGAAGTAAATAACCAGAAGTAAGGAAATAAGCAAATGGATGGGGAGGGAATTCCGTTAAGAAACAAAGTATACAGGGATGGACACTGAATTTGAACCAGAGTGACAAAAAAGTAACGACAAAGAATTCACACAGTTGTTTTAAAATAAAATCAATGTTTTGGACTTCAGTACATGGTTTTTTCCCAAATTGTCATGTGCATATATCATGGTTCGAGTTATCAAAGGTAAAATTGTATAGAAATGATCTGAAGGGAAACAAAAATTACTTTGAGTTAGTGGGAAGTTCAAGTTATCGAGGGTTTGAGTTACTAAGGGTAAAATTACAGTAAATGTATGAAGGAAATATAGACTTTAATAGACTTTGATTCAAGTTAGCGAGGGTTCGAGTTATTGGGAGTCAACTGCATAAGCAGTGACGTGATTGGGGGGAAGTAAACCAATCAGGTCAAATGTTACAATGCAAACAACATCTCTTTTACGTGTTTTGTGTCATCGCAAATTTGTGACAGTCAGAATGAACAAGTATTTTTTGCACAAATGACATCATGTGCCATGCATTGGGCGATTCCAGAAAATATCCATACCATACCACGGACGGCTTTTAGGATTTCCGAAGGGGAGGGGGGGTTCACGATTATGGAATTCTGAGGGCATGGGGGGGTATTTACGATTGGAAATCCGAAGGCATGGGGTAACTCCACAGGTGGGATTTCTGGAGTAGAAAGTGTAGAGTGAGTTCCTTGAAAACGCTATTGTTGTGGACTTTTGTAGTTCGTAAATAAACCACGAACGTATGACCGCGGAAGCAGAAGACAAGCATCGATAGATCAGACACGTGTTTACGCTCATAACTTATAGAAGTGAACAGTAAAATGTGGGTTTCGCATTAACCTTGATGAATTTCTTGTCACATGAAAAAAAAAATGGAATATGTATCTTACTGCTTGCAAGTTTCTTGTTACTCCCATCCGATGAACAGTGAAAAAACTCGCACCAGTCCCTGGCTTCCAAGGAACGCCTGTCAGATTAGAACACTTTTCCTGCACACTACATGACGTATAAAAGGACGCAACACGCCTCGACGGTATATTTGACCACCGAAAGATTTTAACAGTCTGAATTTGAGCTATTTTGCTTTGTAAACGTCAAAACAGCACAAGAAAACAAAGAGGAGTAAAATTGCCGTTAGTGGTGTTTATTTTTATAGCCAAATTCGGACCTAAAAAGGAGTTTGCACAGCCTGTCTACTAGCGGTAGGTTAGAGTCTGAAAGCTTGACAGTCGCCTGGCGCTCCTAGATCTCAGCCTTGAAGAGGCATAAATTCACGTTCGTTTGTTCATATAGGCGTTGCTAAGTTGAAAATGTACGTCCAAAAAAACGGAAATTCTGAAGGGGAGGGGGGGTTCACGATTATGGAATTCTGAGGGCATGGGGGGGTAACGCATTTTGGAATTTCCGAAGGCACGGGGGGGATAAAACATGGAAGCCGTCCGTGGTTGGGTATGGATATTTTCTGGAATTGCCCATTATGACATTATACACTTAATGTCAGATCCCGAGGGAAACAGTTAGTTTTGTTTTCCCAAGAGTCCTGATGTTTCCCGAGACGAAGTCGAGGGAAACATCAGCACTCGAGGGAAAACAAAACTAACTGGTTTCCCGAGGGACCTGACATTAAGTGTTTTGTTATATTTCTAGACTTTCACTTCAACAGCAACAAAAGAATAACCGGAGCGAACCAAAACAGTCGACTCGGTACTTATAACAACACAAATTTAATTCTCAAAACCACTGAATGAATGATTTACAAACAAAAGTACTTTCCTCATATTATCTGCATCTCTTTCCTCCACTAGCTGCTGTTTTTCTTCTGGGATAACTTTAAAAATCGTTGCTTTTTAGCTTGAGGCTTCGTTTTTGTGTTGTTGTGTTCATTCACGAAAAAGAAAACTGGCTGGACCTGGCGGTGTTTTTCCCGCCTTCTGTCACGCCACTTTCCACCATGCTTTGATCACGTGCTGCAATGTATCCCGAGCAGGATACATTGTTTAATGTATCACGATCGGGATACATTTGATTTTAGTCAAGGCCACGTGACCAAGAATCAACCAATGGCAGTCCCTGTTTAGTTGAGTGAAAGTCTAGGAATATAACAACACCTATTATACCTTTCCTATCAATTCTCAATATTTGAACATGGCGGGGGGGGGGAAGGGTGGCAGCCCTGCTGCTTAACTTAAAATTCAGAAGTAAAATTTGGCCCAAGCCACTACCTAAACTGAGGGCACTTTCCATAAGTCTAAACTGGCCAGCCAGACCAGTTATTTTGACAATGGATAATTAGCCTCTTTCCAAGAGTTTTTCTTGCTGAAAAACCTTTGTGCATACTATTTAGGATTTGACTGATCTGGTTGGACAGTTATGACAAATGGAAAGTGCCCTGAGCTTGTAAATCACTCGCCTTCGGCTCGCGATTTACAAGCTTTTCGAGTGTTCTCCCAACATCCCAAGTGGGTTATCATGCTGGTAAACCCATAGTAAGTGTGGTCTATTGCTTTTATAAAATAACTTTAAGTTTTCTATGAGTTTACTGGCAAAATGAACCATAGGTTTTTAACCAATCAGAACGAGCGTACTACCTTAGTTATTTTATAAAATTTGATGAATTAGTACTTTCACTTCTATACGTAAATGTTTGCTCAACAATCAATATTGGTTTCCAGGGTCTAAAGCTCAGAAGAAAAAATAGGCCACAACACCTTTTCAGTCAAAAGTAGAGTAAAATTAAGCTTAAGTTTATATCAAATCTAACTTGAGCCTATATGAGCAAAAACTTATTATTAACCTTAATAAATTAAAGCTGATTTTATCAAGATCCAAAATTGTAATTACAGTGCAGATCGTATTTAGGCACTGCATGCACTGAAAAGTTTGCATGGATAACAATTGAGCTACTCGCTGGTCGTCTTCGCCTATAAAGCTACAGTATTTCAAACATCAAAACTACAATCCAGGTCTCAGCAATGAACACATTAGAAACCTGTTGAAACACAAACGATGTCTCCAACGATCCTGCATGAGCAGGTCATGAGCAGCTACTTTGTGCTTTAACAGAATTAGTAAAAGAAAGGATACAATTAGGGAAGTAAGTTGACTGGAATCGGACTGGCTCTGGGAACCCATACAGGATAACAAAACGTCACGTTAAATCCTCAACTTTTCCATTCATTTTGGACTGTCAGGTGAACCAGGCAAAATGGCCGCATTTACTCTGTAGACTGGTGACGGTAAGCGCGCAACGCCTGCGCGAGTGACTTTTGGCGGGAAATCGACAGCAAAACATTCCACGAGATCGAGCCGTACACGATCGATCTCGATCAGCGCCGATCAGCGAGTTGCAAGAGGTGTGGTGCTTGTTTTCCATCGCTCCTTTCTGTGCTTTTGAAAGAATGGTTCATAAAACAGAACCTGAATTTCCTCCAGGAATCTCTGAGAGGTAAGATATGGCGGTTCTGTTGAAATCATTGAAATATTGAACAAACTTGTCCGTAAATTTAAGCCCTGAGCTGCAAGCGCTGCACGCGATCGATGCGTTTACTTTTTTGTCCGGGAGGTTTTAAGTATCATTTTAGGTAAAGATAACCCTATCTTTTCTTTTGCAGACTATCAGAACTGGAGGAAGAATACAGGGATGGTGATATAACCGAGAAGGTGGGTCGATCATGTGCTCTCGGTCATTTATGCACAACTTGCTCGAATGAGTGACTGAACAGCCTCTGTGAACGCACTAGTGAAAAATCTTTGACAAACGGGAGAGCAAAATTGCGGTCTCTAGAAGATCCAAAGATTGTGCGATCAAAGGTCCAAATGGCCTTTCTCATTAAACTTTGTTTATTGTGTCGTATAATCGTGATCGCAATGTGATTCACTGTGTTTGTACATAAAACTTTCCCAAATCTTGCTCATAATGAGCGATCAACATCTTAATCCTCCTTAACGGTCTGTAAAACGTGGTTCGTGACACCTTGATGAACCATTCAATTCTCATAACTGTTTAATATTAAATATTGCTGGTTTACAGACCATTGATTTGAATAGTTACAGAGTGTAGACAGTTCTATTTTTCCTCAATCTGTAGTTTAAATTGTTTGGACCCACATTTGCCCCCATTTTCTGGGGAAAAAGACACCATGGCAGCTAAGTCTTTTGCGCCAGTCATTTTACCTATTCGCACATAGTGCAAGCAGAAATACTAACACAGTGTTATCAATTGAGTGATCAGCCTGCAAAATTTCTTCCACTGATATCGTAAATTCCTCCAATAGGATTACTCTTACTGCAATATTGTGGTAGCTACTTTAGATCACATGACCTAACTACTGGTTGAGAACTTTACTACCCATGAAATTATGGACAAAATGGGAGGGTGATAGAACGGTGATGATCACGTATTCTTCAGTCAAACCTTCACTAATAGCCACCTCTCTACAACGGCCATTTTTTTTAGCAGACAGTCCGTAACATTGACTCTTGTTTAAACCTCTCTATGACAACAACCTCTCTACAATGGCCACTTTCTTCTGTCTCCAAGGAGGTCATTATGGAGAGGTTTAACTTTATTGGTCAATTAGTGTCAGCCACGTATTGGTCAATATATCAGTCAAGTGTCGGTCAATGCATCAACCAAGTGCAAATCACTCTAGAGGAGTGTACTATATGGCAGTCAATACCCGTTATAAGACACAAGATCTGAAATTTAAAGGGTGTAAATCTTGTTTTATCAAAATGTTTGTCAGTCATTTATATAATTATTTGCTACTGTGATGTGACCATGTCTTTTTGACAAAATTTAATAATATTATCGATCAACATGCCTCTAACAGACAGACAACTGGCCGACAAAATCATCAGATATCTTCTGCTTTCCAAATGCGTCCTCCCCAGTATTACAGTAAAAAGACGTGTCCACTTTAGATGACTTATTCTCCCAACAATAATCTTTCAAAGTGAACCATATTTTGATGTGGTAAAAGTAAAGATTGCTTGCTATCCCTTGACAGTGATGCTTAAACTGCACACATTAAATATCTTTCTCTCTTTCATAAATCCTCCTTAAAACAGGGCTATGTGAGAAAAAAGTGCAAGTTGATAAAATCCATTTTGGCAAAGACAGTGCAGGAAAGGTGAGTCGTATTGAAATATTTAAATCTAGTCAGTAGGAAACTTTATGTGCCCAAGTTTTGCTGCTCTTTGTGAAAAGTTGTTTACCTCCGCTGCACAGTTACTTGGAAATAGGTGGCATGGTGCCTCAGATAAGAAAAAAATCGATTGGCTTTTAAATGGTATTATTTTCTGCTGCTGATTTTCAAATTAAAGTTAGGTTGTTTTCAGCTTGTCCAGTCCTTTATTTCGCTATCAAATTGCTTCTGTTAGTTGCTGTGTGTTTTTTATTTTTATCGTTGTTTTTTTCTTTTTATTCTTTTGCTTTTTTATGTGCGAGTGTGTGTTTGATCATGATGTTCATTTGTATCTTTAAAATATTCAATGTAAACAGCGTAAGCTCTCAAGATGAGCCCTTTAGGCTCTTAGAGCAAATGGTGTATTCAGTAAATATTGTTTATAAAAAACAACAACAACAACAACAATAACTCTATTCCTCTTGACTCTGAAGTCAAACTATTGCAAAGTTTGTGGAAACATCAGTCACTGCATGCCAACAAAAGGATTCAGGACTACCCTCCCCAGACAATCATATTCCACCTTACTTATGAAATGACTCCACAGTTCAAACAGTTCACTCCAATAACAGTTAAACTTGGGCAAAGGATTTTATGCCTAGGGCTTGCTTTTTTTGTACTGAGAAGTGTATTGCATTGAATTTTTTTAAATGTTTTACTTTCCTTTTTCATTAATTCTAGAATTGAAAAGATAGAGGGTGATTTCAAAGATGGAAAATCAACTGAAGTAAGTTGTTAACCTTAAATCATGAGTGCAGGGTATAAAGTACCGTTCACATTCCTCAGGTCAAGAGTAGAAGTCACTGCTTCATCGATAAATTATTAAGCCATATAGTTTCCTCTTGATCGATCTAAAAAATGGTATTGTAAAGAAATTAGGGCAAGACACCGTGGGTGATAAATTACTAAGCCATACAGTTTCCTCTCATTATCTAAAAATTAATAATGATTTTGTATGAGAGGTTCGGGCAAGGAGACACCTTGGGTTCTTTTTTTTTATCTGTAGCATCCATGCTGACCTGTACTCTGACTTGTGGAAAGTGACCTGTATTTTTAACCCACCATAGTCTCACAATCATGAGACTATGATGGAAAGTTGCCCTAAATAGCACGGACAATATACATTCAGTTTTATATTAAAGCATTAAGGGTTTTAGTAACCTGAACTAACCATATTATAGCTTGGGGAAAATCCATTGCCCCTCCTCTCTTGTAGCAAAGAATGTGACAATTCCAAACTTTTTTTGCCACAGGAGCAACTGATAAAAGATCTTAAGGAACTGCTGTCTGAGATTGGTCACAAGGCTACCAATGGCTGTGATGTTAAACCAAGGTTTCCTGTGCATAATGATGATATTGAGAATGGTACAGCTGTGGCAGTAAATGAAGAACCTATGGAGACAGGGTGTGAGGAATCTGAGGTTGAACAGGGGAATGTTGGCATCAACAGTGGTAATGTAAGGTCAGGATCAAGTCGCCATGAAACCATGGACTCAGACAGTTCAATTGTTGAGAGCAGTGCTGGTGAACCATCATCTGCTGCCCATCCTATTCAAGATGATGTCCAAGCATCATCTTCAAAGTCTACCACTGAAGGTAAAATACGTTGCTTCTGAATTACCCCACTTCATTGCCTTCTTTTTACTTTCCTGTTTTATATGTGGTTTCTAGAATCAACTTTGCTGACAAAAGAAGAATCTCCTACGGCTACTTGTAAGGTATGTGTATGTGACTATCGGGGAGATACAAATAGGTCGCAAGTCAGGTTGGAGTACAGGTCACTGTGCTACAGTAAATAAACAACACTACAAGTGTCTACTAGCCCTAATCACAATCCGAAATAGAGTATTTTAGCTTAATATCTCTTAATATCTCTGCATAATGGAATTCTTAATTTTATAGAATTTCGAACTTTTATTATTGATTATATCTATTTCCTCTTCTTTTATGTAAGGTTAAGTTACTTCTATTTTTTAGAATTTGTAAATGAATAGTTTTTTTCTTTCTTCACTTATTACGTATAGGATTGTTTTTGATCTCTAATGAAGGAATTGTAGATTTTTATTTTTAGCTTAAGGGTAAACTGCCTATCTAATAGTTAACCTGCACTTGTGACCTGTGACCTGTGTTTTGTCCCCGCAATGGGACCATAACATTGGAACACATACTCAAGAGATTTTGAATCAAAATGTGTATTAATATGTTACATTTATGTATAATTAAAGTGATGAGTTGTTATAATTTTCTGTTATTTCTGGCACAAGTTGTGGTCTGATTACAAACTGCCTTAAATACAGTGCAGATCAGAACTATAGCTGTAAGCAAAACAAAATTTGTATGCATGTGTATAATTTAATTATACACATGCGTACATATGTCAGGCCAGATGTGTACCTGAATCTGAGCTGACGCACATACGCATTCTCTCCAAAATGCCTCAGAGCACATTTAACTCATTAGTATGTATGAGCTATTTCTTTTCGTAGGGGTGTAATGTGTCAGTGAAAAGCTGACAAGCATCAAACTGGCACATGCCAAAATTTTGCATGTCACATACAATATTATTGCAATGCAAACCGTAAAACTATTGTTTGCCATTGGAACTCTTCTTGGAAGTATTCTAACAAATACACTTATAAGTTTTGACACTTAACGCACATACATTTAAATAATACTGGAGACAAACTTTTGATTTTTTTACTACTCGTGCGTTACATGGCGACAAACACATAGTAAATTGAGTGTCACCAATGAATTCCCTCATGTATCATAAGGTTTTAAAAAACTGCACAGGTTTTAAATCTGCCAGTAGCTATAAGAATTGTGATCAGTAGAAGTTTCTTGTTACTTTGTCAAAATCAAAAGCTTGCTGTTGTCTTGCTTTAACTGGCAAGGTAGGATGCTGTGAGCTTTTCTGTTGTATCCACAGGCTTCTCAGAGTGCATCAACACCAGAGCAAAAAATGATCTGTGGGCACATGGGTTATATTTCTAAAACTGTGCACTTGTACAAGCAATATTTTTGAGTTAATTTTTTATTGTTATTTTTTATTATTAATTTAGAATAAACCTAGATCAACAAAAGAGTGCAAAAGGCAACCTGGAATCAAAGAGATGTTTGCGAAAGGGTGAGGGTACTCTACAAACTTACTAAGTATTAGACTGCTGCTAAAACAATAAATTATAAAAAAGGACGTGAGGACTAAAGGACTGAATCTTCAAAGGAGTCACTTCCCTTGATGTTCCCAGAATCAATTCTACCTTAGCTGGTTAAAAAAAACCCTGACTTCAGATAACAAAATGTGTGAAAACTATGACGTAAGATCCCCACTGAAAAAAAAAACTCGCTACCCTGCTAAAAATTTGATTAAGAGATAATAGTGCCTAAAATCCCAGATGAGTGCTATGGTCATCCTGCCTAAGATCCTGGGTGAGTAATTTAATCATTGTCCCTCCCAAGATCCCGGGTGAGTAGTGTTGTTACCCTGCCTAAGATTCCGGGTGAGTAATATGGTTGTCCCACCTAAGATCTCAGTTAAGTACATGTAGTATGGTTATCCCGCATAAGATCCAGGGTGAGTAGTATGGGTATCCTGCCTAAGATCCTCGGTGAGTAGTATGGTTATCCCACCTAAGATCCTAGGTGAGTAGTTTGGTTATTCCGCCTAAGATCCCAGGTGAGTAGTACATATATGTTTATCCTGCCTAAGATGTCAGGTGAATAGCATGTTTATCCCGCCTAAGATGTCAAGTGAATAGTATGGTTATCCCGCCTAAGATCCTGGTTGAATAGCTCAGTTATCCCACCTAAAATTCTTTGAGAGTAGTATGGTTATCCTGCCTTAGATTTTGGTGAGTAGTATGTCTATATATACCCCCAAGATACTGAGTTGTATGGTTTTCCCTCCTAAGATTCCGGGTGAGGAGAGTGGTCATCTCGCCTAAGATCCAGGGTTAGTAAGTAGAAAGCACAAAGTGTATTTTGTAAATCTTAAATTGAAATTGCATAAAACCTGAAATAAATTTGCAGCTCGTTAAAAAGAAAGCAGACGGATGATGGAAACATATGTAGCAGTAGCAGTGAGGGGGAGTCATCATCGTACAACTGCGATAATGCTGAAACTGGAAAAGTACGTAGTAATATTCTCTCTCTCCCAGTACTCAACCAGATACTATCCAAGAGCAAGTATTCAGGATGATACATTTATATTAGTTATCAAGAAGAAAATAAGGTAGTCAGTGGATGAGTCAGAATACATCTTTGTCTCACTAAGGTTATCTTGAACATTGTTGATCCTAGCAATTTGCAGGATGCTCATATAATTCCAGTATATATACTCGAGATGGCTTTGCTTGCCATTTGTTTTTCTATTAAGCACAGTTGAGAGAGGGTCTGACCACTAGCTTTGGATTCTTGGATTGGATGCTGTTGGACTCTTCAGTTTTCTTTGCCCCATCCCAGTGCCATGATACACATTATGTAATCCTAAGAAAGTAATCAGAGGAGGACTCGCAAAAAGTTATGAAATTTGAAACCCTGATAAATTCTGACACATACAGTACATGTATAAAGATTTTGTGCATTAACGTTAAAGTATTTCAAAATGGAAAGGAAATGTAGGGAGGATAATTGCTGGACTCAACAAAAACCATGGTTTTTACTGTTCCTACTTTATGCTAGGATAGGTTTTGAAACTATGACCTGCTTGTTCATTGTTGTGTGTGTATTCCCTTGGTCTATGTTTGGGCTGCAGCTAGTAGCTGTTAGCCTTATTAAGTAATAAAAAGTAAGATGTTTTTCAATACACAGGATGTAAAACGTCAACGACTGTTGGATGATAATGACGATGAGAAGAAGACAGTGGGGGATACAGGAAATGAGAGGTGAATTTCAACTTGTCACCCTCCACCTCCTGTTGTTCTTATTTTGACATAAAAGCCACACTACTCAAAGCCTTTGTCAGTTCTTGGATTATAGTATTTCTTTCTCACAATATTCCTTCTTCAAAATTTCCTGGATCCTCATGTTTCTAAGAACTTTATTCTGATGATTAGTTATTTTTACAAAAAAATTTTTACCTTCAGGTAGCAATGGCTAGTTGAGGCTTCAATATGAAGCATATTCAAGGGTTAATTTTACCTGTAATCAACATGCATTGTTGTTTTATACCAATTTACATGGTGTACATCTGGTATCTTCTATTGCTATTTTGAAGACTTGCTTGTCAGTTGAAAGAGCTACTGGATATTCTTTTGTTGTAGGTATAGCTTAAGAGAATCGTCTGAGACAACAAAACCTGGGGAGAAGAAAATACAGGTACTAAAGCAGAAAGTTATTTCTTGCTTACCTTTATACTTGTGTTATTGACAATTATTTACTTTTTTAGCCTGGTAGACTGTGCGAACAGTTTTATCAACTGTAGCCATGATCTAACAAAGATTAATTATTACTATGAGCAATCAGGGGGATATAATAATCATAATTATTTGCTTTGAACCCAGTATAATTTCAGGCACTGATGGACACTATTTCATGTAATATGAAATTTACCCGATATATTCAAGACCTGCATCACTGGTACATGAAGCCGCAAGATAGGCCGTTGATAAAACCTAGATTGGACGGGATCAGGTCAAACCCTGTATTTCACTAAATGAAGAAAGGTTAGGAATAGTGGTTTTAGGGGCTGATCCCATTTGGTCCAATCTAGGTTTTGTCAACGGCCTATGTCTTGCAGCTGTATGTATAGGTGATACTGGTCTTCAATATAATGAATAATTTTCATATTACATGGAATTTTGTACAATGTCACTCACTTCATCTTTTACAGCCTCCTGCCAAGTGTAAGGAATGTAAGCAGCTGTTAACCAGTCCTGACCTAAGGCTCTTCCCTGGTGACAGTGATGATGCTGTAAGTTTAAAAACATTATTTTGGAGGTCCACAGTAAAAAAATAGTTAATTATTTAGCTAAAATACTTTTACATTTTGCTGAAAATCCCTGCAACACCTGCATTCATGACTGATCTTACAACTGGACACATTATTCTTTTTTTAGTTTGCTCTTAAAATACATTTACTTACAGTCCTTGTAGAGTATTTCTTTCCTACTGATGGTTCACCCTTTCAGAACTGCCCACCTTGGTTACCTAGCTGTTCTTATACTAAAAAGAGAACGTGGCTTCTTATTTACACAAATTTGTTCTGCATCACTCTTTTAAAATGAAGACAAAAGCTGATGTCATCTAGTTGGTATTTCACTTATACTAGGAAGAATCCACTTTTAAATGACTGTTACAGACGTATATCACTAGATTTTGGACACATTGATCAGTGTCAAGTGAAAAGATATCTTCCAATGCTATTTTACTAACTTTCAAAAGAGAATTTAGGGTTTCCTTTTTCTTAGAGGTGCTGGGAATTTAACTTTTGGTTGAAAAAGAAAAGTAAATTTAATAGATGAAATTAATTAAAATACTTATTTCTACCCTGTAACATTTAGTAGGCATTTCCATAATGTACTGTATTATGGCACTCTAAATTTTTATAAAATGCTTTGTCAATTAGGTGGAGGAGTTTGTAGCCCTTACAGATCCACGTTTGTCACTCTTCTCTGGTGATGAGGAACAGTTTGATAGCTATAATGACAGACCACAACACAAAATTACAAATTTCAGGTATTGTGGATTATTTGGAATAAACCTAGATTGAACTTGATTATGAATCAAATTATAAGTTAGCCAAATATTCTTTCACCTTGATGATCTCTGCCCTGACACATGTCTGACGTTGTTAGTCACTGTGCTTGATTACATATCAAAACATAGGCTAGCATGCAGGTAGAGCCCCCTTTCAAGAAAAGATGGTCATTGAATGCACCTACCTTGTAAGTAACAAGATCTGGCCAGTCTCAAATTGTGCCTTAACTATTTTATTTAGCATCTATGACAAGAACACCCACCTGTGTCCATTTGACTCTGGTTTGATTGAGAAGAATATTGAACTGTTCTTCAGTGGTTACCTTAAACCAATCTATGATGAGAATCCAAGTCCTGAAGGTATGTCAAATACTTAAGTCTAATTTGTTTAAATCCTTAAGTGTCCGTTAGATCTCTTTGAAACTTCATATTTAATACACAACTTTACAGTGTGTGGGTGTACCTCTAACTGGTCAAGGCTGCAATGTCCTCTTGGCTTAATAATGTCAAGGCACAAAGTGTGCTTGCTTTAGATCCGAAGTGAAAATGTTCTGTGTCTCATAGTAAACACATGACAAGCAATGCAGGGGAATTCTATTATATGATAAGGTGAAACAAAAGTTTAGCCACTGGCAAGTGGAGAATCCATTGTCCTCTTATGAAAGAAAATAAAGCAATAATAAGTTGGATGGTTTGACCCAAAATGTCCCCTGAACCCCCAGATGGCATCATGACCAGTTTAACTATCTGGGCAAAACAGTTAAAGGCAGTTAATTTTTAGTTTGAAGAGCTGCTGTTGGCAGGTTCAGGTTAGTACTGCAGATACAAAGTAAAAAGCATTCATGGCTGGAAATCAATTTTGCCACCATGTGGTAATGTCATTTGGACTGGGTAATACACCAACAACCTTTGAACTACTCATGAACAGTGCTTTAGGGCCTTTTTTGTAAAATAACATCATCGGCCACCCTGAAATGTTTGATGCAGTGGTTGAACGTTTCATGACAGATGTTGTCCATTTGTGTCAGGTGGTGTGCCAACAAAGTCTATTGGACCTATAAATGAATGGTGGGTGGCAGGATTTGATGGTGGAGAGAATTCTCTTATTGGTTTTACCACAGGTAACCAAAATATATCTGTATGTTATCTTAAGTTGTCCAATTTTAAAAGTACAGAAGAAGCAAAAAATGATTCTTGTGTAGACATGGTCTCAAATATGTGCGGTGAAACATGTTGTTTCTTTAAGTAAGGTTGCTGGTCCAATTTTAGTTTTATTAACATTTCATATTATTGGATCTATGATTATGCATATTATAAACAGTAGTAGTTTTACTAGTGTTTATAGTTTATAGTATGTTTTGATAAAGGACTAGGAGATCTATACTGTAAGTTGTTAGACTACTTTTTTCTGTTGGATGTATGACCCATTTGCTAGGTTCTGCCAGGCCTATAGATACAAAAACAAAGTTAGTGAGATATATGTAATAATTATTACATATGGATGTTTGAATCAGGTATAAAAAGTAAGTGGGGCTTTATTGCCTTAAAAGACCTGTCACTCTGCTCATGCTGACAGAAGCATGTGCTTAAGATATTTAGAAGAGTTGAATGCAATGACAGCTAGACTTACAGGAACATTTAGCTTTTTTGAGGCTTTCTCCATCCATAGTGTGATGTGGACTCCTACCCATTGAACCATTTCCTGTGGTCTTTTAGAAGCATTATCACACTGCCTACTGCCTCAACAGTGTCATCACAGGAGCATTTTAATAGTGTCTTTTTCCTCTTTCCATCACAAGGCTGGCATTCGTTACATGTCAGTGTTCATCTGTTGTCAGTGGAGTAAGCAACATACCCTACATATTTTCATTTCATGGGTGTAATATGACTGCCAAGTCTCCAGTAAGAACTAAAAAATATCTTATTATTTGATGGCAGCTTTTGCGGAGTATATACTGATGCAGGCATCAGAGGAGTACATGCCATTTATGAACCTCATGAGAGAAAAAATTGCTATGAGTAAGGTACCATAAAAATAAATAATCTCCTCAATTTGTTCGCCATTCTTGTAACACATACTCGTAAGTGTAAATAAAAGAATTTAACAGTACGGTTTCTTTTTTTCAGATTGTCATTGAATTTATTCAGAATAATCCAGAGGCAAGATATGAGGAATTACTGAATAAAGTTGAGGTAATTCACTTTAAATAATGACGTGAATGAATAGAAAAATGAAAGTTTGTACAATACCAATTATGGTCAGATGTGTTGACTATGGAGCTCCCAATCAGTGAACATTTATTGCTTTTAAAAGTCTTAAGTCAGGATGCTGTTGACTGCAAAGCACTGTTCAGGGTCATAGATCTCTGATTTATGACACTAGAAAGAAATGGCACTTTCATGTGTTTAAATTTAAAACCCTTTTGGGAACACCTTTTCCTGGGTCCATGATTACTGTCACCAATAGTGACCAACAACAATTTTCTCCTAACAATATCCATACAATGTCAAGAGATTAGGTTGTGAGAATTAAAAAATGATCACCTAAGGGAAAATTCTGTGATCTTTTATCAAATTCTCTCAACTAATTGTTAAAGGAGATGTATGGAGATCAGTTTGGAGAATTTGTATATGGATATTGGAGCTCAAAGGGTTAATGCATGATATTGTGGACTTTTAAGCTGGCTCAAGGCATTGTCTGCAGATGGATCCACATTGTCTCAAGCCAGGTTTATAATCAGGGTTCTTACGGGTCATGGCACTCAACTTTCGTAGCTCAACTTGTGTTAAAATGTAGAGCCACACCTGCTGATTTTGTGATCAGTCTTCACTCAATACATGGTGAGGCTAAAATGAACACTCCCTCTAACTTGCCGTATGAAAAATATTCAATTAAATTTTTGTCATTCCTTTTTTACTGCAGACATCAGTGCCACCAGTAAACTGTCTCACTTTCACAGAAGACACCCTGTTACGACATGCACAGTTCCTTGTTGAACAGGTAAAGTTCTCTTTTGTCTGTTTATTCCACCAGTCAACAACTATTTCATAGTTTAATTGTAATTAAAATAGACTTTTAGCACAGACAATGAAGAATAACTCTATGACTGGTGTGGTTATAATTAAATTTTGACTCTGCTCACCACAGAGCCTGCAGTAGCGCAGTGTTTAGCATTCAAACTAGAACTCAAGGGATCATGAATTTGATTCTTGCCTGGAGCGCGGAATTTTTTTTTTTGAGCTTTCTGGTGTTATTGACCTTCTTCCAAATTATAGAATGACAAATAATAATGGAAGATGAGTGGTGGTGTTGGTGTGTGTATTTATCAAACGTTTGTCTGGAAATAATTTCCTTAAATCCTCATTTCGTAGGTGGAAAGCTATGATCAGGCTGCTGATGATGATGAGCTGCCTTTGCTGGTGTCTGCTTGTATGAGAGATCTCATCAAGCTTGCTGGTGTAACGCTTGGAAAAAGGTTTTGTTGCTGTCTTGTTCTTTACAAATGCATTGCTAACATTTTTATCACAATGTACATAATTAATCAGTGATTTTGTTACAACATTTAATGTTGTTATGATGAGGCCTGGAACTTATCCTGTGAAAAATTGTGAGTCCCAGTCCAAAACCATTGAGTTCCCATTCAAAAATCAATAAGTCCTAAATTGAAAATGCTTGGGCCTCTATCTAACCAGACAGCTAATCTGCAGACAGACTCCAAAACTCTGTATTACAGTTTTCTGAAATAAATCACATATTCCTTCTATTGTAAAGATGTGTTGTTAAACAATAGCCACAAGCAACAGCCACATACATTACATGAACAGGATATTCTACTAAAACATATTTAGATCTATTCATCAATCTTTGTGTCTTTGGGGTATCTTATGCTTTAAATTGTCTTGTCTGATGAAAAATGTTGATGAAAAGCCCATACTCTGTCTCGTCATACAAGGTTGTAGAAACGTATTTGGGGGAGAGGTCTCCAAGGGTTAGTTAAGACCGAATCAAAGCCAAAAAATGAGGAACTATCCTTATCTTACCAGGAGAGTAGAGATTGTGATTGATTTGGAGAGCACTTGCCTCTCACCATTATCATCCACATGAAAATCCCAGACTTTATTTGAGTGTCCAGTTTGCTGGTTTACAGCCTGCCACAAAGGCTTTTTGGTGGGTTCTTTTTATTCACAAACTTTTATCCCCAATGTTACTCAGTTTGCATTCACTTTAGCATCCATCGTCATTCAAGTAATTTGATGCTACGTATGTTCCTCGTTGCAAGTACTTGCCTGGTTAACAGTGTTAACACTCAACCCTGCATTGCATATGTTTTTTTTTTCAGGCGTGCAGCAAGAGGTGTTAAAGTAAAGCTTGATAAGAAAAAGACAGGCCCCTCAAAAGTATGTTAAGTTGTGTTTTCTCCTGTATTATCCAAAAGGGCATTTTATGTACAAGTATCTGGGGTGTGAAAATCAACTCTTTCATAACTATGACATCAGCAAGTACAAGCCTTAAATCCCAATGTCCTTGAAACACATTGTGTACTAAATGTTACATCTTGGATACATTTGATAACAATCTTGTTTAATTTTATTCAGGCCACAACTACTCCCCTAGTGCGGCACATATTTGACATTTTCTTCAAGGATCAAATTGATGGTAAAGAAGCAACTGCACCCCGCAGGAAACGGTGTGGAGTGTGTGAAGTGTGCCAGCAAGCAGACTGTGGTGATTGTAAATCTTGTAAAGATATGGTCAAATTTGGTGGAACTGGCAGGAAGAAACAATGCTGTGAAAAAAGAAAGTATGTCTTGAACAGCCACTTCTGTATAAACACAATAATATTAAACCATCTCTTTTGAATATTCATCTCCCATCAGTAAATGCAACTCTCAATTATTGTAGTTCAAAGTTTCTTTCTGTGGGTTAAGTCTTGTAGTGTGACCATTCAAGTGAAACATTTAGGCAGCGTATTTAGTTACATGCCTCTGTTGCTGTTTTTTAGTACTTTGCAAAAAAAGGCGGTTTTCTTGAATTTAGTTTTAAGGTAGCCTTGAAAGTGAGAGAGTGCAAAAATGCTAGAACAGTGGTACCACTTGCTGAAGTTTCAGTAACAGTTTTGGGTTTAGGTATTTCAGGGGGGTAACCTTAATCAAAACTGAAGGTGAGAGAGTGCAAAAACACTAGAACAGTGGTACCACTTGCTGAAGTTTCAGTAACAGTTTTGGCTTTAGGTATTTCAGGGGGGTAACCTTAAGCAAAACCTCTTACCAGGAGTTGCTTGGAGACAGTACTTTGTCTGGCAAATACAGTCAAACTCCATTAATAGAGACACTGAGGGGGCCATCGAAAGTGTCTGTATATATGTGGTGTCTGAAGTGGGTCAGTTGAATTTAAAGAAAATGTAAGAGCTCTCTTTCCGCAGGGACAAAGAAGACTGTCTTTAATAATGAGGTGTCCGTATTAAGCGGGTGTCCGTAAAGCTTCATCTGTACCTTTCCAGTATGTGTGATGTTGTCATGAGAATTGTTCCCACTGGCCAAGCTCTCCAGTTCATACAAACACAATAAGCCTCCCACCCTAACAAGGTGGCAGCAAAAAAGTACCGGTATCAGGAATTAAAATAATATTACATACTTTCAGGCTTGAAAGGACAACATTGTGGATGGAGGTGCACTATTCCCAGAACTTGATTAACACACCTTATTATTGATTTCCAATGTTGGAACATATTTGTGTTGATGTAAAAACTAAATTCCTTCGCTTTTCAGGTGTCCTTACATGGCTGTGCAAGAAGCAGATGAAGATGAAGACGTTGCTGAAGAAATTGAGAATGTTGTATGTACATTGCATGTTGTTTTTACCATTTGTGTTCCCTGAGGGTGAGTGTAATACATGTTGACTGTATATCCATGTTTGTGGGCCACATTGGGTCATACGGTACCCCTATTAATTTTTTTTTCATTTTACTATATTTTTATTAGAGTCCCAACAAAGAGAAAACAAAGAAGAACACGCAAACTCACAAAACAGCAAAATCACAGAAAGGAACTAACGTGAGTTGGAAAATATTTATCTTGTACCAATATGCGTGATTATGTTGGCCGTAGTCTTCCTATTAAATATACAAATCGACAACAATTTTCCATGGTCTGTTTAACAAATAAATTCCGTGTTGCCGATCACAGATTACGTCAAGTGGGAAAAACAAACCTGGCGTGGTAAACGAGCCGCAGGCGAGTATGCCACAGATGTTCTTACCACATACCGTAAATGATCGATTAAGCGCCGCGGCGCTTATTTCATTTTCCCTGTTATAGGTGCGGTGCTTATCCGACAGCGGCGCCTATTTCAGTTATGGGTAAAACACTGAGGGGAATATTGACTCAGAGGCCATTCGGGCTCGAAGAATAATTGTTAAATATCTAGCGCAGTAACAAAGGTGTGGCGCTTATTTGTAAATACCCAAATAAGCGCTGCGGTGCTTATTCGAGAGCGGCGCTTATTCGAGTAGCGGCATTTGATCGATCTTTTACAGTATTGACGTTTTCTTTGATTTATTACTAAACACTGAGATGCACATGCACGGCAATGTTGAATCTATTCGTTTTATGCAACGAACAGAAAAGAGGAAACGACATACTTGCCTTGTACCGTTTGACTGCTCAAGGATTTGTGCCAGTTTAGACATTTTTAAGTCGTCTCTGCTTCTTTTTTTCTTCTTTATCTTGTGTACAGTTTCTCCGAAAAAGTTTTCAACGCCTTCCCTTGCTAAAAGCAGAATAATCGCGAAAACATTTTCAAAACTGCGAGTTTCTCGTAGCGATAAGACTCGATGGCAACTGTTGTGAGGATTTCTTTCAGTTTACACATTTTCAAGTGGTCAAGAACTCTCTTTTTCTCTGTTTCTACGCTTTTCTTTCTGGTAAAAAGCTCCTGCTAAACTGTTTTCGTGGCTTTACTTGCGTAATCCGGAAAAATCTTGCAAACATTTTCAAAACCGCGCGCCATGTTGAACCCCAAAAAGAAAACAGTGACGTTTTCCGTGACGTCATCGATGTGTTTATGGGCAACGACCAATCACAGCGCGCATAGCATTGACCGCATTGTATTGTACAACTATCCCCCGAGGGGGAGGTGAATAGTACACAGCTATCCCCCGAACGGGAGGGGAATAGTGGTGGATATATACCGAGGTATATATCTAGCGCTGGTCACTGACCCTGAGGTATTTACCAAATCAGTTGGATAAAACTGAAAAAAGTAACTTTTTGTAAATTACAAGCGTAACTAAGTAGGAACTTTGTTTACAATTTACAAACATTTCGGGGATTTTGTCAAGTGCATTTTACGGTTATGTTGAACATAACCCTCGACCAATCAGCGCGTGAGAAATCGCTCAGTTATTATAAAATGACCTCTTGGTGGTTTTCACGTTACGTCATCGCCGCCATGCTGGTGGACGGTAAACAAAAGATTGCTCATTAGCTCATTTTGTTTGTCCACAAGCATTTGTTCATTTCACCATTGTTATTTGTGTCTTCCGAGATTGCGTGAAAACCACCTATAGAAAATTAATTTTAGTTAAATTAACTTGACACATCCAAAAATCAGTGAGTAGTGGCACAGGGACAGAAACAAATAGTGCTATGCAAGAGTAGCACCTAACGTTGAACTTGGAACTCCTCCCCCTCCTCCTTCTTCTTCTTAACCTCTGATGAGCTGAGTGCAGTGATATGAAAGGTGAACTAGTCCAACAGAAAGGAAGAAAACTAACCACGTATGTTTGTGTTTATTTGTAGAAAAAGGTTGAATGGATAGGAGATCCGATCAAAGTCAGTGGAAAGACAAAATATTATTCCTCCGTTTTAATCAACAAGGAAGAGGTATGCTACCTGCATGTCTTTTTCGTTTCTTTATAAGTCCTTGAGAAATCTGACGTAGAATACGAGAGACCCAAAGCTGTAATAAGGCATTAGAGCACAACAGATGCCTGACCACCTTGACCTAATAAACGCCCCGGGCGTCGTCTTGATTTTAGAGGTCCAAGCTGGGGCGTTTAATAGATGATAACTGTAACAAGCTCAACAAAACTAGTATGCTTTCGACGAAAATATTAAGAGATTTTAAAAATAGCGGAATATCCGCTCCATCAATTGATACGTCTATGCCGTCTAGAGATCCAGATTCTTCTTTTAAATCCAACATCGATGCAAGAATCCTCTCTCAGGGTTATTGTGTTTCCATCGTTAGTCTATCCTTACTCTGAACTTGACATGGAACAAGGTGAAAAGCAAGAAACAGATTGAATTGAATGTTTTTGCTCCTCTTTGCTAATGCCTAGTATTTTGGAGTAATTGTCATGGGGGCGTCTATTAGACAGGGGGCGTTTATTAGAGAGGGGCGTCTAACACAATTTTAACAGCGTAGAGGGGGGTGTTTATTGGATAAGAGAAGTTTATTTGGGAATGGGCGTCTATTAGGTCATTTACAGTATGTGATAACAAACCAGTTTACTTAGCGAGGTGGCATTCTTACTAGAACACCGTTACTACTAAGCTATTATCGGTAGGGCAACCACAGGAACCCAGCAAGCGTTAAAAAGCAATTTGCGTGGAGTTTATGTAGCATTATTCCAGTTTTGTATTTCTTGTGTTGACCGGTGTACAAGAAAATGAAACAGCAGTTGTGTATTGAATTTTAACCTGACATAATTAGAAACCTCTTCTGGTAAGATACAAGCAGTTGGCTATACACACGTGGTGCCAGAGATTTGAAGTCAGCCTGGTTTTCGTGCGGTTACTCTAACTAGTGATCAAAACTAAAAGGGAAACTACAGAAACTCCCTGGTGAAATAATTAAAAGGAATGCCTCTTTACAATTGTCTGCTGTTTAAGGATTAAATGTTTGTGCTTGAACAGGTGCATGTTGGAGACTTTGTGAAGGTGAATCCCAAGGAAACCAATATCCCGCTGTATATTGCTTGTGTATGTTACATGTGGGAGGCATCCAATGGTGGCAAGATGTTTCACTGCAGATGGTTATGGTAACAGCTATTCTTTCGTTAGACTGGTTTTCTCAATACAGTTAAACCACGCTTTACAGACACCTGCTTAATGCGGACACCTCATTATTACGGACAGTTTGCTTTGTCTCTGGGGAAAGAAAGCTCTTACTTTTTCTCTGTATCCGTGTTAACGTGGTTTGACTGCGCTAACAGTCTCTAAATTTGCCATGCTCTATGATTGGTGTTGAATCTCGCATGACTTTCTTAATTTAAAACATCTCCATAATGCCAGACATTTTTTACCCAAAAAAACAAAAACATGCAATTCTCAAGCTTATGCTCACTTCAAACAACTAAGTGGAACTCAGTTGCAGCAGACGTGTCGTGATCAGTTTTCACACAAACCGATAACCACTTTAGGACGACTGCTTGCTAATGTCAAGGACAAAGACAGACCAGAGGACACACAGGGAGCAGTATACAAGATCAAGTGCTGCGACTACCAGGCTACTTACATTGGTGAGACCGGCGGAAACCTTAGCACGCGACTGACCGAACACAAACGAGCGACAAGAAGTGGTGATTTCAACAATCACATTGCTAAACACCATTTACAGACGAAACATCAAATCGACAGGGAGTCAGCGACACATGTATTACGTATTCTAGAGACTACTATAAACGACTCACTTTCGAAAGCTGGTATAGGCCATTTGCATTAAGAGGTCATGTGACATCGTTTTTTATGAAAATGAAAGTTATATGATTTTGCCTTCGAAAAACGATAAGTGGGTCATATCTTAAACAAAATAATGGTGATTTGGTTTTTCAAACCCGCACCATTTTCTTAAAATGAATAAGTTCGTAAATGGTCACGTGACCTAAATGTGGTATTTAAAACTATGAATTACCTCTCTCTGAACACAAATTTTGCACTTAAACTTCAAGGAAAATGTTGAAAAGATGACGTGATAACGTTTACAGCACATCTGAGCGTAACTATCAAACGTTAAACAAGATATAAGCAAAAAGTAGTTTTGGCCGCCATGTTGGAGGGCAAGAGTATGCCCTCCAACATGGCGGCCTATGCAAATGATACTGCTTTGTGGAAAAATCAAAGTCCCATAAAACATCTCCCTTAAATGCGTTTCCTCTCAAATTTCGGGTGGAAGATAATTTTTATGTGCTCTAACAATTTTTGGCATCAGCAAGATTCCAACTCATTGTTTAAAGGAAGCATTGGTCACGTGGTCTCTTAGTGCAAGTGGCCTATTACTAACTTAAAACAAACACCTCTGAATCGTAGTCAACAGTTGCCGGCACCGTACGAATGACTTATTAACGGACTCGAGCAAAACTATCTACGAGAGAATGTCTGGCCAACCGATTATTTGACAAATAATAAACGACTGTTTAACAGTGACAATAGACGGATCGAAACGCATCAATGACATTACGAGTCTTCATAGCCAATAACAACACGGCTTAACTGACAGACGACCAAAAACATCGCGACTTAATTTACCAATCAGGTCAATAATAGAGTTTAATACCATCAACTGACGTGATACAACTCACTTTTTAACTGAGAAGATGACTACCCCAGAGGTTGCTGAAACGTCAGTCACGGTCAACAACAACAACAGTCCTATTCAGGACTATGTTTACCTGGACGATCATGCTCAACGTACTTGTGAAATGACTCCTGGGTTCAAACCTATCACAGAAGTATCAGTATATGAATTTTTTTTGCCTTAGTTTTTATTTCTACTGAAAAAATAGAAGTCTCTTAAGTAATCCCAAAGGTATTGCGGTATAAACACCTGGTATTTTTAAGGGAAAGACCTGATAACTGAAAACAATAAATGCAACTAAAAACCAAGTCTGCCCTTCCACTTTTACACGCGATTAATTGCCTTACGGAACATTACAAACGTCTTCTCTAACGTACACATGATGTTTAACTATGTTTTTGTTTCTGATGGTCATGACACCACTTTCCTCTTCTTTTTACAGGCGTGGATCCGAGACTCTTCTGGGTGAAACAAGTGATGTTAGTGAATTGTTTCTGATTGATGATTGCGAAGACAAGCATCTTTTCACCGTTGCTGAGAAATGCACTGTAAGTTACTGCTGTTGGTGTCTCAGAACAATGAAACGGCAGCCATGTTGGTGTCCCAAACCAGTCCTGTTGGAGTTGAACTCTTTTCTTATGTAAAAACTTTCTATTGTTGCAATAAATTTGCATAGTTGCTGGTCAAGTGAGTGAAAACGCTGTATTCCCTCTCTACAAAGACATGATCGGTTATTGCAGTTACAGTAAACACCCGCGAATAAGAACGACTATTTTTTGAAGTCTGTCAAAATAGGTTTTTGTATTTCGGGGTACTTATTAGCAATTTAGGCTAAATAGGTTCTTAATTTTTTATAGGCTGTTCATTACCAGAAAAATTATTAAACTTGGGTTTGGTCCTTAAAAATGCAGTTTTTCTTCACAACTTTATTAATATAACCCTTAGAAAACTGATTACCGAATTATATACTGTTTGGCACAGTATGTCCCTGTTATACTTAAATTTACAATCTCAGAGTTACACTCCTTGGTTAAATTGTTTATCATAATTTAACTGTAGCCCACGTATAACCTGTTTGATCTTGCTTGGCCAAACAGGTTCTTGTATTTTTGGGTATTAAGGCAGCAAATTTCTGCCAAGAGGTTCCTAATCCACTAGACTCTTATATGGGGGTGTTTACTGTATACAACAAAACTGGTATAGAAGATATGGACAGAATCTAGAATTACAGTGTTTCTCTTCTGACCATGTATGTAACGAATCCAACACAGGTGACCCATAAGAAGCCAGATCCTGATTGGTTCATGAAAGGAGGTCTTGATGATGTGGATGCTGATGCCATGATGGAAGAGGATGATGGCAACCATTTTTTCTACCAGAAATGGTTTGTATTGAGAACTGTGTGTGACATTAGAGAGCTTGAGATGCTAAGACGAGACCAACCACCAGGACGGCATTCTGTCAGTACTAAGTAGTGCTCACGCGTGAACCAAACGTCATTTTGGCGGGAATAGAGCGATTTTCGTATGACCTTGAAATGAAAACGAGCAAACAAAACAGAAATTACAAACAAACGGAAAGAGAGCGATTTGATTGGTTTATCGAACGGATACAAAGGCGCGTGGCTTTTCAGTCAAATCTCTTCCTCGAATCTAAAAGTCTCTATTATCGCTAGAGTAAGCTTGATTACCGGTATTTCTCTTTTCTTCTTTCTGGACATTCACAAGACTTCATTTCTGTCAGAAAAGTATTACATTAAGGAATGTGGAAATTGCTTGAGCGAAGTTGGAAAAGGTGTGGAGAAAAACATTTTCTTTCAAATTATTATCTTCCCTTAGTCAGGAAGATTTTGAATGTTTCTTCGTCATGCAGACGGAAATTGTACGTTATAGAAGACTGTAAACGTAAAAAGCCATGACGTCACTAGTGTTTTGAGGATCCTGATCCCATATAGTTTGTCATTTAGGGCATGTGTAGCCCGGGGGGGGGGACTCCGCATATGAAAGGGGTGGGGATGCTGGTCGGAAATTTTGAATTAAACCCCTAAAAGAGACCGATCCGGGCGTAGCCCAAGCCTTTTATGACCCCTAGAAGAGACCATGTTAAAACACAGACAATACACATAAAGCTAAAAATAAAGCTTTATTTTTTTGTTCTCCCCTCCTCTCGCACTTCGCGCTAAAAAAACCTTTTGAAATTGACGTAGATCGTTCACGTTCCGATCCAAGCCAAATTTAGAAGGATTTGAATGGAGTCATCAGAGCAAAGCGATGCTTTTATCTCTTCACTAGTTTGCAATAACAGACTGATTTTTGACACGGGGATTTTTCATTTTGTTCTTTCTGAATATGTTTTTGCGTCTTCGTCACTTCCCTTTGTTATTAAATGCCATAAACTCGACTTGTCCCCGAATGGCTTTAGTATGTCTTAGCTGATTAGCGCAAGTATGTGATGAAAGACAGAAAAAGAATACCACAATTTCACAAATATGAATTTTTGTACCGTCACACTTCTCTTCTCGATATGCCATTAGGTTAACTGAGTACATCCTAGCCCGGGGGGAGGACTCCCCATATGAAAGGGGTGGGGATGCTCGTCGTCTCGCTTAGGGGTGTAAATTTCGGACTTTAGCCTCACTTAGGGTGTTCTGGGCAAAACGCCATCATATTTAGCCGTGAAGGTCTTGTTTAGGGTTGCACGCGAAAAAATATAAAAATATATTATTGTCTGTGTTTTAACATGGTCTCTTTTAGGGGTCAAAAAAAGCTTGGGCCACGCCCAGATCGGTCTCCTTTAGGGGTTTAATTCGAAAGTTACGACGAGCATCCCCACCCCTTTCATATGCGGAATCTCCCCCCCCCGGGCATCCTAGCTATAGTTTAATATATCCTCCTGAATAATCACATGTTTGTTTTGCAGCGGATGAGAAACGGACTGTTTGTATTTAATTGCAGGTATGATCCAGAGCTAGGAAGATTTATAGACCCCCCTTCAGAGTACATAACCATTGTGGATCGAAAAAAAGAATTTAAATACTGCGAGAGCTGTACAAGAAAGGCAGCACAGAACCAGGTGTGTGTATATTACGTGACAGATAGCATGCACACATTGTTTGCCAAGAAGTAATATTTAACCCTTAGAGTTTAAAGGTGATGTTACACTAGACTATTCGTAACGGATTTTAAACGCGTTTTATGACTTGACGTCAAGTCATAAAATGCGTTTCAAAATGTTTATATCCACTATCTGTGTTCTCTTTTTGATAAAACTACGATGGCCGAAGAAAAAGGGTTTATACAATAATGCTAATGCTAATAATAATAATAATAATAATAATAGTGTTATAACTTGTTTTCTGTCGAATCATTGGTAGACCTCCTTGGCATAGTGGAGTGGGGTGCACACACACCTTTTCAATCCCCTGGCCGGCCAGCCCCTTCCCATGCCAGAAAATGTAACTGACACACCCTGCCACACAGGTAGATGTTGTGTTAAAGGATCCTAGTCAACTACGCCCCTGTGCTTGTTTACATACGGGAAATTTTTAATGAAAATTGGCACAAATCAATAAAATAGTGAATCACAAGAAAGCATCAATAGATGGTTTTCACAGTGACGTCATCAAATTGTAAAGTCAAAATAGCGAGGTTTTACGAATTCTTATTTACACTAGGTTGAAGATAAACAAAAAGTTAATCTTTGTACAAGTTTTCAGTCCCATAGCATGTTTCATTTCGAAAATACAGCAATTTGAACTTCCGAGTTTTCACAGTGCGTGACACCAAAATAGGAATGCTGTCTCGTTGAAAAAAAAGTCTCTCCTCTTGATTTTCAGTAGTATAACCATTTCAAGTATTAGAAGATATGTTTATGCGCACGTAGGCTAGTTCTCGAGTGAAAAGATGGAGCTTTTATAGAACAAGTGAACTCCAGACGTTTTTGTTGATTTTCGGCGGCCATATTGGTGCACCAAAACTGTGCACCAATATGGCGTCTCCATACAAAGCTCTACAAAGATGCGTGAAACGTTTCGGCAAATAACTCAGAAACTGTGGGCCAAAAAGACCTCAGACTTGGACAAATTGTTTAAAAATTAGTCTTTTATAACATATCATTTTCTTGGCTTCTTTCACTAGACGGTTTTCAATTTATTTTTTTGTTGCGTGACAGTGAAAACGATCTATAACTATAAAAGTCAATGAGGACAATTATAAAGTCGTGGATAGGATGCATCTTCGAGGATGCACGAAGATTAAGAACCGAAAGCTAAAATTTCCTAACTAGGGTGGCAAAGAAAATGGTGGTGCAGTTGCATACGCGCAATGCTTTATGGTTGAGTAGGATCCTTGAAGCCTTTCAACCTCTTGTAAGTAGACACCTCCTATGATGAGACCAAAGATTATCTTCTTCTGGAATGTTTCAATCTAACATACGGAACAACAACTACGAAAACTATGACATGACATGATGGCAAGTACTAACAAAACAAGAGCTTCCATAGCTACCGCTGCTACTGCTAGTGATATAATGTTTTTCGGTCTACATATTGAAGGAGGCATGACAGCAATTCCAATGTTTCTAGAGTTTCATAAACAAAGAGACAAGGCCTACAATCGTGCTTGAATGTCGTGTGAACCACAATCCCATCAACGTGGAAGCTCACCCCTTTGTTCAAGAAGAAGCTTCCTGGTGTACTGCTGCAATCGCACGTAATTGGAACTTACATACCCACGTGTACAATTAAAAAGCCACTTTGACAATTCGGACTTGCAGCTGGAAACAAGATACCAACCAGAACGAAACTCCTCAAGTTCGGTTTTGTTGATATAGCCAGAGTCGAGCAGATGATGTTGAGATCCGTTTATGCTGTAAAATGCAACTTTTACTAGTTTATCTTCTCTCAGTGGACCGGCAGCGCGCACACAATAATTTTCAGGTAGTGTGTATGACTTTTTGTCTTCGCCAGGAGAGCTGTCTGGTTCAAAATTAACACGCCTCTTTGTGATAAAGTGGTCAAAGGAAGGTATCCAAGAAGAGATGATATAGAATTTGCTGGCATTTCTCATATTTGCATCGGACTTATCACATTTTCGCCACGTCGTTGTGTAGAATACTTGATCGTGGTCTGGATCGCTGAGAGTGAAGCACAAGTAGCGTGCAGGATTGTCGAACGTGGAACAAGATGGTGTCGGTCGAAAAATAATACGATCTGGCGTTATTGAGAGTGTAGGCTTCAAAAAAATTGACACCGCTGACAGAAGCACAAACACGACAACACAGGACACGAACCATCGCCATCCTTTGGTTGCGTCCTTCTCGTAGAAAATTGGGTAGAAAATAAAAAGCCCGATACAGAAAGCGAACGAACAGGCCACTGGATACTGTAGGAAAGAATCCACTACCAAGCCGGCCATATCGCCACTGAATGGGTTCATTTTTAAAACCTTTCCGTTCGGTTTGCAAAGGTGTAAGTCAAGAAAGCCGGAAGTGGTTCCGGGAGTTTGCAAGCGAGCGGTTTTGAGACAAATATGGCGACTGGAACCAAAACTGGACCCTGACTGAAGAGGAAGTAGACCGGAACGGGGAGCTGGGAACCGGGAACCAATGGAAAACTCTAAAGAGGACTTGCAATTCTTGATTGTGTTTCACTCTTTAAATTGGTTATGGATAGGAATGTTGCAAATTAAGCTTACACGTTACACGCACCTCAATGAAGATCCGACCCCCCCACTGAACCTAGAACTCTTGTTATTCACTGTTTTTTCATTTCTTCATTTTGTAGCTGGAAGAACCTTGTGTTGGTGAACCATTAGAAACGGAAACCAAATCTTCGTCCAAGACATATTACAAGTATGTGAACCGTTTCTTTTCCACGATTCTAAACACATGCAGTCGGTCAAAGGAACCAATCAAGCTTTGAAGCAAATGTATCGGATGCCAGGGCGGGAAAACGCTCGTAATCACGCCTGTGATTGGTCGAGAAATCGGCGCAACATTTTTACACAATGGCATTACACCTAGTGGTGAAAATACTCAAATAAATATTGAAAGGAATTTGACACTGAGCATTTGAAACTGCTCCAATGATTCTAGCCGGTCACAATTGACACAGGCAGTTTAGTAAAACACTCGTAAGCAAAACGTCTTGGTTTCTGGCCAAAAGTCTCCATTTTTTACAAAGTGGTGAAATAACTAAACCCACCACAACTGAATCGTTGCAGTGAAAACCAAAGCAAACGTTTCTTAACTAAACGTTGGTGCTCCATGTCTTTTTAATCAATTTGCGTTCATCCAACAGGTCTTGTACAAAGAACGGAGTTCAGTATAAGCCGGGAGACTGTGTTTTTCTCAAACCAGACGCATTTTCTTTCAAGTAAGTAACTCTCCTTTCTTTTGCCATTATGAATGTGTTCATTGCTATATACACAGTGGTGCTTAAGTTTAACTATCTTTTTTTCTTTTTGTTTGTTTGTTTTTTTTGCAGTATTAAACCGAAAGGGACAAAGAAAGGCTTCAAGAAAGATGAAACGGTTAAGATTTTCATTTGTTGTTTCGTTTTTTTTTTCATCTCCTAACTTAACCCGGTCAAAGCATGGCCCTATGAACAAAACTCCAAGTTATCACTTAACTTTGTATCCGCGTTGGCTTAAGAATTGTTCAGTGATTCACTTACATTTCACAGTTGAACGTAAGATTGTTTTAGTTAATCGTTTCGCTGGGTGGTCAGCGCCAACATAAAATGTCTCCTATTGCAACCTGCAAGCCTTATATCTTTCTGTCTGTACTTTTCTTTCTCTCCATTATTAAATTTCAGCTGTGGCCATTACGTATCACCGTTATTCGTTCTGACTTTTATCAGACAAACAATTCTGAAATCAAACCACAAGCAAATTAATGAATCACAACTCTGGCCATGTACATGTAGCGGGCGCCGAGTGCGGGAAAAATCATTTCACGGTCGGTTAATATGTTTACTTGATTGATGGGGCGCGAAACTTTTCAGCCAATCATATCTTCAACCGATGCCACGGGAATGGTACATAACAGTCACATAACATGTATTTTAGTTTTTAAGACTGGGTGCGAAAGTCAGGGATTTGTTTTTCTTTTTAATCACATGTAAATCTGTGGCATATTTTGACAAACGACTGAAACGCTTTTCAACTCAACTAAGACGAATGTTTCCTTTCTCTGGCAAAGACATTTTCAATATTCGTACTCTACGAGTTAAATGGCTGAGCTGACACATTTCTTATGGATCATAATTTTCACCACCGCAGGTGAACGAAGAAAAATACCCAGAATATTATAGAAAGCCAGTGGAATATGTCAAGGGCAGTAACTATGATGTTCCTGAACCATTCAAGATAGGTAACTTGTCACTGAACACTCTTAGGGCGCTTTCCAAAAGTCAGAACTGGCCGGCCGGACCATTTGCCGGACCAGTCACTTTGACAAAGAAAGAATCATTTTTCCAAGAGTTTTTGCTGAAAACCATCTCTTTTGTACAAACTATTTAGTATTTGACTGATCTGGCTGGATAGTTTTGATTAAAAGTGAAATTCTCAATACGACGGGAATGGTCTGGCCGCTCAGTTCTGACAAATGGAAAGCGCCCCTGTGAAACTAACAAAACCGTGAACACCAGAAATATTTATGGAATGTTATTGTGTTGCGAGAAATCAGCCAATAACGCGTGAGATAACTAAACCGCGGACAGCAACGAAAATAAGTTTGTGGTTTTGAGTTTTGCTTGCGTATCCTGAACTTTATTGTGATTCGTTAGTGAAGTTATTTAGGTGTTCACGGTTTTCTAACTTTGACGGTAAGGAATAAAGAAATGAAATTAAAGAAGGAAAGATTTGCTTTGAGTATCCTACGAATTGGGGACGAGCCCCCTCGTTACTAAGAGTTTTCAGTCCTAATAGGGACTTTGAGATCCAATGACGCGACAGCAGCGAGAACGTCGCCGGCTTAAAAAGTGAATTGGCACATTCTTTCAACCTCTATCGCAATTATTTCTACCCACTTAGTTGTCAAATGTAGGCGAACCTTCCTGGAGGTAAATTCCAAGAGAACATATCCAAGTTCAGAAAGAGAAATAAAATATCGTTGTTGCTTTTTAACGTTCTCAATAAAAGGCGAAATTATGCATTTTCACGTCGCAGTCGTGCAACGACGGCAAAGAAATGTACAAACAATCATGATGCACTTGCAAACTTGTTGTCTTACTTATTAACCTGTTGTTTTTTCAGACGTTTTTGTTTGCCGTCGCGTCGTTGGATCTTTAAGGGCCTGTTTACGTGAAGGTGGGGGACCCCAGGTAGGTGAGGTAACCCGCCTGTCCATACAATCTCTCATGTTAATTAGTTTGATAGCGTTTACACGGAAGGTGGGGTGAACATATGAGACATTATATGGACATACGGGTTACCCCACCTACCAGGGGTCGCCCACCTCCATGTAAATAGGCCCTAAGTCTCTATCGTCACCCAGAAGACTGTGACGAGAGGGGACCAAGATAGTCCCACAGCATTAACGAGAGGAATGAGATGTTAATACTTTCTATAGAGATATATTAGCCCTAAACAATCATGTCTAATATAACATGCATGATCGTTATTTATATAGAATTTATGTAAGTTTTATATTTGCGACTAGTATAAAATTATTTTTGTATAATGAAGTGCTCTTTATGATCCAGATAATAACGACCTCACATTTATATCATGATCTTGGACGTACCATAATTACTTGAATATAACACTGGACAACAGGAAAGGTTCGGCTGTGCTGGTAACTGTACGACATCCTGCCCATAAATGTCTTTTGCTGCTTTCTTTTTTTCTGTAGGTCGAATTCTTAACATTTTTACGAAGGCAAACTCTGGAAAATTAGCAGAGGATGTCGATATCAAGATGACTGTCAGCACATTTTACAGGTAAATAAGTACCACACAAAAGATCAAAAGTTCAGGATCCTGTTGGAACTTACACGCACTCGTGTCGCTTCAATTCAGAATGTCATTATTAGGTAGCTTTAGCAAAGATGTTTTTCAGCGACTTACGTCAACCGGCAGTGACTCTTATCCCTTTTAATAAATTCCTTGACGCTACCAATTTGTATTGCGAAGTGTCTTTACTCTTATAGAGACGACTTGCCTGAAGATTTTGGCCCCGTAATTAAAAAAGTCCGCCTCTAGTTGACGTGCGTTGCTTATGTCAATCGGCAACTGTCAAATTGCCCCAAACGAACGTATGAGTCATCTGAAATTATCGTAAACTGCAGTCGCCCGTCAACTCTCCCACTGTTTACTGCCACAGTGCCGTTAACTCGTTAAGTTGACTTGTGGCAAGCCTAGGCAGCCTCAGAATATATTTGCCGGCGGCTTCTCATCAGTAGACATTGACTCACAGCGAACTTATTCTCCTTAGACCAGAGAACACGCACCGGGGTTGTACGTTTGCTTACCAGGCAGATCTGAATTTGTTGTATTGGAGTAAAGAGGGTAAGTTTAAATAGAAGATTTCTTTGTAAATCAAAGCGAAATATTGATAGCCTTCGAGCAAGCTCCTGCCCCATTTGGGGGAGTCTCGAGAAGTCAAACGAGAGCCGTATGCGGAAGGAGACGCAGAGCTTGCTCGCAGGCTATTACTATTGCACGAAGCTGCTCTTGTATTTCCCCGAAACGTACATGTCTAATAACTACCCACCTACCCCTCCCCTAATACAACCTTAACACTAACTTCTGACTGACGGCAAAATTGTGGGTTATGGGAGGGGTAGGTGGGTAGCTTTCCCAACTCTTTTATTGATCCTTTTAAAATCCAAACAAGGCAAGTAAGTGGTTGCGTTTTTCTTATGCAGTTTCACCTGAACTCCTGTGCAAGCTTTTTCGTGTTTATTTTCTAATGCTTTTTTCTCCCCTAATACAAAGGCAATGACTTGCATTGTAATCTTAATTATTCGTTAAACGAGTTTGGGGAAGCATTCTTTGCTCTCAAACTATTTTTATACTAAATTTATCTGACATATGCTCCAACTCTTCAGAGGTACTAGATTGGAGGGTTGGACCAGAATCGGAAACTGCGAAAAAAAAAATTTTGGCAACCAGGGTACTTCGGAGACTTCAGAGATAACAACGGTTTCCTCTACCCTCCAATTATTCGCAGTAACGGTTAGCTAATCAGAATAAAAGGCCGGACAAAGTTTGATTCTATTAATGGTGATTCATTTTTCTCAGAGGCCACGGTTTCCTTTGACTCTGTCGTGGGCGCCTGCCTGGTTACCTGCGGAGAAGATCTCAACTGTTCCGTCGAAGAATACACTGCCAGAGGGGTCAACAACTTTTACTTCTTAGAGGTGATTAAATTCCTTTGGCGTGATGTCTTCTTGAAAATATGCTTGTCTTGGATTCCAGCTCTGAACACTTGTGTTTCTCAGCCACGAAAAGCAGGGCTCACAAAATGGCAAGAAGTCAAAGAGTGTTTTCACTCACGTGGCCAGCATCTATGCAAATTTATTGGAACAAAAGAAAGCGTTTACATTAGAAAAGAGTTCAACTCCCACAGGATTGGTTTGGGACACCAACATGGCCGCCGTTTCATTGTTTTGGGACACCAATATGGCCGCCGTGACGTCATGTGAAAGCACTCGCTTACCAAGAAATCTTTGATTCAAAGAGATACCCTTTTGAAGGGCTTGTTATATCAATTTTTAATTGTAAGCTAAAAAGCAGTGCTTGGTGGCTGGAATCAAGTCTTAAGAAGCGCCAAAAAAAACAAAATAGGGTTAGAATAACATTTCTTTTTGTAAGGCTGTAGTAAAACTAGCAACAAAAAACCGGCATTGCTGCAAAACGAGTGGCTCGTTTTACCACCCACTTTGAAACCTGTCTTACAACAAATGAGTTTGGAAGGTGTTTTTTTTCGTGAGTGGTAAAACGCGCAATATCGCCATTCAACTCGTTTAGCAAAGTCGTAAAACAAGTTGCACGTTTTTTGTTGCCCGTTTTATCGTATCTAAGAAGCTGTTACTATACTCATGTTCAACTATGCCTAAATTTTCATGTAAAGTCGAGAATGGTGACAGAAGAGGCCGAGTAAAGGCGATCTGACGCAACAAACCTCATTCCAAGGGTTCTCTCCTACCCTTCCCTACGGAGCGAGTAAGAAAGAACCCTGGTAACGCGGTTGGATCTGACGGACAAAAATGGTGTTGTTGTGTTTTTGTTCAGGCGTACAACAGTGAAAAAAAGGAGTTCGAGGAGGCTCCAGTGGAAGCGCGTAATGCTGCCATGAAAGGAAAGGTTGGAAAGTTAATCATTGCGCGAAAGTTACACTTAGTATAATTATTATGATAGAAATCTTACATTCAAGTAGTGAGAGCAGCACAACAAGTGTAATAGAATTAAGCCTTTAGTTCTGGCCTAAGAAGTTCCTAATATTAACTGAGTTCACCCTAACATGTTCACTGAATGACAGAACGAAACGAGTAAAAGATCGAAAAACGTGTTCAGTTCAAGTCATGTGATCTTAATCTCACGTGACCCGTTCTAGTTCACGTGGGGGAACCACCGCGGTCAAACGTCTAAATCGTTATTTTTGTCTTTCATTGCTGGGATTTCATTTACCAGTTAGAGAAAAATGGGCAAAGATGTATAAATCAGTTAGTCAACATAACTATCTTTCCATTTTTCTCAAAATTTTGAGCTTTTTTCGCTGAAAACGCTTCGCGCTAAAAGAGAAACATGTTTGAAAATGGCGCCGATAATAACGTCAGCATCGGTTTTCAATCACTTAGAACTTTTTAAGTAAACTTTTAAAAAGTTTAGTAAACTAACAGGATGTTGGTAATACCCTAAACTTTCGATAGTGAAAGTAGCAACCTTAACTTTGAAGTATTTCGCTTAACTTTTGCAAATTTCACTCGTTTGACCGCTGTGAACGTGGGGGATTCCGCACAACAAGAATAGAATAAGCAAACGAATGAATGAATTGCGCAATAAGCAGGTAAAAAAGATGTACAGGCCCCAGTTGTTCAAACGTTGGATTGCGCTATCCATCGGATAAATCACTATTCAGCGGATAAGAATTAGAAAAACAGATTGCACTATCCACCGGTAGAGATTTATCCACCTTTTGAACAACTGGGGCCTACAATAGGCCATTTCCGAGTTCCAAAAAATCTCACTTTCAAAGCGAGGCTGAGTGCGAAGCCATTGTTATCAAATGATGCAATTAAAACTTATTTTCGCTACAAAAGTTTGGCACGTAGCCTCGTTTTGAGAGTGAGATTTTTTGGAACTCGGAAATGGCCTATTGTAGTCACCACTTTCAGTCGAATGGCTACACTGAAGGAATCTTCTTCACCGGCTCTAAGGAAAGAACAACTGTCGGCAACTTCAGAAAAATTCAAAGTTCCAGGAAAAAATTACTCCCGAGTACTTTTATTTTTATTGTTTTTGACATTCAAGAAATTTTTAATTTTCTTTTGTATGAATCAATTTGGTGGTTTCCACCGCAGAATTTCAATCAGTCAATAACGAGAAAGAGTATTCTATCTGATCTCCAAACACTGAGTTTTCTCAAGCGACTTATTTTTCTTGTGTAGGGTAAAGGAAAAGGAAAGGGTAAAGGAAAAGGCAAAGCATCTTGTGAAACTGAAGATCATAGTTCCAAAGAAGACGAGAGCCGTAAAGCCAGTGAAACAGTCACTAAGCTTCGATGTCTGGATGTTTTTGCAGGATGTGGTGGTATGTTTTGTCGTTGCTGTTGTATTTTAATCAGACACTTAATGTTACTTGAATCAAAAAGGATATAGAAAGCTACTTTGCCCCTTTAAACTCGAGACTGTACAATTTTTCGTGACAAAAACCTTGCCGTAAGTCACTTTCCGCTTGAAGCCCTTCGAGCCGTTCAAAAGTGAACCGCAAACGCGACCGCAAGACTGTGGTCACGTGTTTAAGGTCTCCCAAAACATTTCCATGGTGCACTTCGGGACAATACCGACCCAGTCTTTGCCTCGGTCGCTACCTTACAACCTTAAAATGGTCAATGCAAGTATAATGGACAGTCCTAGAGGTATGCAATTAACCCTTTAAGCCCCAATATCCAGATACAAATTCTCCAAACTGATCTCCATACATTTCCTTAAAGAATGAGTTGAGAGAATTTGACAAAAGATTAAAGCATTTTCTCTTAGGTGATCATTTTATTAATTCTCATAACCTAGTCTCATGACAATGTACGGATATTATTGGGAGAAAATTGATTTTGGTCACTATCGGGACTTAAAGGGTTAAGGGCCAAGTCACTGTAATGTTGAATCAATGAAGGAAGTAACTAAGAATTGTACTCTTTCAAAGGTCTTTCGGAGGGTCTTCATCAGGCTGGTATAGCTGAGTCTCTTTGGGCTATCGAGAAGGAGGAGCCTGCTGCGCATGCCTTTAGTCTTAACAATCCCGGATGTACGGTGTTTACGGATGACTGTAACTTGTTGCTAAAGCTCGCCATGGATGTAAGCTCCATTATGTGATAATGTTTCCCATGTGGTAACTTTTTTACAAGCTAGTTCGTCTAATACCTCTGTGCTGAGTAAAGAGTGATGTGAGTTAAGCGTTTTAAATGTTTTGTTCAGAATAGTCTGAAGTTATTGTGCGAATCCAAATCGGTCGGAAAAAAAGCGAAAGACAAAGTTTCCAAAAAGTGAAGAGTTTCCCATCAATGAAAGGAATGCGACTAGGAAGGACTAGCGAATTATTCGTTGCGGAAAGTGTGAGGCTCCCACTTTTCGACGACCAACGGCATGACGACATGAAGAAAAAAATAACTATTTTGGCGTCTGTTACTCATTAGTTTACCTTTGTGCAATTACGTTTGGGTCGAGAAAAGACGTTCATACAATCTTAATCATCTCTGGCAACCTTAAGTTGGCTCTTCAGCTAATCGCTTGTTTAAACAGTGGGCAGTCAAAAAAGCTAGTATTGGTTAAGGGATGCGGTAAGTGTTTCTATACAGAAGCAGCATGTTTTTTTTGTCCTGTCCTCAGGGAGAAAAGAAGAACTCCAGAGGTCAAACATTGCCGCAAAAGGGAGATGTGCAACTCTTATGCGGTGGCCCTCCTTGTCAAGGTTTCAGTGGAATGAATCGCTTCAGTTCAAGAGATTACTCACAATTCAAGGTACAGTGTTGGTACAGTGCATGTTATCATGCTTTGGCAGGAAAATCGCCGCGTCCGCCGCCTTTGGCGCTTCGTTTTCCAATTTGGTCGCGAAAAAGGCGAACGCGAAATACAAGAGACTGGTTACGAAGCCCAAGGGACCACAGAAGGGGGAAAGAAGGGAGCTGAAATGCCCGCCTTCCTTTGGACAACCGCTTTTCTTTTTCTTTTGTCCTCCAGGTTTCAGAGCGATGTAACCAGTGAGCCGCCCAAAACTGCAAATAGAGCGTGAATGACAACCCCTTTACGTTCAACCAGCTTTTACACCATAACAATGATTGCATTTAACGTTTGTATTAAACTCCTCACAAACAAGGACACGCATTTTCTTCCTGCACAACGTCGCTCTATTCCTTCGATGCTGTTGTTTCCACGCATTGTAGGTTACTTGGGGTCCCCTCATTCATTTGTTCAAGGTCATTTAGTCTAAGGCGATTTCTGTAGGTTTAAAGGACAAAAATACACAAGCATCTTGGCAAAATCACGGTGGTGCCGTTTTGCTTTAAACTGTGATTATATTGTTTTCTTTTTCAGAATTCTCTGGTTGCATCATACCTTAGTTACTGCGATTTCTATAGACCAAGATTTTTCATCCTCGAGAATGTTCGTAACTTTGTCTCATTTAAGCGGAACATGGTTCTGAAGTTAACGTTACGCTGCCTTATCAAGATGGGCTACCAGGTGAGTCGGTTTGCTGCGAAGGTCACTCAAGCGCGACACGCAATGGGGTCTCGCGTGCGAGTAACGAGCTAACTGAGGCGCCAGAGAATTGTCTCGTGCATCAGACCCCTCGTCGGTTGTGCTTCAGAGAGAGCTTATTTCGAGCGATCATCTCGTCCTCGTGAAAGCTTTTTTTATTTGCTTGCCTCAATGATCTTTCACTTTGCTTAACTTGTATGTTCACTACCTCTATTACAGTGTACGTTTGGAGTACTACAGGCTGGTTGCTATGGTGTTCCACAGACCAGGCGAAGGTATTAAGACAACCACAATTGTTATTGTTTTTGATATTATGCACATGGTTCTTAAGGACCTGTACAGACCTGTACAGGATGGATGCTCGCCCTTTCAACATTTCAACATACTTTCATATGCCCACATTTTTTCACGACAATATACATGTAATATGCAAGACACCATTTTTTTGTTTTAAAAACGTAAGTGATTAAAAGCATCATCAGCATTTTTGAATAATCAGTTTTCAGTATATACTCAGAATAGAATGTTCCGAGCCTGATTATGGTTTGTTCACAGCTCTTCATGGCGGTTGTCATCAAAA